GCAGCCGTTGGCTCTCCCAATGGTCCCGTCAAGTACGTTATCAGGTTCGACGATATCCCGTAAGAGGCGAACTGCTCCGCCATTTCTACACCTAAACAAAGAAACAAAGAAACCTCTGATGAGAACTGAAGAAGCTTATATGGTGATGCGTGCGGAACACGATTGAGCTTACTCACAGATGATGAGCCTCGCCGATTTCCATCCTCCAGAGGAGAATCTGACGGCTGGCTTTCCCGGAGGAACTGTACTTCCGGCGATCGCCATTGGTTTTGCTTTACTGATTCTTTGATTAAAAAATAAAATAATATATGCTTCTTGTATTGTTCATGAACAATAATACTTTAGCAAAAAAACAAGATGATAGTAATAATTGCATATGTGCTCCTGTTTTATTGATATTTTTAAGTATTAGAAAGTGGCTCGAGTAGTGCTCTGTGAATACCTGAATATTATTATTCGATCTCCATTGGAATTTTATGTGCACTGTCTCCACTCAACTTGTTTGTAGAGTTTTCAACTGATCTACTCAGATTTTACTGATTTAAAATGAGATTGAAATGGATCTGAATAGATATGCGGTCCATTAATTCGGTTCAAGATACTCTAGTTACAGAATAGGTATTTACTTTCCACATTTGAATAATGAATGAATTTTTTGTTCAGAAAAGAGAATAATCAATGAATTATTTAACAATCTGAAAATTACGGTACCTTTAGCAAAAACAAATTTTTTAAAAATAATATATGAATTACTTTAATAATAGCTTACTAGTCCAGGCCATGCGAAACACAAAATTTCAATATTTAGTACTGTTATTGTATAATTGATTTTAAATAAGATATCTGATGGATAGAATAATTTATGCATAGGATAACATAATTTATGAAAATATGCATAGGGTATATATAGAGCAATAAAGCAGTATCTGCCCACAAAAACCGAGAGCATTATACATGATAGATTTCTTAAAACTACTTGTTATTCTACAAAATAAACTCCAACGTTGACTTACTACATAATGGAAAAGCTCAATTCAGTTGGCGGAACAGAGAAGACAATGCTTTAGTTTGACCTATTGTAGACATACGACTTGGCGAACCACATGTACGAGGCTAAACCAACGGAGCTGAAACAAGCGAGTAGCCAGTAGAAGTAATCTAAATGAGCCTGGTTCAGGTCGTTATCGAACCAGCTCGTTTGACCAGACTGGCTCGTGACATTATCAATGAATGATATCATGAAGCTGCTTAGAAAGTTTCCGGCTCCGTATATGCTTAGGTTCAAAGCCATACCAACGCTCCTAAGCTCACTAGGGACTTGGTCGTAGAAGAACTCTTGCAAACCAACCTTTGTGAACACGTCGGAGGCTCCATATATTACGTACTGTGGAACCAACCACAACACGCTAATCTGCATGGTGGCATCATCTCGAGCGGCTTGGAGCCTTTTGGTCTCGACCAAGGCGGCTACTACCATAGCAAGAATGGAGAGGAAAATCCCTGTGCCAATCCTTTGAAGCATTGTGATTCCTGAAGGGTTTTGCGTGAAAGATCTTGCCGTGGGGACGAGTAGACGGTCGTAGAATGGGATGAAGACGAGGATTGATAGATCTATGAAACCTTGGAATGTAGCTGCAGGGACTACGAGTCCTGGTGAGATTGACCTGTTCATTGTGGCTCCTTGCTTTGTGAAGAATGTAGAATATTGTGCATACACAATGGCAAAGACTAAGCAGTTCATCCATATGGGAACAAGCCTAAGCACCGATTTTGCTTCTTCAATCTCGTCCAAATCACATGACATCGCCGCTCTGTCAAGGAAGCTGCATAGTATCCAAGAGAAACTGTCAAGCTTTCATAGTCTTTCATCTGAAACCCAATTGGTGGTACTTGACCTAATAGAAGAATATATATATATATATATATATATATATATTTATATCTTATAATATATTTGATCATTATTCCTCTTATATCTACCGATGTGAGATTCTTGGTATAAACACAAATGTGGGCTCCAAGATTCTAATGGAAAAAAAAGACATCTCGGTTAGTTATTTGTTACCTGAATTCCTTGGAACTCTGGTGAGGCAGGAGAGGGAGAGTCTTGTCCGGATTAGCTATGTCTAAATCAGTTTGTCTTCTGTTCTTTACTGCCTCCACGAACACACGACCGATTCTAGAAAAAGGGTCTTTCTTGGCTCCTCTTTCTGTACCAAACCGGTAAGAGGGAGTTCCAAGGAGGAACAGATACAGAGCAAGTACCATGGAAAGACTTGGAATACCAAATCCTAAAGACCAGCTTAGGTTCTCTTGAATGTAATTAGAGACCAACTGAGTCGTCAGTATGCTAAAACAGATTGCAAACATGAGCCAGTTGAAGAAAGAACTCTTGGATTTTTGATCATTTCCTTCGAACTGATCAGCTCCAAAAACCTTAATACACGGTTTGTATCCGCCATGTCCTATGGCTATAAGATACAGAGAGAAGAAGAATAGAGTCACTTGAAGCTGATTTGAATCTTTGGAGTGATAAGATATCATGGCTGAAAACGTCAGCAACCCTAGTCCCTGTTTGTTTCATCAAATCAATAAATCTTAGATTTGACAACAAGAATAAATAAACTTACTGGTAATAGAAACATTTTGAGATGAAACTATAAGAATATACCAAGATGTATAGAGAAGATGAGATGATGATAGTACGGAAACGACCGAGAAACGAGTCAGCTACAAATGACCAAAGAAGTGGCAGAAACGACACCGTTCCAGTCCATGCGTTGATATTAGCCGCAGCTGCAGCCGTTGACTCACCCAATGGTCCCGTCAAGTACGTTATCAGGTTCGCCGATACCCCGTAGTAAGCGAATCGCTCCGCCATTTCTACACCTACAAAGTCATTATAAGGAAACGAATCAGAACTGCGAGAGAATCAACGAACGAGGACTGTTACGTGGGCTCTTGTACGTACCGATTATGAGCCGGGCCGATTTCCATCCACCGGAGGAGAATCTGACGGCTGGATATCCGAGCTCATCCGCGGCCATACCGGTGTTAGCCATTGTGTTTTGATTTGTCAAGAAACTAAAATATATACATACAAATGCTTCTTGTACTAGTTTTTATAGTGCATTTGATGTGACAAGAATTAAATGATCAAGTACATGGAATGGTTTCGTTGGCAGGTATATTGATGATGAGCAAGATAACAATTAAGTAGTTAACTCGTGGAGCATATGTGCTTGCTTTTTATTTTATTTGTTCGAAGTCGTCGAAACATGTTCTTCAGATAATCAAAAAAAATATATTATAAGATAAGAACCCCGCGTAAGACTTCTTGTATATGAACAGCCTGGTTTTAAACAAATTTTCTTTCTTTTTGAGGGGGGCAAGTTTTGACCTAATGCATTTTTTTTATATAATTGAAAGATTCAAATACAGATATATAATTATGTATATACCAAAACTAAAGAATATATAATTAACGAGACTAGAAACGAAGATAGAAGACGTCGATATGACCACACATCAAAAGAAACATATATTTGGATGCAATAGTTAAAAGTTAGTTTTAATAGCCAGAGAATCACACCTGTACGTATGAATTTGACTCAGTCTGTGAAGATTCATGACCTTTTTGGATTGGTACGTACACTATAAAACCTTGAGGACACCCTAAAACTTGTACTCGGGCATGTGCACATTTATATTGGAAATTCTACTCTCTCCAAAATTGTGACACGAGAATTTAAACGGTACAACATAATTAAATCTTGTACTTGAAATCCGTAATATGTCCTTTCAACCTTAACTTAGTTCACCTAGTTTGCTGTTTGATTCACATCCTCTTCTCCACTTGCTTTATATGAGTTTCGTAATCTACTTGTATATTAGCTTTATCTAAATCATGATTAGGAAATTTGTAAAAATGAATTTTTGGCTCCATGCATGATTACAAAATACGTTGTATTATCTGCGACTAAAATTACACAGAATTCCAGAGTCGAGATTTGGCGACAATATTACAGAACTGAGATTTTGCAGATTACCGACTAATCCACGTAAGTTTTATCAATCTTTTGGTATATCAACCTTCATGATTTATTACTTAACCTTTGATTATTATGGATCCAGAATCCTATGGTTTTGATTTATTCCTTTGGATTTGAGTCGGTCCAACCAGGGGCAGACACAGAAAATAATTATATATGGGGCACAACATATATAAATATTTAATATAATTAAATTAATTAAAATATATTATAAATATTAAAATTTATAACATAAATTATTATAGTTTTTGTTAATTTTTAAAAATATATAAAACTAAATAAAAAAAAAATTTAGAAAAAGAAATAATAAAGAACATGAAAAAAGATTGAATTTAAGTTTATATGAAAAATAATTAAGTTACAATGAAAATTATAACATAAATTATTATAGTTTTCATTAATTTTAAAAAATTTATAAAACTAAATAAATAAAATTAGAAAATAAAGAATATGGAAAAAGATTGAATTTAAATTTATATAAAAAACATTTTAGCTACAAAATCAACTGAATTATTAAACTATTAGTGTTATATATATATATATATTATTTATAGATTTAGTATGGGCACATGCTCCATCCACCTATAACATGGATCCGCCCCCTGGGTCCAACTACACATGGTCTATCCGTACTCGCCGATTTCAATCCTCCCTAGGGGGAATCTGACGGATGGAAAAATAATATATGCGTCTTGTCTTGTTTTTGTATGTGGCAAGGTGCCAAAATTTCATTATTGCATATATATGTGCTTTGTATTATTGCATACTGTATGTGTTTTTCTCTGATTTTATTCGATTTCATTTGGAAGTTCATGTGCACTCACATGGTTTTAGAGTTTATAATTGATCTAAGTATTTTTAATTTCATTTTTTTATCATCTGAATTATTATTTTATTATAAATGTGATTCCAAAAGTATTTTACTAATAAAAAATATTTGCGGAATGGGGACATGATTAATTTCCTAATTGAGTTGTAGTAATTCTGTGGAAGAAACTCCAAATTTGGCCTCATTCATTAATGCTAGAATGTAAATCTCGATTTGGTTGTTTCTGAAGTCCATCTCGAAAATGGGAAAAAAGCTCACTTCAGAGAAGATAATGCTTTAGAAGGTGTTTGATCTGTTGTAGACATACGATTTGGCAAACCACAAGTAGAAGGCTAAATTAATGAAGCTGAGACAAGCCAGTAGCCAGTAGAAGTAATCTAGATGAGCTTTGGTCAGGTCGCTATCGAACCAGCTCGTTTGACCAGACTCACTCGTGAATTTATCAATGACTGATATCATGAAGCTGCTCAAAAAGTTTCCAGCCCCGTATATGCTTAGGTTCAGAGCCATACCAACGCTCCTAAGCTCAGTAGGAACTTGGTCATAGAAGAACTCTTGCAAACCCGCCATTGTGAACCCATCCGCCATTCCATAGATAACGTACTGCGGAACCAACCACCACACGCTCATTGGTACGGTGAGGTCATCATGAGCGGTTTGTAGCCTTTTGGTCTCGACCAAGGCGGCTACTACCATAGCAAGAATGGACAGAGAGATGCCAGTACCAATCCTTTGAAGCATTGTGATTCCTGATGGGATTTGTGTGAAGGATCTTGCGATTGGGACGAATAGACAGTCGTAGATTGGGATGAAGACGAGAACTGATATGCTAATGAAACATTGGAGTGCAGCTGCAGGGAGTAAGAGTCCTGGTGAGATTGACCTGTCCATTGTGGCTCCTTGCTTTGTGAACAAAGTTGGAGATTGTGCATACACAATGGCGTAGACTAAGCAACTCATCCATATGGGAACAAGCCTAAGCACTGCTTTTGCTTCTTCAATTTCAGCCATACCACACGAAGTCGCTGCTCTGTCAAGGAATCTGCCATAGCATCCAAGAGGAACTGTAAAATATTCATAGACTTCTTTCTTTAAAACCAATTAGTTTCTAACCATATTTTTAATAACATATATTTTGTAATGAAATCAAGTCATTATCAATGTAAAACAGAATCACTGTTAATTATGTTACCTGAACTGCTTGGAACTCTGGTGAGGCAGGAGAAGGAGGGTCTCGTTAGGGTTAGCTATATCTAAATTGGGCTGTCTTCTGTTTTTTACTGCCTCCATGAAAACACGACCGATTCTAGCAAAAGGTTTTTTCTTTGCTCCTCTTGCTGTACTAGATCGGTAAGAAGAGGTTCCAGAGAGGAAGATAAACAGAGCAAGTAGCATGGAAACACATGGGATACCAAATCCTAAGGACCAGCTTAGGTTCTCTTGAATGTAGCTAGAGACCAAGCGAGTGGCTGATATGCTAATACAGCATCCAAACATCAACCAGTTAAAGTAAGAACTCTTGGCTTTGGCCTCTATTAGGTCATTTCCATCGAACTGATCAGCTCCAAATACCTTAATACACGGTTTGTAACCGCTTTGTCCTATCGCTATAAGACACAGAGAAGAGAAGAAGAGAGTCACTTGAAGCTGATTCGAATCTTTGGAGTGGGAAGGAAGCATGGCTGTAAACGACAGCAACCCTAGTCCCTGTTTGTTTTGTCTTAATTAATAATCAAAACCCCAACAATAAAGAACATTAATGATAATATAGAAACGTTTTTGAGATGAGATTGTGAATATATATATATATACCAGTATATATAGAGAAGACGAGATGATGATAGTACGGAAACGGCCGAGAAACACGTCGGCTACAAACGCCCATAGAAGCGGCAGAAACGACATCGTTCCAATCCAAGCGTTCACATTCGCCGCAGCTGTAGCCGTTGACTCACCCAATGGTCCCGTCAAGTACGTTATCAGGTTCGACGTTATCCCGTAGTAAGCGAATCGCTCTGCCATTTCTACACCTACAAAAATTGGAAAAAAAAAAAAACCGAATTAGCAAAAATTGCGGGAAAAAAAACAGAATTATCCCGTAGTAAGTCGATTGCATTACAGATGATGAGCCTCGCCGATTTCCATCCACCGGAGGAGAATCTAACGGCTGGCTTTCCGAGCTCATCCGTGGAAGCGTCGGTGATAGCCATGGTGTTTTGATCTGTTTAGAAATTTTTAAAAATAGAGAGAAAATGCTGTTTCTTGTATTGTTGTTGCAGTATTAATAAATGATGAAGGTATGGGACCGTAGATTGGCTTCGCTGGCAAGTCATGTTTTGATGAACAAATTAAGTAGGTTAGCTCGTGCTGGATATGTTACGTTTATTTTATTCTCTTGGGATTGAGAAGTGGTTGGAACCAGAGGCTTACGTAGAAAAATTATTTATATATGATATAAAAAATATTATAATAAAAAATTATAATTGTAAAAAGAAATTTGAAAAATAATATTTTATAATAAATTTCAAACTTTCAGTTTTAAAAAAAAATATACTGATAAACAAAACTATTTTCATTGATTTTCAGATATTTTCACATATAAAAACATACTCTTTTAAAAAAGTAAATAAATAATAATAAAATGGCTTTTACACAAAATTAGATTATAAATTACTTGATAAATATCTAATAAAATTTAGTGTCTTTAGTTATTTGTTTTTAAGTATATAACGGTAAAAAAATTAATAAGAAAAAACTAGTTTATTAAAGTTCAAAGAAAAAGACATAATAATATGTATATTAAAAATATAAAAGAAATGAAAAAGATATAAAATGTAATAAAAAAAGAATAAAAAAAGTTGGAAAAAGATATGAAAATGGTTTACATGATAATTAAATAAATAAAGAAAACATGAAAAAAACAACAAAATGGTATCAGGTGGATTTGAACTCTTTTCCTAAAAAATTTCAAATGTTATCATTCAAAACCAACTAATCTAACATATAAAAATGTAGTAGTTGCTCATTAGAAAATCTATGCAATTAGTGTAGAGCACGTACCCCACCCCATCATCATATAGATCCGCCTCAGTAACTCGTTAGATTTTTTTCGTTTTTTCAAAACTTTTACATGTATGATGAGAAAATGAATAGGGTTTTGGGACATAATCATATTAATAAAGTATATTGTGTACGTTAAACGGAAATCACGGAGAGGATCTAATTAAACCCAGCTGTATATTTTTGTCAATCTCTTATTTGTAATTAATTAATTACGATTGGATTGTTTAGGTAAGTAGAGTTATGAGGATCGGAGAGATTGTTCTCCAAGACTCGAATGTGTGTAGTATATATTAAGGCATAAGGCTAGTGAATAAGGATCACCAGAAATTCCCACAGGCTATTCTTTCATATGGTTTTAAGTTTTAACTTTACTAGGTATATAAATTTTTATTTATATAAGAAAATTTAATATATAATATGTCATTTATCCTATTTTTATTTATAAATTTTAAAAAATTATTAGGTAAAATAATAACAATGACACATATCAAATTATTCAACTTTGACGTACGTATATATTTGATTTAAAAAAATATAATCTTGCTAAAATTTTGATATTATTTTCTGTTTTCTATAGAATTTTTATAGTTTTTTTTTTAAAAAAAGTTTATGTGTTCAAATATTTAGTTTTTTTATTAAAAGTCTTATTGATGTTGTGTGTCATTGCATATATAATCTATGATTCATGTTGATTCACATTTAATATTGTTAGAAAACTGTAATGATCATGCAAAACCATTTTTTTCTTCTCCATCATGTCTTCCAAGAGTTTTATGTTATATTTTATACAGTTTTCATTGTTTTAATTGTTAAATCGGGGTTGTTGTAGATTTTTTAAATTGATAATTGATAATGGTTACTTCTTTTTATACATGTATTGTCAATTGTTAATTTTTTTATTTAACTTTTAAAATTTTAAACCATATTAACATTTTCTGATTTAATAAATATGTTGATTTGGATCAATCAGATTGAATTTACTTTTTTTGTTGGACATAATTTGTTAAATTAACTTTTAATATTTTAATTATACTTAATAATTTTTGGTTTGATTTAAAAGCTGATGTGAACCAATTAAATCAAGTTTTTTCGTCCTAATCATACTTAATATTTTTTATTTAATGAATATGCTGATGTGGACCAATCAGATCGAGTTTTTTAATCCTATGTGGATGCCTTCAATGCACTATGCCATCAACTTTTATATATTATAATAGGTATATAACTCGCGCTATGCGCGAGTTTGTATTAATATTTTGGTTTTATTTTTTTTAGCTACTATCTTAAAAATTATTTAAAATATAATATATTTATAGAAATTTTTATTTATATAAGAGAATTTAATATATAATGTGTAATTTATCCTATTTTTATTTATAAATTTTGAAAAACTATTAGGTAAAATAATAACAATGACACCTATCGAATTATCAAACTTTGACGTACATATACATTTGATTTAAAGAAATATTTCTTGCTAAGATTTTGGTATTATTTTCTGTATTCCATAGAATTTATATAGTTCTTTTTTTCGAAGGTTTATGTGTTCAAATATTTAGTTTTTTTATTGAAAGTGTTATTGATGTTGTGTATCACTGCATATATAACCCTTGATTCATGTTGATTCGCATTTAATTTTGTTAGGAAGATGTAATGATCATGCAAAAAAACTATTTTTTCATTCTCCACCATGTCTTCCAAGAGTTTTATGTTATATTTTTATTCATTTTCATTGTTTTAATTGTTAAATCGAGTTGTTGTAGATTTTTTTAAAATTGATAATTGATAATGGTTATTTTTTTATGCATGTATTGTTAAAAGAATTGTTAAATTTTTTTATTTAACTTAAAATTTTAAACCATATTAACATTTTCTGATTTAATAAATATGTTGATTTGGATCAATCAGATTGAATTTACTTTTTTTGTTGGACATAATTTGTTAAATTAACTTTTAATGTTTTAATTATACTTAAAAAAATTTGGTTTGATTAAAAAGCTGATGTGAACCAATTAAATCAAGTTTTTTCATCATAATCATACTTAATATTTTTTTATTTAATGAATATGCTGATGTGGACCAATCAGATCAAATTTTTTAATCCTATGTGGATGCCTTCAATGCACTATGCCATCAACTTTTATATATTATACGATGATTTCTTCTAAAAATTTTTTAGTAACCCAAAGTTTTATTTTACAAAGGAAGGTTTAAATGTAAACAAGGAAAAACTTGGTGTTACCAGAAGTAACAAACACATAATATATCAAAAAATGTTATCTTGCACTATGTTTAGTTTAATGTGTATTTAGTCCAAATGAATTTATAACAATATGCATTCCAATCAAAATTCATCTTGCTTGCGTTTAACGTTTTGTGAACAGAATCCTCATTTTCCTGGGTTATGAAGTGAAGTCCATTTCAGAAATGAAAAAAAAAAAAAAAAAAAAAAAAGACATGTATTTAGTTGGCAGAACATAGAAGACAATAGTTTAGAAGGTGTTTGGTCTGTTGTAAACATACGATTTGGCAAACCACAAGTAGAAGGCTAAACCAATGAAGCTGAGACAAGCCAATAGCCAATAGAAGTAATCTAGATGAGCTTTGTTCAGGTCGTTATCGAACCAGCTAGTTTGACCAGACTGGCTCGTGACCTTATCAATGACTGATATCATGAAGCTGCTTAGAAAGTTTCCGGCCCCGTATATGCTTAGGTTCAAGGCCATACCAACGCTCCTAAGCTCACTAGGGACTTGGTCGTAGAAGAACTCTTGTAAACCCGCCATTATGAACACGTCCGCGATTCCATAGATAACGTACTGCGGAACCAACCATCACACGCTCATTGGTATGGTGAGGTCATCATGAGCGGCTTGTAGCCTTTTGGTCTCGACCAAGGCGGCAACTACCATAGAAAGAATAGAGAAGAATATCCCTGTGCCAATTCTTTGAAGCATTGTGATTCCTGATGGGCTTTGAGAGAAGGATGTTGCGATAGGGACAAGCAGACGGTCGTAGATTGGGACGAAGAAGACTATTGATATGTTTATGAAACTTTGGAACGTAGCTGCAGGGACTTTGAGTCCTGGTGAGATTGACCTGTCCATTGTGGATCCTTGCTTTCTGAAGAAAGTGGGAGATTGTGCATGTACAATGGCATAGACTAAGCAAGTCATCCATATGGGAACAAGCTTAACCACTGCTTTTGCTTCTTCGATTTCAGCCATGTCACACGAAACCCCTGCTCTATCGAGGAATCTGTATTGTATCCAAGACGAATAGTCAAAAATGAATTGGTTTCTGTCTTTCTGATCAGATAAAAGGTATACATATGTTTCTTCTACAATATATTTGATCATTATGACAAGAACCGTATGAACACAATGTGGCCTCATAGATTCTAAAGAAAAATAAACAGAATCTTTGTTAATTATGTTACCTGAATAATTGCTTGCAACTCTGGCGAGGCAAGAGGAGAGTCTCGTTAGGGTTAGCTATATCTAAGTTGCGTTGTCTTTGGTTCTTTACTGCCTCCATGAAAACACGACCGATTATAGCAAAATGATTTTTGTTCCTGTGGTAGTTTTTTTATTGTTATTTTTGCTTGAATTAAGTGTTGGAAAAAAAAAGATTAATAGTATTATCAAACATAATTTTTTTTTTTGACAATTTGGTAAGAAAATAAAGGTATGCTCGTTTTATGGCTATTTCATTGGAACTAAAAAAATCAACACATATTTTTCCACTGGAATACGAATCTTATATTACGTCGCCACCTTCTGCCAAGAAAAGCTGTAAGACTAAACTGTGACCACCCGACGATAGATATACGACTTAGAAACAAACAAGAACGCAGAGAAACCCACGGCGCTAATAACCGCAAGTAACCAGTAGAAGTAATCGAGATGTGCTCTGTTCAGGTTACTACTCAACCAGCTGTTCCCGTCGTCTCCTCTCGTGGTCAAGTCGATCAGTGAGATGAGTAAGCTGCTCAACAAGCTTCCTACGCCCAACGCACTCAGGTAGAATGCGAGACCGATGCTTCTCAGCTCGGTGGGGACTTGGCTGTAGAAGAACTCTTGCATTCCCACTAACGTGAACACGTCGGCCAGTCCCAGCAACAGATACTGAGGGATCAACCACCATATCGACATCGGAACGGTGGTTTGCGGTTGGTCTATAAGCCCGTGTTCTTTCGCAGTCTCGAGCCGCTTTGTCTCAACCAGAGCTGCAACCGCCATGGTGAGAGTTGCTAGTACCATTCCGGTTCCGATTCTTTTGAGCGTTGTGATGCCACATGGTTCTTTGGTTATGGACCTGGAGACTGGGACCAGAACACGGTCGTAGATTGGGACAAAGACTACGATTGATATGCCAATAAGGACCTGAAGAGAAGCAGGTGAGATCTTTACACCGGGAAGTAGTGTTCTCTCCATTGTGACGCCTTGCTTTGTGAAGAAAGTCATGTATTGAGCATAAGGTATGGCGTAGAAGAGAGTTGTAAACCATACTGGGATCAGCCTGACGAGAGCTGTTGCATCTTTGACATCACTAACACTGCATGCGTTTTCCACAGTTGGTGCAAGCAAGGCTTTGTTCAGGAACCTAATCACAGGAAAGTGGCTTTAGAACCATAAACATGGACCAAGGAGCATCTTCTTCACATCTATTTATGAACAAACATACCTCAAACTCTCTGTAGATCCTTGAGATGTATTTGCCTCCATCTCAGTCTGATTTTGACAGAGCTGCGAGGAACTCGATCTTTGGTTCTTGAATGCTTCAAAGAAGACTCTACCTATCCTAGTGAAAGGGTTGGTTTCTTCTTCCGGTCTTATTTTAGCGTACCTGTAACTCTTTCTCCCTAACACGAACAGAACAAGAGAGATCAACATGAACACACATGGGATTCCAAACCCTAGAGCCCAGCTCACGGCTTCTTGAATGTAGACAACGACTACAATGGCCAAGCAGATCCCTACAGACAAACTAAGGTACCACCAGTTGAAGAAGGAGCTTCTGTCACGTTTCTCTTTCGGGTCTTTCTCATCAAACTGGTCTGCTCCAAAAGCCTGAACACAAGGCTTGTGCCCACTTTGTGCAATGGCCACAAGATACAGAGAGATGAAGAAGAGTACATTGAGCAAGGAAGACGGTGAAGAGGCCACTTCGGTGTTCTCGCTGGTAATAGGAACAAGAAGTGCAGACAAAGTCAAAAGTGCCATCCCCTGACATCAAATCCACACTTACTTCAACTCAATTCTAAACTCAGTACCAAAGATTGAAACAAACAGATCTACAATTCCTTCACCTAAATCTCCAATTCAAAGAGAAGAGACAATAAGAGACCAACCAGTACGTAGACAAGAGAAGCGATGATAATGGTTCGGTAACGACCGAGGAAAGCGTCGGCGACGAAAGCTCCCAGAACAGGGAGAAGACAGGAGATTCCCGACCACGCGTTGACATTAGCGGCGGCGACCGCCGTAGATTGACCAAGTGGTCCAGTCAAGTAGCTAATCAGGTTTGATGCGATCCCATAGTAAGCGAACCTCTCCGCAACCTCCACACCTGCAAATACACTAAGAAAAATTCAGGAATAGAGAAGCTTTGCGATCTCATTCGCGTTGGGAACTCTGTTTGATTTTACCGATTATGAACCAAGCGGCTCTCCATCTGCCGGTATTGGATCTGCCGGCGGCAAGTCCGTAGTGGTCAACGGCGTCGATTACGTATCCTTCTTGAAGAGGATTTTCGGCGGTAGTCACCATTTCTCGCTATTGAATCATGAAATTATGAACGAGAAAATAATAAACAGAAAGTTGATATGGCCGAGTTGGTCTAAGGCGCCAGATTAAGGTTCTGGTCCGAAAGGGCGTGGGTTCAAATCCCACTGTCAACAGTTAGCTTTTTAATTTTTATTTTTTAAATAATAATAATAATCAAACGGCAGGTTTTGTCTTGTTGACTGGTTGCCGCTAGAGTAAAAATTCATCGAGAACCCAAAACATTCATTTTTTAAAACATCATTTCTAAAAAAATAGAGGAAGTATTTCATACGTAATTTTTGTCTAATTTTGTTGACTTTTCTTTTTTTGTTTTTGTTCATCTTACTCTGGTAATTCATCAAAATCAATTCTAAGATTTAGAAAATAGTGAAAGTCGCAATTTATTAAAAAAAAAAGTTGTTTTTTTTTTTTTTTTTTTAAATAGACTATTTTTTTTACAATTTTTTATGTAAAAATAAAAACCGATTTGGTTGGACTCAAAACCGATTCTGTGGTTCATTGACCACATTTTTTATCTTCAACTGACTCTAATTTTGCTAGTTAAAACACTGCTCCTAATATATTTTAAAATATATTATAATTATTACTTTATATTTTACTATTACACTAAAAAGAATTATCTCTCTAACTAACACATTAAAACAATAAAATTTTAAAAACCCTAAAATTAGATTTTTGTGTAAATTATGTATTTAATATATGAAATGAGTTTTTTATAAAACAAAATTAAAAATTTTAAACGATATTATTTATAAAACAGAGAAAGAAGTAACTAGTAATTCTTTTCTCTCTCCCTCTCAAACTTATTTTTAACAAAATGAACTAATGTATTATGAGATGTCACATAAAAGTATGTCCGTGTAGCAAAGCAATCGATCTTCTAATATAGACTTGAGACGCTCGTTAAAAAAAAAAACGAACCAATCTCAATGGTCCACCTCATTGGATCGATGGTCGATCCCAAATCCAGTCAAGACCTGATTCTCTCTATAAATGCTTTTTTTAATCTCATGAAACAGTAAATCCGAACATGGAGATTCCAACCCCTATAAATGATATATGATTGTTTAAGTTGTGTAACCCATGTATATATCCTATGGTTATCCCTTAGTATTGACAGTTGATTTTCAATATGTTTCATTTAACAAATTAAGCTTGATTATGTATGTTTACATAGTACATATACTCTCTAGTACATATACTCTCTTAACAGATAAGAATCATGTCAAAACCATTACAGTTTGCTATCATTTCCATCTATGTTATGCAGGGCGGCTCAAATTTTTTGATGAAACCATGTCAAAGTCAATGCATGTTGTTTTCATTTTCATTTTTTGTTTGTAGGCTATTGTCATTTTTCATTCATGTTATGTAGCCATGTAGGGCAGCTTAAAAAAAACACCGCTCTAGAACATCATCATTTTTTTTTTATCTTTTGGAGGGTTATGAAGTTTTTTTTTTGCCCTCAGCATCTGTTAAGTGCAAAATTTTAAATTATGTGACTTTTTTCTAATCAATTTAAAAAAAAAATCATTTGTTTTAATTTTTTTGAAAGACTTAGTCACATAAGAAAATAATATATAATTCGATTTGCCAAGATATATCTAATTTTGAAAAGTTTAATTATATACTTCAAAATTTAGTAGAAAAGGACTGAACCATGTATCACTAGGTTGCGGTTTGTCCCACGCATATATCATGCTTTCAACAGCTAACAATAATTGTCTACAAATCATTAAATGGTTTGCTACAATAACTTTTATTTATTTTTTCTTTTGACATTATGGTTCAATACAATAATTAAAAGTTATTTGCAATTTTGCATAGTTCTACAGTAGTCTCCAGAATTAAGACATGCTACATCAATTGTAGAAATTAATTCGATGATAAACGACAATAGGTTAGGTTATAGTATTACATGTAGAAAAACACAACACGTTGGTTATTCATGAACATATACACATTTTAATCGTGTTTCTTTAATTTTGGGAGAAGAAAAGTATCACGAATCAATTTGGATCAAACACGCATGCATCAAAAAATAGTTCACCAATTCAATTCGGATCTCAATCAATTGTCAATGAAAAAATAATGAAAATAATTGAACCATGTTATTCCAACCTAAAATACGAAGTAGACTCGCAATTCTGTATTTGTTAAAAAAATTTTTAAGATATTGATATTTTAATTTTTATAGTCTCATGCAATTTTTTTTATTAAATCCAAAAAGATGAAAAAGAGAAAAGCAGAAGTAATTGGTGAGACCACAACACTTTTTGGTGTAGAAGTAGAGTCAATCAGTCATGTACTCTTTGAATGTCCTCCAACGATATAAACGTAGGCCTTATGTGCTATTCTATCCTCTCCGGGTATTTTTTCGAGTATGGAGATCTCCCAAAATTTTGCATACCTCCTTTTTCGGGTCACACTACAAAGAAAATTTGCAAAAGTCTTGGAGATTTTTCTTTGGATCCTATGGTATATATGGAAGGCCATAAATGAGAAGGTGTTTAACAATAAAGATATCCTACCAACAGATACCCTGGAAACTGCCAGACAAGAAGCGGAAGCTTGGGTTGTTGCACAGAAGATTACAGAATTCGGAGGAACTCTTGGTATCAGTCAGGGGCAAAGCCCACAAGCAACAGCAACGATGACTGCGACAATGCCGATGGATGACAGACCTTTGTACCCGCGGTGCCAAGTAGATGCCTCTTGGGTTAGGAACGGACACATAGCTGGCGGAGGCCTTGTACTGGATTGGGTTGATGGTAGTCACTTATTTGAATTGATAGCAACAACACAATCTCTTTCACCGCTACACGCTGAATTGGAAGCACTCATGTGGGCTATGAAAGCCATAATGCCATTGCAGATTCCCGTGTTAGTGTTTGAGACAGACTGCCTACATTTGATGAACCTGATTGAAGAGGAAGACGAATGGCCATCTCTAGCAATGGAGCTTGAAGAACTAGAATTTTTACGTCCACATTTTTAGAATCTTCTAATAGTCTTCATCTCACTTTTGCTAAATGTCCGGACTGATTACCTCGCTAAGAGCGCTCAAGCCTGTGATCTTTTATTTTCCTATGTAGACCAATTCTCTCAGAGTGGCTGGCTCTCGAGCCCAGTATCTTTAGAATTTAAGTTTAATATATGAAGTTTTTGTCGTTAAAAAAAAAAAGTAATTGGTGAGACTAAACAAACAAACAAAACAAAAAAACGTTTTCTATGAGAGCTCACGATCAAACAACTACGTACATAAACAAAATTCACTTTTTCTATCTAAAAAAAACATTTTTTAAAAATGCTTAATATATAGACCTATTCTTTTTTCAACATCTGTTAAATACAATAATATTGAGAGCTATGTGGGGCTTAGCACGTCTATATAAACCTACCACGTAATATGTTAATCACTCATATAAACAGCAAAACCAAAAAGAAAACTAAAGAAAGATATGGCAATGGAGAAGCAAGCGACTGCTGGAGAGGTGCCGGTAAGCCCGTTTTCACGGCTATTCAGCTTACCGGGTTTCGACTGCTTCAACATTGTAACCATCGGATTCAAAAATGAAGCCAACCCACCAGATATAATCGAAGGCTTGAAGAACACATTGATCAACCACCCACGCTTCTCAAGCATACTAGTAATTGACACAGACACACACACTTTCATGTGAATATACATATTCTTGCAACGATGTTTTTGTGCGACTTTGACACGATTTTTTTATGTGATACTTTGTGTAGGAGACAGGTCTTGGTGAAGACAAAGCAAAATGGATTCCCACTAAAGTAAAAGTTGAAGATCATGTCATTGTTCCGGATATAGATCCCACCATTGAAAATCCTGATCAGTTCCTGGAGGACTATACATCAAATATGGTTTTTTCACCAATAGATATGTCAAAACCATTATGGGAGATACATGTATTGAAAATGAAGACATCAGATGCAGAATCTCTCGTTGTGGCGAGATTTCATCATTCTTTGGGTGATGGGATGTCTCTTATGTCTCTTTTACTCTCTTGTAGTCGAAAAATAAGTGACCCCGAGGCATTACCCACTTTGGTTTCTCCAAAGAAAAGCAAAGTAACCAAAGTTTGTTGGTCGCTAGTTGCTTGCTTTTGGTTAATAGTAAGACGAGTGTTCCACACTTTTGTTGAAGTTTTCAAGTTTTTGATCATTTTATGTTCCGCCCGCGACTCTGCGACTCCTCTTATGGAAAAATCAAGTGCTACACTTAACACTAATAAGTTTATTCATCGAGTCATTAGTTTGGATGATGTGAAAGTCGTGAAGAATGCAATGGATATGGTATGTTGTATTTCCTTTTTTGTTTCTTGCTTGTTGATCAATAGTTGACTTGACCCAACATGATGAGCTTCATTTGTTTTTTCTTGTCCTCTCTTAATTAGACTGTGAACGACGTTACTACTGGGATGGTGCAAGCTGGTCTTTCACGATACTTGAGTCAAAAATATGGTAAATCTTTTAGTATTATTTACTGCCATCGTGAAATTACATTTGTTAAACGTTTCTAACATTTTTTTATATTTGGCTTTTGTATACAGATTCTGAAACAAATCCGAAGCTAAGAAAATCTCTAGAAAACACATGTCTTCGTGGTGTTGTTTTCTTTAACCTAAGAGCAAATAAAAAAATCGAGGTGCAAACAACATATATATACCCCAAACGGTCTTTATTTATTTTTATAAAAAAAAATTTGAAATTTCAACGCCCTAATGAAATTTGTTTTGTCATATATAATAAAGGATCTTGCTACAATGATGGTGAAACGTTCAACGTCAAGATGGGGAAACGCAATTGGTTATGTTATGTTTCCGCTATCGATTAGTACTGAAAATGATATATTTGAATACGTCCGACGAGCCAAAACCATAATGGACAGGAAAAAACTCTCCCTCGAACCTTTATTTTCCTATGTGTTGCTCAAATTGACCGTGGAAGTTTTTGGATTCAAGGTGAGATAGTAAATCAATATTATTTTATATATGTGAACGATGAATTCTAATAAATTAATTTGGCCTTCTGGGGCGTTTGGAAAACAGGCACTAAGAACTCTTGCAATGAGAATTTTCGGTCGCTCAACAATCATAATGTCAAATGTTGTCGGTCCATCAGAAGAAATAAGCCTTTTCAACAATCATATATCTTATGTTGCCGCAAGTATATCTGGTATTCCACAGGTACGTTACCCAATATCTTCCTTGAAACCATGATCAAAAGTCATATTAACTTGATTCCCCATATATCCACGTTTATATAAAAAAAATTCTCTTACCATAATATCTAATATGTTATGAGCAGAATGGGTATTGAGATAATTAGAGATGTATACAAAATATTTCTCAAAAAACGGGACTCATGTTTTTTTATACTGTATATATCACAATTTTAAACTCTATAATTCTTGATGCACAACAAAACAAAACTCTATAACTCTTATTTAATTTATTTTCCTGTATTTGTTTTCCACTTAAAAAATGGGGACCTCATACACATGTTTCCTAACTAGGATGTCTAATTATGTTTCTGTTAAGTTCTATTGGGTTTAAACGAATAAACCCTTAGTCAACGAGAATTAACAATATGATGTTTGTTGGACAAGGCACTCATTGTCCACATAACAAGCTATGTAAACAAAGTTATCATCAATCTCGGAGTTGATCTCGACGTGATTCCAGACCCTCATCACCTTTGTGATCTCATAATCGAAGCTCTTCACATGATGAAATCCAAAGCCGAAGAAAGAAGTTCTGCTGATTTAGACGTTTAAACGAAATGTTTGACGTAGAGATCGAAAAGAACCTACGCATGCGAAACTCTTACAAGGTATTCCATTTCCAACGAGACGTGTGTTATCTATGTATTACTATTTTCAATAAATGTTGTTTTCAATAACTGTGACGATATGCATGATGTAGAGATCGAAAAGAAAATACTCGTGCAAAAATTATCAGTTATTCCATTTCCTAAAATATTTTTGTCATCTATGTATTATAAATATTTAATAAAGTGTTGTTTTAAATACCTATTTTTAAACGAAATGGTTGATATCGAGATCGAAAAGAAACTACTCATGCAAAACTCTTATGTGTTATTCCATTTCATATGATATTTGTATTATTTTGTATAACCATATTCAGTACATGTTGTTCTATATATGTTCAATAAATGTTGCTTTACATCTACACGCAACATTTATCATATCTTGACATCTTGTGTTTGAGTGGGTGTAGTTTCACCACTGGTCAGATATCAGATTTCATTACTATCACTACTAGTTTTATAATCCCAAATTCCATAAGCTCACCACTGATTAATACAAAAATAGAAAGAAGAAGAAAATCAAGTGTTTGACGAAAAACAGAAAAAAACCAAGTAGGGCGGCGGAAACAAACAACAACAAGAAAATCAAGCCGAAAGAGCAACGGAAGCAAACGATAACGAAAAGCACAAAAGAAAATCACCGAATATTGTAACTCCGACGGTAAAGTTTTTTTATTTGTGTCTAAACCCCCAACGGTAAATAGATTTTTTCATTACTTTGGAAAGAGATTTTTTTAGTTATCTACAGAAATTATTTTTTGAGTGATGTTATATCAAGAATGATATTTAAATGAATCTATTTATGAAAATAACATGTAAGAACTTGAAGGTATAACTAAATAATCTCGGATATCTCAATAATATACTTGTTAATATTTTAATATACTATCCTAGTGGAATTAATATATGTTAAAAGTTCAAAATTAGAAGAAAAAAATAATGGATACTAATATTAATGATGAAGTTAGAGACTATAATATATGATATTTTTGGAAGTAGTTATGCTCAATAAAACAATGATCGCTTTTTAACGTTCTTCACAATTTTACAAACTAGGAGTTACAAAAAAAGAAAATGGGAAGTTTGATGAGATTCTCAATGTTGAGAATGAGTGAACCATGTGTTTAAATGTGTGTCTCTTCCCCTCGAGACTGTTGGTGGGAGAGAGATGGTGAGAGCATGAGTAATGGAGATAGTTTTTGGGAAACTCTAAGGAGAAAAAAAAAGAAAAAAGAATTGTTTTAATGATATGGCGAGACCAGCATTCAGAAACGTCTATTATTAAAACGTCAATTTTTTTTTTTTTTTTTATTGATTTTTTCCGAAAAAAAAATAATTTTTTTTTAATAATAAAAAAAGTTTTAAGAACTTTTTACCCGGCTCACCATGCTCTTAGCAGCCTGCATCTTAGAACTTGCATTGTCTCACGGATGATCGATGGTGTGCAACGTCTTGGATTGTAGTCTGATTCATTGGCTGTACCTACACTAGAAGTCTAGAATATATGTCATCATCTCTCCTCCCCGACATCACAATCTGTCTCAAGTTGACAATTGGTTCCAATGGAAAAAAAAATCAGGATATGAAGGATACCTTTGTCTAGTGATCTTTAACAACCAACTACTGACGTGATAGGCATTTTCATTATACACAACGTTATGCTGTTTATTGCCACAAAAACATAAATGTTACATCAATTTCGAAATATAGGTGGCTAGTTTCTGAACACACATTATGCACAACATTCAGTCGTGTCTTATCTTTTCACGTGCAGTATTAACTCTTTGAGTCGTGTCTTATTCTTTCATGAGTATTAACTTCTCTCTTAAAGGTTAGTAAAAAAAAATATATATATCTCATGAATTTATTATAGCGACCATGCTTAATAAAAAAAGTAGTTAGTTTTTCAACAGTCTCATTTAAGTACAGCATCGAATATTTTTGTGAGATGTATATATAACTAAACAGTTCGCATATGCACTTCGTGGAATCACATATAACCGAAAAATAAAAATATCGAGAGATGGCAACCAAACAGCAAGTGACGGAAGGAGATGAGGAGCCGCTCAGTCCATTTGCACAGCTGTTCAGCTTGCCAGGTCTCGACGTCTTCAACATTGTAACCATTGGATGCAAAACCGAAAGCGATCCATCCACAGTTATTGAAGGATTAAAGAACACTTTGACTAACCATCCACGATTTTCTAGCATACTGGTCGGTAATTAACATTCGCATGTTATTTTCTAATTAGTTTTCTTCTTTTGCTTATAATGTCAAGTGTTATACGGTTTCAAATTCAAATAAACTAGTAGTAATCAGTAATCTGGTTTATGTCTATTATATTATATAAGGACTCCTTTTATGTAATATGTAGGTGACGGGTCATGGTGAGCACAAAGGAAAAGCTAAATGGATTCCAACGAAAGTAAACGTGGAAGAGCATGTAATTGTTCCGGATATAGATCCCAACATTGAGAATCCTGATGAATTTCTTGAGGATTATACATCAAACATGGCTCTTTCTCCAATGGATATGTCCAAACCTTTATGGGAGTTTCATATATTGAAACTTAAGACATCACATGCGGAATCCGTGGCTGTGGCTAGGTTCCATCATTCTTTGGGCGATGGGATGTCTCTTATGTCTCTTTTACTTGCTTGTACTCGAAAAGTATGTGATCCCGAGGCATTGCCTACTTTTGTGGCTCCGAAAAAAGGCAAAGCCAAAAACGCTTGTTGGTCTGTGGTTGCTTGGTTTTGGTTCATAGTAAGACTAGTGTTCCACACCTGTGTGGAAGTGACCAAGGCTATTGTTTTTATATGTGTCGCGAAGGACACCCCAACTTCTCTAATGGGTAAACCAGGAGTTACACTTAGCATTAATAAGTTTATCCATCGAATCATTAGGTTGGATGATGTCAAGAAGGTGAAGAACGCCATGAACATGGTACGTTAGCATTATTACTTTCCTTTGTTTGTTTTCTGAATATTGATTTTTTTTTTTTTTTTGTTTATTCTCTTATCAACTAGACAATGAATGATGTTCTCTTGGGGATGGTACAAGCTGGTCTTTCAAAATATTTAAATCAAAGATATGGTAAATCATTACTCTTGTTTAATGTTATAAAATAACATTTGTGAGCATTTCGTACATGATATTCTCAAATTTGTGAACAGGCGATCTTGAAACAACTTCAAAGGCAAGAAAAACTCTAGACAAAATGTGCCTTCATGGTGTTGTGTTTTTCAACCTAAGGCCAAACAGAGATATCGAGGTGCTGATGAATAACATATCACTAACGATATTATCTTCTTTGTCTCATTTGAAATAGTAAGAATCTAACATTAAAAAATCTATGTATACAGGATTTGGCTAATATGATGGCAAAAGGTTCTAAGTGCAGATGGGGAAACTCATTAGGTTATGTCCTGATTCCTTTGCAGATGAAGCCAGAGGGTGATATACTTGAATATGTTCGAGAAGCCAAAATTACTATGGAACGTAAAAAAAACTCTCTCGAACCTCTATTTTCCTCTGTGTTGCTCAAATTGACTATGGAGGTTTTTGGACTTACGGTAAGATACTAGATCAACACTATCTTTGATATTTCCAAATATAATATATGTATTTTGTGCATCCAATCTAAATACACTTGGATGTATGGGGTGGAAAACAGGCACTCAAAAACCTTATAAAGAGAGTATTTGGTAGCACAACAATGATATTCTCCAATGTGGTTGGTCCAGCCGAAGAAATTAGTTTTTTTGGCCATCATATATCTTACATTTCTGCAAGTACCTTTGGTATCCCACAGGTACTATTCTCACCTTAAAACAGAAACCTTCTTTGAAATCATTACCAAAAAATCACATCTATTGATTTTCTTAGCAGTTAGACAGTACTATATAGTAACATAACTGTAAGGATACATACATGGTCAATGGTGACCTCTATTTCTCCAATTAGATATAATAGTAAAAAGAAAGGGAAATAAGTAACTAGACAATAAAAACTAAATTTAATATAAACAGAAATCGAAAAAAAAAATTACTAATGTGACCAAATTTAATTATGTTCCATCACGTATAAAAAAGCATACACAAGCTAAATGCAACTCATAGTTGATGAAACTAATTACAATGTTTTTTTTTTTTTTTTGTAAGGCACTAGTTATCAGTATTCAAAGCTATGTGGACAAACTTATGATCAACCTTGCTGTTGATCTCGACGTGATTCCCGACCCTCATCACCTTTGTGATCTCGTCATCGAAGCTCTCGACATGATGAATTCTGCAGCTGCTGCCCCATAAATGTTTTTCCAGGCTTCAGAAGTCTAGCGAAGTATTTGGGGTGGAAAATGAAGAACCCTTGTTAAATTGCATAATCAATTATTCAGTTAAGCCATGTAATTATTTTCAATACTTTGCCTAAGAGTATCAGTAATGGAAAAAAATTAGTAATGGAAATTTTTAGTGGGTTCTTAAAGTGAAAAAGAAAAGAAAAAAAAATGATGTGGCATCAACTTTTTAAGAATTAACTCATCGCGATTTTATGTAATAGACTCTTTTTTTGACAACTTTTAATAGACTATATATTGTGTGTGAACAGAGTTATATTTTTATACGACCTCTAGGGCACGATCTCTATCTACATTTAAATGTCTGTACGAGTGTGTCTCTGATATTGCATCATTCCATTTTCTCTAACTTGGCATTAATTAGTGTGCCCCCACAATTTAATTTTTTCTGCACGTCGACCCCATCGTTTCGAAGTAGCTTTTCAACTTATCGATCACTTCACATTGATTGAACCAACAAAGAAAAAAAAAAAGAAAAAAAAGATAATACTTCCGGTAATGAGCTACCGTCTACCGACTGGTATTTTCGTATTTTAAGTAGGCAAAAGAAATCAACTGTCTAAACCCAAAAGTGAAGACATGACCTAATTACAAGATATATCTACATATGACCTAAATTTGACAATCCAACATCAAACCTTCATACAGTAAGCAGTACGTCAAAAAACAACAACAAAGACCGACAAGAAAACAAGTTAGCTAAAGTTTTTATAAGGACCAAGAGATAAACAAAGATCAACAAAAGTATATATGCATCAACATGCGGCCCCAAGCCTCTGACCGAGATAAACAAAGTGCCAGGTTAAAGACATGAGCATCAGTATATTTAACCAAGAGGAGTATGTGTTGAGCTTGCTCAGCCTCTCACTTAGCTTTTCTAGTCTCCGCCTTAACTCTTGCTCACTCGTCCTATCTCCTCCTCTTCCTTCTTCCTTTTCTGCCTTCATCCTCTCAAACATCGCCTACCAACAACAACAATGTATAGTCATATAAAAATATTCATATACTAGAAAGATTCCACACAATGATCCGAAATTAACCTTGGTGGCACGTGGCTCAACGAATGACTTATTAGCCTCGATCATAAAGAAAGAAGCCAAGAGGTTAACGCCTTGCCACATCTCCGTCGCGTCAGTGAGGAGTTTCCTCCGCCTGCTAAGCACGTGACCAAGCAAACCCACCAAGATTCCGACAGAGGTCGTCTTGAAGTAAACAGGATACAGCTTGCTCTGCACCACCCCAAACTGTTGCCTCCCCAAAACCGAAGCTAACACGTAGCTCGACACAAACGTCACCCACACGCTAGTCCCGAACGCCGCCGCAATCGCAACCAATCCCACCACGCTTGCCACCTTCTTCGGACTCAACACCGCCGCCGTCGCTGATCCGAACCCACGCGCCGCCGTCTTAACTCTCGCCCACGCGTTCTGCGACTTGTGAGCTGCCTTTTCCTTCAATTCGTGGGCCTTCTCCCTCACTCTATCTCTCGCCCTCTCCTTCGATTCATGGGCTTTGTGGGCCACAGTCTCCTTCGCGTCATGAGCTTTTTCTGCTAAGTTCTCTTTAGCATCACGGGCTTTATCAGACATACTCTGCTTCACATCATGGGCTTTATCAGACATACTCTGCTTCACATCATGGGCTTTATCAGCCACACTCTGCTTCAAATCATGAGCCTTCTCTGTTAACTTGTCCTTAGCATATTGGGCTTTACCAGCAACCGTTTCTTCCACGTCGCGTGCCCCACGTGAAACCGTCTCCTTCACGTCGTAAGCCTTACCCGCCGCAGCGTCTCCGGCATCGGAGATCGTACCGCCGACATCATTAGCGGAATCGGCGGTTCTGTCTTTAGCCCGACCGACTACACTCGCGATCTTCTGCCTGCACTTACCGAACGCGTCGCATATGACTTCCCCAGCCGTAGCGTGGTGATCACGCGCCTCCTCTGCCACTAGCGGCTGCGAGATCCCTTGGCCGACGTTTGGAAAGTACGACGCCGTTTCTTTTGCTTTCTCTTTGGCGTTTCTAAGCAAAACAGTTTCCTTATCTTCTTCTTCTTCTTCTTCTTCTCCTTGATCTGCCGATGGCGGCGAGATGGACACTCTGGTATTGGTTTTACCATCGCGATCGTACTCAACCACCACAACGCGGTGGCCATCTTTGACGATGACGTCTCCCTCCAACGCAACCGTCTGGTGAGTGGTCATGGCTGGGCTCGGAGACCATACCTCCGCCGCAAGTAAAGTGCTCAAGACAAGAGACAAAGCCAATAGATTCATCATTATACTTCTCGGGTTTGGTTACTACACCCTCTCCATCACCAAATCTTAACTACCACTAAGGGATAATAAACACTTTTTGAGGATGTGAAACCGCAACAAACATTTTGTTTTTCCTTTTAGCTTCTGAATGACACGTATCGCCACGTCTTTGCACGTGTCGCTTCTTAGAGAAAAGTAAACTACTCGACCGTTTGACGATAAGTGTAACTGTGTAAGCACTCGTGTTCTCTTGCAGTTTTGCACATAACCCGAAACGGTCGTGTATAGTTACAATTGAAGGAACCACAAAATGGGCCTTGATCTGGTACATTGAGGCCTAATATATAATCATGGACTATACAAATCTGGCTGGGAAGAAACGAATCAAACATTGTTGAAGCTCCTTAAAATTGAAATGAGTAAAGATCATTCTTTCCGAGTCATGTCAAAGCAAAAACAAAACAAAAAAAAAAGTCAAACCTAAATTATCGGTTCTTGTATAACAACTTGACAGAGAGAGATTCATTGACGCAGCAAAGCTCTAGATGCGATGCTAATAAACAAAACAAGAATGGTAAGAGAGCTTATGAACACTCCACACACAAGTGCCTTGTCAATGAAACCCCAATGTGAATGCGACACGAGTTTTTGCTTCTCTTCTTCCACTTCTTTTTCCGACTTTCCTTGTGCTTTGTAGTAATCCCTCCTTCTCATAAACCATCCAAGCAAGCCTCTCGTGCTTTGATCCTGTATTGAGATATCTCCAGAAATGTTACAGGCCTCTCCTGATTTCTCTTCCCCACAGCTCTCAGCAGAGCATGCGCAAGTCTCGCAAGTGACAGCAACAGACGAACAAGGCGGCTTTTTCTCCTCCTCTCGGGATTGTGTTTCTACATTTGCAGAACTTAATGTCTCAATCACCTCCCCAAACACCGACCATCTCCCCACAGATGTTATCCTCGCTATAGCTGAAGTCCCAAGCATACTCTCTGGTCCAGTAACTAAGACCTGTATGTATCCTTTTGTATGCCCAACCTACAAATTTTCAAATGAAACAGTATTGGCAATCAAAGATAAAATCAAATTATTAGAGTTGCTTTCGAAAGGGACTTACCAAATGGACTCCATCGGTAGCTATTTCGGTTATCCATATTCTCTCTTCTTTGCCCTCCATACCGGTGTAAGGTGCAAAAGCCTCAAAGACACAAGTCAACTCACGGCTTCGTTGCTTCACTATCTTACTTTGTACCTTCTTCATCTTTGCTGCTGGGGTCCCTATATCATAAAACGCCACATCCGATTAAAATGCTTAGAACCGATGAAACACTTCCCAAACTATCAAATTTACATGCATGACCAAATCACTGAGCTAAACCTGGTCTGGGGTAAAACTGAGAAATATGGACTTGAGCAAACTTGTAATCCTTGATAAGCCCAACTGTTTCTGAAAAATCTTCATCGGTTTCACCTGAAATTAGAAAAGTGACAAACGTATCTTCAACACACTCCAATTCTATTGAACAATCAAAATCAACATGCTTCAAGGTCGTCAGACCATATTTGATAAATGTATGCCATTTCTACAATGAACTTATCAACAACACTTATCAATGAACGAAAATGAAAATATAGAGACAAATGTTATAAGAAGTAAAAAAAAAAAAAGCAGACTTTCAGGTTTATCCAGCACTAACCAGGAAAGCCACATATTATGTCAGTAGCAATTTGCATCCCCGGCACGAGTTCCGTTAAGGTATCAACCACGGTCCTGAACTCACCCGATGTATATTCCCTGTTCATGGCCTGCAACAGGAAATAGTAAGGTTAAGACTAGAACAAAAAAAATTGCAGTTTTACAAAAAAATTGGCTCACCGTCAACACAGAATCACTTCCAGATTGCACAGGGACATGAAGAAAGGTGTAGACACATGGGTGGCGTAAAACGGCTGCGATTTCTTTCAAATGCTCGAGAATAAAGGGAGGATTAGTCATCCCAATCCTTAGCATTGTGCTTCGATCAGAAGGAAGCTCCTTAACAATAGCGTTAAGCAGTATTGGAAGATTTACTCCTATGTCACGACCTGCAAACATTTGGAGGACATTAGCTCCCAATAAAAATGAAAATACCAATTATGTTTTCGCTACTGAAAGCAGGATAGTACACCTGAACCTAAGTTTCAATGAAAAATAAATTAGATTTTTTTAAAAACTACCATATGCTCCAGTGTCCTCGCTACTCAACCAAATCTCCTTAACTCCTTGAGATATTACGGTTCTCACCCGCTCCACCTTCGATGTAGGAATATCAAAAAAAGTTTATGGTGGAGGGAAAACAGGAAATGGGAAAAATCTGGATGCAAATCAAAACTCTTTTCTGAGAAGATGAATCTGCTTACAAGACTATCGACTGTGTAGCTTCCTAAGTGACCACGGGCGTGCTTGGTCTTACAGTAAGTACAGGCACCCAAACAGCCAACATTAATGGGGAGAATTTCAATAAAATTGTTCCTTCGCACCTGCAATGGAAATTGACTTCTTAAGCCACACTAAAAATAACCTCACTGAAGTCGAACAAGAAATTGTGAAAGCTAAGAAAGACCTAGCACAATTATATGATCAAAGAACTGTACCGAAATCAAATTTTGGCTTCTACTTACTCATTGCCAGGAATAGTCATACTCAAACATCAAAGTCGAAAGTAATCAGAAGCTAAAATTTACACACACCTTTGGGAGATCAAGCGCAGGCAAAGTCTTCCGATTCAGCAGCCGCACTTCATGACCCTTAAGAGTTTCTTCAACGATTTCAACAACACGATCAATCTGTTGGACTCCAACTACACTGACGCCTTCTAGTTCCTTAAGGTCTCGACTTCCCTGAGGAACACATCCGGCTATCACAAGAGGCTTTTTCCCACTTCTACCCCTCGTTATCAGTGTAGACATTGCAGACTGGCTTGGGGATTTCACAGTGCAGCTGCAACAATCGCGCATGTAAGATACGTTGCTACACACAAACTCAAAGCTAAGCTAAAGCAGAATGCTGCACTGTAAACTGTGAAGTTACAAAATCAAACAGTGGGAAAAGTAAACTATTTGCTCACATTCTTGTGTGTCACAAGAACATTTCACACTACTCATGAACATTTCACAGTACGAAAACTAGCATTGAAGCTTACGTGTTGATGAGCCACAGATCAGCATCCTCGGGGACTTCTGTCAACGCATATCCAAATGCAGTAAGCTGACCAGCCATATACTCACTGTCACTCTGAACAAAAAAACCATAACAAGAGGAAATACCATATACGATTAGCTTTTAACATGTTCTAGCTAAAAGATATCTAGGTCTCAATCACTAGCATCAAAAACATGAGAAGTGTATATTGATGAGGCAATCAGAGATCTATCAACACACTAGAACACTTAAGCCAGCTAAAAAGATATATCAGTCTCAATCACTATCAAGAACTCTTATCAACGTTTGAACACTTACAGAACTCCAAATTACAATCGAACACTCAAGATTTATAAATGACTTGCCTGGTTATGGGAACATCCAAATGTCTTGATGTAAATTGTCTGCGAAAAATCATCGATGAAAAAGAAACAAGACGATGGTAAATGTTAGTGCATCCAAAATCGACGAGTATAGAAACCGAAGCAAATGATAAACTGGAATCGAGTGAAGGAGAGAGTGATTGGAGGAGAATGACCTGTGTTCCCGGAATCTTCAAAGATGGTGGAGCAAGCGAGTCACGATTTGAACCGGTAATTTCATCCTGTTTCGAGCTACTACGTTTGCTCTTATTCGTCTTTGGATTTATCCCGACCGCATTCAACGGTAATCTGAAACCCGGTGGTGCACCACCGCTCCCTCCGGCTAACAAATCCTCAATATCCTCCATTCTCGATTCCGTCTTCTCTCTTCACGGCGGCGCGTTATCGAGTAGAAGCAGCGACAATGGAGACTGGGGTTTTTGCAACGAAGCAGGCACGGTGGGATCTCATGGGCCCGGGTCGGGTTAAAATTCATTTATAAGACCCGATAAATCTATAGCTAACTAAAGCCCAATTAATGTATTACTCACAATGGGCTATTATTAGATAAGTGTTCATCGTCAGCAAATTTTGGTTGTCAAGCAAAAAAAATAAAAAGTTGACTAATATTTCAACGATCAGTAAGTAAATACTGCTCATAAGGTATGGATCTATTGTTTCAGTTTTTCTTTTCTGAATTTTGAATTTTAAATCGAAAACCATTAAAAGTTGTATTGAAAAAGTTTATGTCGTGAACATATAGAAATTGCCTTCTTTTTGTGGGTCAACATTTGAGGAAATTTTGTTTTGGAAATAAATTGTTACTATACGTTGGTAGGCGTTACAAACAATAAGGTGATTCAGATTTATATCATTCAATGGTTAGCTCAAACCGGCCGGAATTCTTATTAATCAGACATATTATTAAAATTTAGTGTTTCCATTTAATTAATCTGTTTGAACTCTTTAACTTATGATTGTGCTACTTAAATTTAATGGTTGTTAGTTCATGAGTTAAGTGACAGTTAACCATAATATATTCAGATGAGTAATAAAATTAAGCACTAGCCCACTAATTCGTTTTATAAAATAAATACTCAAAACAAAATAAAATTAAGAAATGGAGCTTTTTTACATTTATCAATTATTAAAAATATATATTAAACTCCCGGGTTCGTTTCCCCACAATAAAGCTTTTAACTTTAACAAAAAAAAAATTATTAAATTAATTATAAATTTACTCTAAATAGACATAAATCTTTGAGATAAACATTCAAAATAAAAAGTAAGAAAAACGTGTTCAAAATATATGTGCATGTGACTGTACAAAGGTTTTATTTTTTAATGACGTGGACTCTGAATTTACCGCTTCTCTGTCTTTTTGGGCAAACTTACTGGCTTACTGCTTATCTTCTTATTCTATTTGTTGTGTCAACGAATTAAAGGATAAGAATGCACTGGCTAGAATAAATATTATTTTATCAAAATCCCCCCCCCCCCCCCCCCCCCCGCAAAAATCTTTTATTTACCAATATCAACTTTTTGTTTTTTGAAAACAAAAGAAAACAATTATCTTTAGTGTTAATCAATACAATTCTGAAGTAATTATTTTAGAATCTGACTTCACATATTGACCAAAAGGTATCCCATCTTTTTTTTCGTCCATTCATTGAAAAAAGGTATTTTTTCGTCCATCTACATAAATATGAATTGCTCAAAAGTATAAATACATAAAATTGTAAATGTGTTACGCCTCTTTGACTTCACAAAATCTCTTAACCTAAAACTGAATCTGATGAGACAACATTAAAGAAAGAGAAAAAAGACTTCAAGTCTCCGACATGAGTGGCCCCTCAAATCTTCCCTCTCGATCTGCTGCGCCACGACGACCTGTGGTAGGTCCCCAATTTCACATTGATTCTTCCATTTTTATTCTTTTTCATATATTTTAATGTTATTGGGTTGATTTGTGGAGAAATCTATTGATGCTTGCCATGGAATAATGCGATTTGCGATTTGTTAATATATATATAGGAGTGTAGGTTAATAGATCCACCACTGGATGATGAATTGATGATACATCTTATATATGTTAGCACATATTAACATCAAAATTATCATTTGATTTCTAAAGCATAGATTACATGTTTATGTATTAGAATCAAAAATGATCATTTAGTTTGATTTCTGAAAACCGTGGATGATATAATTTTATATTTGGGGTAGGTACAGTGAGAAACATGAAGATTATTTCATTTCCTCTTTGTTTTTTTTTTTTTTGAATTTAGCTTTTGTTTGGTTTAAGTTAAAAAAATAGTGGTTAATCAAAGGTTTATATAATTGAATGAACAATATATATAGATTTTGAATTCAATTCTAACAAAAATTGAATGAATTGGTTTAATTGTTTACCCACAAAATTTAAATGAGATGTATCATTTGTTTGCGCGTGCAAATAATTTAATTTATTATATAATTTTTTTAAAACATAAATAATGTCTATTTAGTAAAAATATAATAGAAACATAAACAAATATTTTCTAATCAATAGAAGTCAATTTTAAGCCAAGAAAATTAAGTGTTAATATATATTATCTTTAATAAAAATTAAAAATGAATTTCATATTAGTAAATAAAAAATGGTTAATCGCATTTTTAAATGTTTGAACAAAGATAATACAGAGATTTTATTTAGTTTTATTAGTTATTTTTTTTTAAATATAATTTATATACGGAAATTATCTATCATTTATATCAAAAATAGAGAATATATGTTCACACATTAAAAAAAGTTTAAACTGTTTTAATATTTTATAGATGAAGAAATATTATTTGAATTATTATTATTAAAATTGACGTCATATCGAACTCGGTTTGTCTGAGATTGCAATAAAATTATAGGATGAAATTTCTAACCCATTCACAGAAAATGATGGGATTACTAGTAATTCTCTACTTTGTTTTTGTTTCAATTCTATATTGATCTACAAAGATTTAATCATTGGCCTACGGCCTACCAAAGATTATAACTTTGTCGCAGATATTTTTAATGAGAATAGTAAACAGAATCATGCGTTTATGCATCAATAAAAACATTGCAAGAACTTTGATTCGTTAACATACTATGTTTTTTAATTATACATACTTTCTTACTTCAATGAGAAAATTAAATCGTTCTAATATAGACTATAGTTTGCAAGGATTTTTGGATAAAAACTAAAGATACTTCAAATTAGTAAAACAAAAACACTAAATATACCTTGAAATGCTAATATAGTTTTCTTTTCTTAAACAAATAGGTTCTTGCTCTTCCTGCTCTCTCTCAGGTTCCGGTAATAAACGGAGTAAGTTTTCATTTTCATAAATTTCATTATAATTTATATCAGTTCAATCTCTAAAACCCTTAAAACGTTTTAGGGATAATTCTAATGCAATTATCTTTCTCTTAAATTATTTTAAAATAATATATAAATCTATATATACTAGTTAGGGCTACAAAAACGAAAAGCTGGAGTAACCAAAACAATCAATGGCACTATGATTTCTTTTTGGGGTCAATAATACATTATATTGTTGTTTAAATTTGAGAAAATTATATAGTCATTCTTCTCTAACATAGTGCACTTTTAATTATTATTGTACTTTAGAAATCTTACCTATATGTATACAATCTACTAACTAACGCTGATGTTTACATATTTTGCAGAGAATAGTCCATAGAGTTAATGAAGTTGTTCAAAATAACGAATCAGAAACTATTAGTATACAGAACGGTGGTCGTGGCCGTGGTCATGGCCGTGGTCGTAGCCGGGGCCGTGGTCGTAGCCGGGGCCGTGGTCGTGGTCGTAGCAGTGGCCGTGGTTGTGGCCCTAATGGTCAAGGTAGAGGTAGTGGCGAAGGTGGTCAGAGCTTAGAGCAAAATTATTCTAATTCAAGAGGGCAGGTGCATAACTATTTTAACAAAAATTGATATCTTTTTATTTTTTAATATATATACAAGATTCACAAAACTAAAATTTGGGCTAACCAAAACAATCAATGACTATAACTTTTTCATTTGGTCAATAATACACTGTATTTTAGTTTAAATTCGAAAAAATAGTCATACATTTTTAATTAATATTGTATTCTATAAATTTTAAATATATATATATACAAACTGCTAACTAACATTGATGTTTACATATGTTGCAGAGTATGTTTAATAGACTTAATGAAGCTGTTCAAGATAATGAATCAGAAACTATTAGTATACAGAACGAAGAACCAATTATAGATGCCGTTCCAATTTCTTACGTACTTCCAGTTGATGATCGTGGGCATAACAATAATAGTCAAAATAGAGATATTAGCAGAGGTGGACAGATCTTAAGACAGCATGATTCTGATTCAAGAGAAGAGGTGCATTACTATTTTAACTAAAATTGATACCTACTCAAAAACTAACCATGCGTGATGTACATTTCAAAATTTTAATTTGAGCTACTTTTTGAGTAGATAGTAAAAATTTAATGATATATATTTATATCAAATTCATAAAACTAGAGTTTTGTTTGACAGCATCGTTCTGAACCATGCTACGACAACCAACAGAGTGAAGGAATCCAAGACCATCCAAGATCGAATGACGTAAGTTTTATATAGTATAAATATTTGCTAAAAAGGGTAATTGTTTTGATAGAAAATTTATATTGTGTGTTTTGTTTTAATACGTACTGCAAAAAAATTGTTCACAAGACATTGAAAATTCAGGGATACGGAAATGGAGATATATATATATATATATATATATATATATTATTTATGTTTTGTAACTAACACATGTTTTAATTGAACATGGAATATTAGGGCATAAATATATCATCTATGCTTCCGAATTTGATGATATGTTCAACAGTCAGGGAAAATGGTCAAACACATTCTATATCTACTCAGCTACAAATGGTATTTATTTGTTATATATACTTTTCATATATATATATATGATAAAATTTATGTCTAATTAACTATTATATATACAATACTGAATATATATTGAAAATATTAGGGTGCAAATACATCATGTATGCTTTTGAGTTCAATGATTGGTTCAATAGGGGCTAAAAATGGTCATACTCACTGGACATCTACTCAAGTAATAATGGTATTTCTTTGTTAAATACAATTTTCATATATAGATGATAAATTTATGTCTAATTGACAATTATATATAGTATTGAACATATATTTGGAATATTAGGGAGCAAACACCTCATGTATGTTTCCAAGTTCGATGATTTGTTCAACAGATGCTAAAGATGGTCATGCTCACACGATAACTATTGAGGTAAAAATGATATTTTTTTGTTATATACACTTTTCATATATATATGATAAATTTATGTCTAATTGACTATTATATATATAGTATTGAATATATATTGGAAATATTAGGGTGCAAACACATTATGTATGCTTTTGAGTTCAATGATTGGTTCGATAAGCTCTGAAGATGGTCATACTCACTCGACATATACTCAAGTAAAAATTGTATTTGTTTGTTATATACAGTTTTCATATATACATGTTAAATTTATTTTTAGTTGACTATTGTATTTAGTACTGAACATATATTTGGAATATTAGGGCGCAAACACCTCATGTATGTTTCCAAGTTCGATGATTTGTTCAACAGGCGTTAAAGATGGTCATGCTCACACAACATCTATTGGGGTAAAAATGATATTTTTTTGTTATATGCACTTTTCGTATATACATGATAAATTTATATATAGTTGACTATTATATATATATAGTACTGAACATATATTGGGAATGTTAGAGCGCAAATGCATCATGTATGCTTCCGAGTTTGATGATTTGTACGAGAGGCGCTGAAGATGGTCATGCTCACTCGACACCTACTGAGGTAAAAATGGTATTTCTTTATTCTATACACTTTTCTTATATACATATATATAATAACATGTCTAGTTGATTATTATATATATATTACTAAACATATATTAAAAATATTAGGACGCAAACATATCATCTATGCTTCCGAGTTTGATGATTTGTTCAACAAGCGCTAAAGATGGACATGCTCACTCGATATCTATTGAGGTAAAAATGGTACTTCTTTGTTATATACATTTTTTGTATATACATAATAAATATATGTCTAGTTGACTATTATATATATATATAGTACTAAACATATATTGGGAATGTTAGGGTGCAAACACATCAGGTATGCTTTCGAGTTCGATGATTTGTACAACAGGTGATGAAGATGGTCATGCTCATTCGACACCTACTGAAGTAAAAATGGTATTTCTTTATTCTATACACTTTTCTTATATACATATATATAATAACATGTCTAGTTGATTATTATATATATAGTATTAAACATATATTGGGAATGTTAGGGCGCAAACACATCAGGTATGCTTTCGAGTTCGATGATTTGTACAACAGGTGATGAAGATGGTCATGCTCACTCGACACCTACTGAGGTAAAAATGGTATTTATTTATTCTATACACTTTTTTATATACATATATATAATAACATGTCTAGTTGATTATTATATATATAGTACTAAACATATATTAAAAATATTAGGACGCAAACATATCATCTATGCTTCCGAGTTTGATGATTTGTTCAACGAGCGCTGAAGATGGGCATGCTCACTCGACATCTATTGAGGTAAAAATGGTACTTCTTTGTTATATACATTTTTTGTATATACATAATAAATCTATGTCTAGTTGACTATTATATATATAGTACTAAACATATATTGGGAATGTTAGGGTGCAAACACATCATGTATGCTTCCGAGTTCGATAATTTTTACAACAAGCAATGAAGATGGCCATGCTCACTCGACATCTATTGAGGTAAAAATGGTACTTCTTTGTTATATACATTTTTTGTATATACATAATAAATATATGTCTAGTTGACTATTATATATATATAGTACTAAACATATATTGGAAATGTTAGGGCGTAAACACATCATGTATGCTTCCGAGTTTGATGATTTTTACAACAAGCAATGAAGATAGTCATGCGACATCTATTGAGGTGAAAATGTTACTTCTTTGTTATATATATAATATGTCTAGTTGACTATTATATATATGGTATTGAACATATATTGTGAATATTAGGGCGCAAACATATCGTGTATGCTTCCAAATTCAATGAGTTGTTCAACATATGCTGAAGATGGTCATGCTCACTCGACAACTAATGAGGTAAAAATGGTATTTCTTTGTTATATACACTTTTCGTATATAGATATATAAAAACATTTCTAGTTAACAATTATATATATAATACTAAACGTATATTGGGAATGTTAGGGCACAAACACATCATGTATGCTTTCGAGTTCGATGATTTATACAAGCGATGAAGATGGTCATGCTCACTCGTCATCTATTGAGGTAAAAATGGTACTTCTTTGTTATATATATTTTTATTATATATATATATATATATATCTAATTGACCATTATATATATGGTATTGAACATATATTGGGAATATTAGGGCGCAAACATATCATTTATGCTTCCGAATTCAATGAGTTGTTCAACAGATACTGAAGATAGTCATGCTCACTCGACAACTACTGAGGTAAAAGTTGTATTTTTTTGTTATATACACTTTTGGTATATAGATATATAAAAACATGTCTAGTTGAATATTTTATATATAGTACTTGATAATCGTACTGAACGTTTACGCTAGTACACTTAGCGTAAACTTCATAATTGGCTATTAACTTGCATGTTTGAGTTTATGCTACGTATACAGGCAATTCCGCCCCTCCAAATTCAACCATCTTCGAGAAAGGATATGGTACACGTTACAATATTAAATCTCATATTTGACTATGAATGCACAAAGTGAATGAGCATTCACGCATGTATCGATCCACTACTTCTGTATATCTTTTTGATAAAATATGAAAATTTTATATGAAAGTTTTATGCACACATATGTAAACACGAATAAAATGTATCAGTTAAATATTAATGTTCTTTTCTTTGCAGGATGATGATGACGTAGTCGAAGTTGTTAGTGTAGATATTAAAACTAATGACACTGATGAAACTGGTGAGAGTTATATAAATTCAATATTTTTCTTACAATTAGTTGGTACAGAAAATATACTATACATTTTTGTATGACTACTCATAACTGGCAAAGTTTCAGTTGCTCCCAATACCGAAGATGAAATTTTTGGAGGCTTGGAAGATCTCAAAATTGATCATGGGATACCGACTTCATCAATCTTTGATAATGGTTTGTATGAATAAGATTTAACTATTTTATATTACAAATATATAATTTACAAAAGCAATACATTAGTTTAGAGGTCATTAATTATTTTATTTACTTTGCAGATTTCATGAAACAAATGGTAAACAATAACGACTTGTTTGACAGTGGACATGTTTCTACAGAGTTACAAAATACTGGATCAGGTTTGTACTATTTTTATATTTCATATAATAGAATTATCTTACGAATAATAATAATATTGTTTTTTTTTTTGCTTATCTAGATATGCATATGGGGAATGACCTCAATAATTATATGAATCAAGTAGATGATGAAATGGAGATTGAAATGATCGAAACTAACGTCGATCTTTCAGATTATTTCCTATGATTCAGAGAGCAAAATTTGAGTGTGAATTATGTATCTGCAATCGAATACTTTTAATAGACAGTTATGTTGGAAAAAATTAGACCATATTATGCATCTGCAATCAAATGTTAACAATATACCTAAGAAGTTTATTACTTTCATAAATTTGGACAAAAAAGTTTCTCATAGTTGCCATGATTTGCCTTCTTCATATGAGTTTAATTATAAACTTTCAAACATTTTTCTCTTCCAGGAAAAAAAAACTTTCAAACATTTTGTAGGCGAATTGACTATAATCAGATTTATTAAAATTATTTGTTTGCCGCTTACACTAAAGGACAGTGTTTTGCCTCTATTATATTTTGTGCTTCGTGTTTTGCTTTTCAATGGCAATAAATAACGACCCCCAAGACCAAAGGAGTACAAAAATCTATTATTAAAATAAATCACCTGTGTCAGTTTCTGAATCGGACTATCCAATTGACCATACCGTCGGGTGCAAGATTATGAACGTATCCATCACACATTCCCATAAAAGGAAAGAAAGAAAAAGAAAATAGTAATGGTTGGTTGGTGAAGAACGATGATACGAAACTTCCGGTTTAGAGCTCCGACGAATCACCCCGGTTCCACCACCATCCAAACCGACCACAACCGTCGGTTAATCCGTTTTCCGACGAGATGCTCTCCACCAGATCTCAGCCATTACACTATTCTTGGCTTGGCCCCTTTTGCCTCCCAAGCCGAAGTCAAACGGGCTTTCAAACGTCTCGCTCTTAAGGTAAAAAATGAAAAAAATGTGCCCTTTTGTGTCCTATTTCTTGGTTTTATTTTTATTCAACGAAGAAAGTTTTTAGTTTTAGGAGACTTTATTATATATATGCCGGATGTAATCAAGAAAACGAAAAGGGAATTATTAAATAAGAGCAAAAAAAAAAACGAGTGATTTTGCAGTACCATCCAGATGTGCACAAGGGACAGGAGAAGGATTTCAAGGAGATCAAATCCGCTTACGAGGTTGTTTTTCTTGTCTTTCTGCTTTCTTGTTTTCTAATTTTTTCTTATTTAGTGGCTTAATAAAGTTTAATTAGAAGGAAATCAATTTCTGTTTATGTATGTGATGATGCAGTTTCTTTTTGGTCCCTCTTGATTTCTTTTCATTATGTGATGTTTTTTAAGGTATTTAGGCATTTTCTATTATGCAATTGAGACTTGAGAGCTCCTTTTAAAGGCTTTAACATCCTCAATATATAACAAGAACCAAAACCTCACAAATAGATATATAATCGTATAACATTTCAGTGTTTGATGCAAAAGTTTGAGAAAGAAGAAGAGGAGACAACAGAAATGGATGAAACAGAAGAGTGGGAGGAGTGGATGGGATTCGAAGGAGGGATTCCATCAACGGTTCACACTTCTTTCTAGAATCATTTGTTAATTACAGTGGACAGAAGTAGTGTCAGAGAGATGGAGAGTACAGTTTTTGGGAGCAAGACAACAGTTGCATCTCGGAGGAAGCTTGTCGTCGCCGGAGGAAGTACATGTCATGTACTCTACTTGCAAGCAATAGAGAGGACACGCGATCGCTGTCTTTGTTGTTGTAACTCCAGGGATTACTCCACCTTCAAGAATCGCTCCTAATGAAAACAATAAATTGATTCAAATTATGATTGTTTAATTTGCCTCTTTTTAAAAATGCACACGTTACACGTACCTATAATTATGAGAGACATCACCCAAATCTTGTATGTAGCCATGCTTTTCGGTGGGATTCTCTAAAGCTATTTCTCCTTGTTTATATGTAAGCATTATTGCAAAACCTGAATTATTTATTTATTCCGACCGTTGACTTTCTGCAAGGTTGAACAGAAAGTCTAGTTTACTTTGACCACAATACTAAATATTCTTGTCACTTTCATTATGGACGAGACGACTCAGACGAGAGCCATAAGATCGTCGAACTAAGTAAAGTGTTGATCATTTACCTTATCTTATACCTGGTGAAACAAAATTGTAAAATTCTAGCAAGCTTGTTTCGAAAATTTTACATTTACTATTACTAATATTGAGTGGGAAAACAAACAAACAAGCTTTACACATAATGAAACCATCTTAAGACTAATAATATATTACGGCTTGTGAAACTAGCAAGTCTCGTGTTGTTCTTCTGAATCAAACTGAGGAGGCATGACCCTCTTCCGTATCAGCATTTCTGCAGTAACATGCTTCCTCTTTAGTCCACCTCTTGGCCTTGAGGTGAAATCTTCATCAGCTTCAATGAAATCACCCTGAAACCACCATTCGATTTTCATGTGAGATTCTTTTCTTTTTTTGAGTTTGTAACAACAAAAAAAGCAAGTTTGGGATTGAACTTACGCAGGTATATATGTGGGAATTGGAGTTCTCGTGGTTGTTTCTGACATGCTTGTACGCAAAACTCATGCCACAACCTGGAAAGCCACATACAAAGGGTCGGATATCCTCATGAACAGCCTTCACGTGTTTCTGAAGATTAGAAGCCTGCCAAAACAATTGTAATGTAATTGGGAAAGTTAGATGAATGTGGGATCTGAAAACGACACAAGTTTTTAGTAGCTCTGGGATCTTTATTTACCTTTGAGAATGACGAAGAGCAACCCTCAACTTCACACTTGAACTCTCCTGTTGAGGAATCCTCATCATGAGTCCTAAGGTGTCTCTTGATGTTCTTCTTCAAATGCTTAGAACCGCATATCTCGCAGTTGATGTGCTGATGGCAGGATCTCATGTGCCCCTTGAGACATTCCTCGTTTGTAAAGTACTTCATACACCCAAGTTCAGAGCAAAATGCCTCCACCGAGTCCAATTTCACTGCAAATGTAAATCAATAAGGAACCTTTAGCGACTGGAATATTGGCAGATATAAATATAGATAATGCTTTATTGAAACAGTAGCAAAAGTGCACTAACCATGAGAATCCTGGTGCTTTTGAAGCTGTGAAGCATACTTAAAGGCCTTTCCACAACCAATTTCTTTGCAGACATGCTGCATCTGACCAGCTGCACATTCCGAGGGTTGAGAATCGCCATTGCCAGTATCGTCCTTACCACTATCGCCATTACAAGTGTTGTCCTTACGGCTATCGACATTACTGTGAAATTTCTTCACATGCCTGCCGACATTTCCTTGTACTGAGAACTCACTCTTGCAATTCTCCACTGGACACTTAAATAGCTTAACGTCCTTGCCACTACCGCCATCACTATGAAGTTTCTTAACATGCCTACTGACATTGCCCTGTACTGAAAACTCCCTTTCGCAATTCTCCATTGGACACTTAAATAGCTTCCCTTTATGGGTAAGAAGATGCCTATTGAGATGATCTTTTCTCCTATAGCTAACATCACAATCATCGACATAGCACGTGAAAGGTCTCTGCAAAACAAAAACAAACAAAATCAAAGGCCATCAGAAAATTAACCTAAGTAAGACGTAGAATCCAAAGCAATGAGCAACAAAACAAGCTATAGAACAACAGATCTCCAACCTTTTGCGTGATCGAGGCGTACTTGCTGGAGCTTCTCAGGAGGTCTCCCAACCTGATACTAGTCCATAACATGTAGCCTCGCATTTTGGAGTTCACACTTTGGGATCCAATGCCTCACGCAATAATATAAGTAAGGCCTATGGTATTAACCAAAAGACCATTTATTTCCTGCAAAGGCATAACTTTTTAGTTCGCAATAAGAGCAAATCTCAGATATAAACAAAACCCACGGGCATCTCTATCTCCATCGGTACTAGATTTGCACGAGGATTCAATCACTATCGGGCTAAAGAGTAGATTTCTCTTATGATAGGTATTGAAGAGGATGCATAAATCTACCTCGAGGGAATGGCTCTGCATATGCTGCTTCAAGTGAGCAGGTTTCTTAAACTCAGCATCACATTCCAAGCAATTATGTTTACCAGAGACCTCTTCTTCATCCTCACAAGGTTCATCATTTCTCTCCTCTTCAACTTCCATCTATAATAAACAACGGAGAAAATGCCCAGAACAAACGAATCAGGAAACCCGTAATCATACACACCTTCATCGATTAGGTCTTCATTAAATTAAAAGCTTCGGAGACAGATCCAAACCTTATGATGCGAATTGATGTGTGAAGTGATGAGATACTTTTTCGATCTGCGGATTCCGCAATACTGGCAGAGATAGTTCCGTATATCCTTGGTCTTCGGTGCGTTGACATCTGTGTTAGCTTCATCCGCCATCTCTCCCTGATTGTTTACAAAAGAACTAGGGTTTGTCTCCAACAAACGCCGCACTAAAGAAGATGATGTAGCGAGATCGATGAGCAACACAGTGGCTATATATATTTTTATCGTCTTTTTCCCCGGAATAATAATCTAACCTAAAACACTTGGGCTTTCGATCATGTAACTGCCTTTCAGGCCCATTGAACCTTTTTGTAGCCCATCGAACTTTTTAACTAGAAAACAACAATGACACACTATTTTGCTAATGACATAATTTAATACTTTACCAAACCAATATAATTTTCTAAGAATTTACAACTTTATGCTCGACGATCGATTGGGCCTCAAGAACCGATTAAGAAGTTTTGGTTGGAGGAAATCGAAATTTTACTTTTTCATAAGGTTCATAACGTTTTTTTAGGACGTGTTTTTTGGTAGAAGTCACTTACAGTTTGAATGAACGGCGGCTATTCGTTAGAATAAAATATCTTAATTGTCAGAAATAAGAAGAAAAAAAATGTTCCTAGAAAAAGGAACAAATTTCATGTCACAGTCCGCTTATTTAAATAAAAAGGGCCTACATCTGTAACTCTGTAAGCATTTAACACTTCACAATTACAGATGACTAGTGGTAATAAGAAATAGTGAATACAACAGTGCATACTTCATATTTTTGTTGGATTTAATAACGTTAACAAATATTTCAAATTTCATACATGTAAGTAAAACCAATGGAAATTTTTTCTGTTTGATTTGGTGTGGCAAGCAACGACACCAAACCAAGATTTCCAAGATCTTTTCACGTTGGATTGAATCCATCCTCTTTCATTCCACCTTATATGAATATGCACGCCGGTGCGTTACGTATTGCTATTTATAAAAAAAAAAAAATTTAGGTATACTCCAGATTTATGTAAGAGTCCATACTCCAGATTAGTTTTCTATGGTAGGTGTAGTTTATGAATAGACCTTTTTCGGGTATTCAAATAAGCCAAAAACAAAGGTACATATCCGTGTGGCTAAATGGGAAATGTTTAGTAATTTTACGTTTAAGAAAAATTGATCTCTGACCTAGGGAGACATAATACATTGCATCCTTATTTGAAGATATCATTTTTAGATGTCGCTTCTATACATTGCTTTTATTTTACCTGGAAATATTATTTCCATTGTAACATTACTTATTAAGTTATTAAATATTAAGATTTTACTTATTATTTAGGTTTTACTAAGTTTAAACTTTTATTATCATTATTTATAAGTTAAGTTTTAAGTTATAGCCTCTATATAAAAGCATCACTATTTTATCTAAGACAGTAGCTTATAATTGAACTGAATTCAGAACTTTTGTTATTCTTTGAATTAACAATATTCAATAACCAAATCCATGTCAAAAACTAAATCTGTATCGGATATTTTTTGAATCAATAATCCTTCAATTTGTTATCTTTTCCTACGCAAATCTCAGGACAGACTTTGTCTCCAGGCCCCTTGAATTTTAAACGGGGAGATTGGTTGTTTGGAGATTTTATAAGTATACAACTATTAAACTCCGATAACAAAGACAAAAAAAGCTTTAGTTATTTTCAAATTTGAAATTTGAAAGACACATGTCGATGTAAAAATTTCGGCCCCAGCGAAAAGATCACCGATCGACAAATCAAAGGCAGTAGTAATATTGAGTCCGCTCCGACGCGATTATTCTCTACTATAATGATTAATACCAAACTATGGAAATGTTGGGGACAATTAAATTTAATGAGGGTGGATGCAAAGCAGTTTAGGTATTTGGAGTAGCTATTAAGTCTAATTGAGCAGCCCTCCAGACTAGAGAATATACACGTAACATATATTTCCTTATCTACCAAGATACGTATAACTAAGTCTAATAGGCGATTGATACTCTTCTTTTTATTTGTGTCAAGAAATGGATTCTTAACTTAAAAAGAAAAAAAGAAAAAAAACTAGTTGGAAATGGTGAACCTTAAAAGTTAAAACCCCTTAAAACATTATATATATATATATATATTTTTTGTTTTTTTAAATGTTGTATCCACCTCTTTTGAATGGACTATTGTATATTTTTTAAAACCCTAAAACATTGGTAGTAGATTCACTGAGAAAAAAAAGAAAAATGTTAGGACGGCTTTTGCATCTATTCGTCGCAGCCCATGTCGCATGTGAGATACTGGTTTCGTTACGCAGACGATTTGTGAAGAAAAGTGGGAGAAATGAAGACAGGATTAGTGCATTACCTGACGATTTGGTGTTACAGAAATGAAGACAGGATTAGTGCATTACCTGGCTACAGTTATTCTGTCGAAACGATGGCGGCATGTTTGGACGATGCTGCCAAAACTCGTGTACACGGATAGTGACTATAGACGACGCCCTGGAAAGAAAGAAAACATTTTGTGGTTTATTGGCAAGTCACTGCAACTTCACAAGGCCCATGTTTTAGAAAGTTTGGCTATAGAACTCGGTCCAAGATGTTCTGATTATGTTAATGTCGGAAAGTGGGTTGAAATTGCTGCTGATCGCAGGATACGCCGTCTAAATCTTCGACTCAGCTGGTTGTCTGAGCCTAACAGGTTGCCTAAGAGGCTTTACATATGCAACACGTTTGTTGTTCTAACTATTTTCAACAAGATTTTCGTCGATGTTCCTTCTCAGGTTTGACTGCCATCTCTAGAATATCTTTCACAAAGATGAAGATGCTCTTGGTAGGCTTTTATCAGCCTGTCCTGTTCTCAAGCAGTTGTATGTGCGACTACGTCGCAAAGACAACCTGATAAATATCAGTGTGGCAGTGCCTTCTTTAGAGACCTTTTATTATACTAACTTGGAAGAAAAAAATATAGTGGCATCTTTGGTTATAGATTGTGCAAGTTTAAGAACATTCTTCATCCAGGATGTTTCGGGAAGCTCTTGCACGATTGAGAACAACAAGCGTCGCCTTGATCACGCACTTATCAGCGTTTTTCGTAACCTTGATGACAAGTTTAGGACATCTCTTTCCTCGGTTAAGATTCTCTACTTTATTTTGCACGCCGGTGCGGTACGTATTGCTATTTCATTGACATATCGCTATTATTATGATCACATATACAGCATCGGCTTTTTTTTTTTTGAGGTATGTGTTCATTGCAGGTTGATTGTTGTAACACCATTAACTTCTCCCGGCTTAAAGCGTGTAACTTAAAGCCATGTGCCTTACATTGGTTAGCACCACTCATGTGTTTACTTGAAAATTCTCCTAATCTAGAAGTCCTTATCATCAACCAGGTTCGTACCCTCCGCATGCACGTGCAGGTTTTGATAAGACTCTGATTAAAAAAAGAGACGTTTTCGTTACATTACATTCATTGATGTTGCTTCATTAACAGAGAGATCTAAAAGATGAGGATTCCCCACTTACGTTCAACCAACCAAGTTGTGTTCCAAAATGTTTGTCAAACCATCTCGAGATCTTTGAGTTCGAAGTTTATAGGGGAAGAAGCGGAGAGAAAGACGTGGTGAGATACATATTTGCCAACTCCAAGCGTTTAAAAAGAGCTGGAATCGCCATTGAACCATCCTGCGATAGAAGGAAGATGATGAAAGAGGTGGAATCTATGTCAAGGGTTTCAAAATCATCTCAGCTTCTCTTCTCTACTACTCAATTCATTACTGAAAATTCCCGTCCGGGTGAATACGGTTACTGACCATTGATGCTATTAGACGTCAACCTATTACTATTTAAAGAAGTTTTTTTTTTTTTTCTAGTTATTTGGAATCCAAGAATTATGAAATCGTTTTCCAAAAAGGTAAAGGTTTTAGGCCCAAATTCCGGTCCAGTAAATGAATAAAAAGAGAAATTGTTTTATAAAGAAATGATTATTTATATATTTTGTTACTCGCACGTGTCACGGGTGCTACACAAATGAGAACGATGACAAATAAGACCGTCTTTTCTGTCATCCCCACACTCAAAAACACCTTAGGACATCATCAATTTTTAACGTATTTTCCCCATAAATTTTACATTATTAACCATTATTAAAAACGAATATTATCCCCTCTGATCAAGTAATAAAAATTAATTTGATGAGATACCATACCACATACCACATAATGGTGTAGAATAATTAATGGTAATCGATATAATTAAAAAATCCAAATTAAAACCCTAAAACGCTTTTATCTCTCTCTCTTCTTCCCCTCCTCTGTCTTTGCGTCAAACCAAAACCCACACAAAAGCCCTCTCTTTTTTCCCTTGTTATCGTCTCGTTTTCCCAATCCTCTTCTCTCTCTCTCTGAAATTAGGGTTTTTCGAATTCTCTTCTCCGCCTTCTCTTCGCTATCAAGTTCCAACTACAACAAAAAAAGCCACGGATGTGAAATGCTCGGGTAAAGAAAAGGATGCAGAAGATTCTGTGCAAGAGCACCACTGTTTCAACCCCTGTTCTCTCTGCTCCGGCCAACTCTTTCGCCGCCGGTTTTATCTCGACACAACCCATCGCTGTACCTTCTCTCCTCTCTCTAGGGTTTAAGAGTTCCTGCAAAAATCCTACTCTCTGCTCCACTCCCAAACCATTCTCTACTTCCGCTATGCCGATGAGCACGGCCTCTATTTCTACAGGAAATGGCGTTTTCTATGGGTTTCTGCAGAGAAACCGTGTTCACAGAGCGGCGGCTCCGCTACGGTTCTCAACCGCTGGATACCGAACTTGCCGGTGCTCAATCGACGGTAGAATCCGTAGTACGAACCGGGCCTGGGTCGGTCAAAGCGGGACGTGGCGTTCGTTGTTCTACTCCGAGTCTAATGGTGGTTCGAGCTCGGTTAACGCTGCTGTGGTTGAGGGTGTTGGAGGCTCAGATTCTGACGGAGAAGATGACGACGGAGAAAAGGGTTCTACGGATAAGGTTGAGAAACCGGCGAGGATGAGCCGTAGAAATCGCAGCTCTAACGGAAGTGGTGAGTTTTCCGGTAACCCAGATTTGCTGAAGATCCCTGGTGTGGGTCTAAGGAATCAGAGAAAGCTTGTTGATAATGGTATTGGAGGTGTTGCAGAGCTCAAGAAGCTCTACAAAGATAAGGTATACGCTATTCAGATTTATAAAAACTTTTCAGTTTCACTGTATCTCTTGTGGATAGATATTAGGGAATGTGAGATAATTGAAAATGTGGCTGATTGATTTTGATTGTGTGATTTTCAGTTTTGGAAAGCAAGCGAGAAGATGGTTGATTATCTCCGGAGCTCTGTAGGGATTGTGCACAGGAACCACGCGGAGAGCATAACAACGTTCATCAAAGAGAGTGTGGACGATGAGCTCAAGGATTCAGGTCCCGAGCCTAACCTAAACGCAAAGAAACGTTTGACGTTTTGTGTTGAAGGGAACATCAGTGTGGGCAAATCAACTTTTCTCCAGAGGATAGCGAACGAAACGGTCGAGCTAAGAGACCTCGTCGAGATCGTTCCTGAGCCAGTTGATAAGTGGCAAGATGTTGGACCTGACCACTTCAATATATTGGATGCTTTCTACTCCGAGCCACAGAGGTATGCTTATACTTTCCAGAACTATGTGTTCGTCACTCGGCTGATGCAGGAGAAAGAGTCTGCTTCAGGGATCAAACCTCTGAGGTTGATGGAGAGGAGTGTCTTCAGTGATAGAATGGTAAGTTTCGAGGCAAAGATAAAGTTTTAAATGTGTGTGTGATTGCAAACTTTTAATATGTTTTTGTGGAACTTGGTTTTTAGGTGTTTGTGCGAGCGGTTCATGAAGCGAAATGGATGAATGAGATGGAGATAAGCATCTACGACTCGTGGTTCGATCCGGTCGTCTCTGCATTACCTGGACTTGTCCCTGACGGGTTTATATACTTGAGGGCGAGTCCAGACACTTGCCACAAGCGGATGATGCTCAGGAAACGAGCAGAGGAAGGCGGAGTCTCCCTGAAATACCTCCAGGATCTGCACGAGAAGCACGAGAGCTGGCTCCTCCCGTTCGAGAGCGGAAACCACGGGATCTTGTCTGTTAGGAAACCGTCATTACAAATGGACAACTCTCTTCATCCTGATATCAAAGACCGTGTCTTTTACTTGGAAGGAAACCATATGCATTCGAGCATCCAAAAGGTAAAAAGTCATCTCTCATTTTATTGACACCTTTTCTTGCTAAAACGTCTGAAGATAGGGTTTTGCTTATTAGTCTAGTCCATTGGTTATTTCAACAGGTCCCTGCTCTGGTTTTGGACTGTGAACCAAATATCGACTTCAGCCAAGATAGTGAAGCAAAGAGACAGTAAGTTCTCACTACTGTTATGTCACACCATATAACTTAAATTAAAAATTTCTCAATCTAACAGATATGATCTTGATTGGTGTTTGTTGAAGGTACGCACGCCAGGTTGCTGAGTTCTTTGAGTTTGTGAAGAAGAAGCAAGAAACGTCACAAGAGAAGAGCAACACTCAGTCTCCTCTGCTGATGCCTCCTCATAATGGAGGTCTCTGGATGGGACCAGAAGGCAAGCATGTCCCGGGATTGGAACTCCCGTCTCTGGATTTTAGTAAGGCGATGTCGCTCTTAACCAGACCGTCTGCGTGATTGTGTCCACGGACTCCACGGACTCTGTTTTTTTTTGTTGGCTCTAAGGAGCATCGTCCGGTTGGTTATCGAATGTCAATAGGTATGGTCGGCTTTTGTTTCGTTTGTTTAGGAAAAGATCTCTCTCTCTCTACCGTTTTTTGCCCCTGTTAGATGTAGAAACATGGTCTGTTTCGGTTAGTTTATAACCCTTTGTGTAGAGAAAGGTTAATGTCTGGATAATCTATTAGGTGTTTTGTTTATTTAAAACCTTGGATCTAAAATTTCAGTTTTCAGCTACTGTCTCTGTGTTGATCGGTCCAAGTTATTTATATCAAATCCCTATCATGGCTAAGCAAAATATACATCACGAACTGACGCCTACGAAAAGCGTTTGGTCATAAGAACACGGCGTTTTCTTCCTATCCAAGTTGATTTCCACGGTGGATCAGACTCGATGACGCTGTAACCAGCGTTTGAGTAGAGGTTTCTAGCGGCTGCATCGTCTTCGTAAGCTCTTAGTGCAAGAAGCTTGAAACCCCACAAGTAACATATAACATCACATGCCTTTAACATTGTACTTGCCATCTTCTTCCTCCTGTCCATGTAAGAAAACCCGAACTCCATAATAAACACATTACAGTTTTAAATTTTTGTAACAAAGAAGAAGAAGAAGAGAGAGAGAGAGAGAGAGAGAGAGACCTTTGAGCTTTGGAGACGGCTAAGCCGGAGACGTAAAGATATTCTTCGACGCCGGGAAAATGACGGAGTACTGAGTTGTCCGTTTGAACTGTGATGTCAACTACTCCGACAACACTTGAGCTCGAGGATGTTTCAGCTTCGTTTGGTTGCTCCGCCACGAGACATGCATATCTGTCGCATTTTATTTTTTATAGTTTAATTACATTTTTTCAAACACTAATCTTCTTCTAGAAACGAAGATTTCTTTTTTTTGCTTAACCTGTCTGGAGGTGAATTCTTTAGTTTGTAGAGAAGCGCTGACAAAACTTCTGCCTGCAAAATATCACAAGCAAAAGAAACTTAAAATCCAAATGAAACATAAAGTGAGTAGAGCGAAATATGTTAATCCAATTTAACCACATTTTAAAAAAACTGTTTATGCGTGTATGATTAAACCCAAATCCAATTCTATTATCCAACCTTTCTTCCAAACTTATAATAACGAAATCTCTTAATCTACAACAAAACTTGAAGCTGCTTGTCTAATCAAATAAGCAAACAGTAAACTAACCTGGAAAAACATAAAGAAAAAGTCATTAAAAAGAGTGAGAGGGATGTGGAAAGCTTCGGCTTGAACCAGAGACACTCTCCTGATCTCTTCTTCGTCGTCTCTGTTCAACCTCCTCACGCCCCATCCGTGTTGACTCACCACATACTTCAACTCTATCTCCGCCGCATTCTGAGTCAAACTCGTTAGCGACTCGGTCGATGCGCACCGTACGATCACCGGGAAGCGGCTACACGTCAGCTTCCGCCGTCGATCTGTTCCCTGGCCGGACTTTCCAGGATATGGAAACTCTGGCCTAGCGGCGGAGTAGAGGCTCTGTGGCAAGTGAGCCATCTTATTTTTGTAGCATTTTAAAAAAAAAACCAAAAAAAAAAAGAATCTTTATTCTCATTTTCTTGCATTTATACACGATAAAAAAAATATTAAATGTAATGAGATAAGAGAATCATCTTTTTCCATCGTCTGTTTTTTTGTGGTTGAGAATCATCGCTTTGCTAGCTAAGAACCATACACTGATTCAGCTGATTTCACTCGCCACGTGGATCAACTGTGACCCTACACTGAAGATTTGAAGCATCTAAAGAGCTTTTGCCAAGAAAAATTCGCACATTTGATCTATAACCCTTTCAAGTGTACCGAATTCGAATATGAATTTTCGAACTAAGTATACATACATGTTCAACATTCTTTAGATGAACCGAGTCAACTACAAATGACATGAGTCTTTATTGACGCAATAACAAAACAAAATAAAGAACATTCTGAGAATTTCTTACAAATCATAAAAATCAAAGCTTTGATCGTGAGTGTAACATTTTTTTGGTTTATGAATTATGCTAAGAACCGTGCCATACAATCCAAATGCGAACAGTGTATAAATAATACAAGAAGGGGGACTCATCTCAAACTTCAGAACTCGGCCCACCAAGAAGATGATCTCTCCATTCACCAAATGTCGCAAATGCCAAAAGACCGGTAATCGAAGGAAGCACAAACCGAATCATACCAAAGAAGAAAGAGCGCCGTGCCCAATACGGAACCTTAGGGTAACAACGCCTCGATCCTTGAGCCACAGTGATCGGACCATAGATCAAACGATACGTAGCCAACGTGAAGACAACTGCAACGAGTTGCAAAATGCAAAACGTTTCCCAAAGATATAGCCAGAGTTTACCGTTTCCACCCAATGTGTCCACCGTAAATTTACCGGCTAAACCGAAAAGAAAACCGAGGAAAAGAACGATGAAAGTAACCGTCGTCTGCTTCGTTCCTGATGATGAGGGTTGGATTATGAAGTAGGTGAAGATGATGATCATGAAGACACCAGAGGAATACTTGGCCCACACTCCAAGCCGGCAAAACAAGATGGTTAACTCTGTGTTCAACCATGAGACTTGTGTAGGAACAAACCAATGAGAACTTTCCTCCTCGTATGGCTGGCATATTGAGGTAGCTTCCTTGATTTTCTGCTGTGAGAAGACGGAAGCGCCGTATAGCATAAACCCTAGCATGATGAAGACGCTTACGACGAGCCACTCCATGGTCTCTCTGACGAAACCGTCTTTCTTTGTATCTTCTAACTCTGTTTTGAACTTGTCCTCGCTGAATGCTGCTTTCGAAGCACCCATCTCTAGCTCGGCTCTCTTCAGGTTGTTCGATTCGTAGCTCACTGCTAGCTTCTTCTTTGACACCGTTAGTTTTTCCATTTCAAGACCAATCTTTATGGTTTCTAGGTCGTTTGCTCTCGCTAAAAGCTGTTCCATTGGGGTCGATGACATTGCTGAGCTTCTTCTAGGGACAGCAAAGAGTTGTCGAGTCCCTTCGTGCAGGACGATCTCGTTCATCGAAGAGCCTGTTCTTGCACCGCCTTGAATTGCTTCATAATCAGAGGTAACAGATGAAGTTTCCTCCGTGTCTGAGCATCCCTCCGTAGAAGAACGATCTAAGCTAAACCTCTCGACGTCACTTTTGTTTAGCTGATGCGGAGATGCGTATTCTTTGTCCAAGTTAAGGATCTTGAGAGTGCTCTTAAATGATCTCTTGAAGTTGGTCTCAAAGGAACCAAGCTTATAACCATAGACCTGTAAATCAGATCGTTATAATTAATAAAAATTCTATAAATTGAAGAAATCGACAGAATCGGGGTTGGCTTACATTGGCTAAAGATTCTTTGACAATGGAAGCAGAAATCTGCAGAGCATAAACACAAACAGTGAATATTTGTGTATCACTACCAAAAAATAAAAATACCAAACTATAACGAAAGAGAGATTGAGCTGAAATCATTTGAAAAATTTAGAGTACTTACTACTGCAAGATCATTGACATAAACATTCTGACCAGAGGCGGCACTTTTCTTAAGAACCTAGAGAACAAGGAAACAGAACAAACAATAAAAATTACAGAGCAATAATGCAAGTTAATAACTTTTGGTAGCTAACCAGCAATGTGTCAGGTTGAAGTTTTGGTGGAACCACAAGCAGAGCTACAAATTCGTGTAACTCGGTAATGATTGGTTCTCTTCAGAATTATTAACCTAGGATCCTATATACTTTCAGTAACCTATTGAGTGTCTCTGATTCTGATTTGACCTTCTCTCAGAATCCAGAGTAGATTCAAGTATTGTTTCGTTGAAGCTCACTTATAGATCCTCTGATTCGGATTTGAATGATAAACAGAGCCATGTAAAATATAGAGTATGGAGATTGATCGAACCAGATTAGTAAAAGCCGCAAGTGACATTCCCAAAGGAAGGGCCAAGGCTTCGGCTTGTCGTTCCCCAACGCTTCGTCGAGGCATACCTAACCGCAAAGTAGGTTTTCGAAATATTTGATACACTCGTGAAACCCTTCGACTATAATTAGGTTTAGTTGTAGAGGATGAAGAACATGAGGATGAAGCTTCTTCGCTGTTCATCATCTCTTTCTTCTTTGCCTTAAGCTTTCTCCTTTCTAAAGTCGATGAATTTATCTTCTTCTTCATCATATCATCTTTGAGTTCGTCGCGGAGGGTCTCCGGCTGATGATTCGCCGCCGGATCAGTGACTGGCTTTTGGGGTTCCCGCGAAGGAGAGATGAGGAGGGCGTCCATAGCGTATATGACACGCCACCGAAACACTTGGGCCTTTAGTGGGCGGAGAGCTGTTTTTTATTTGCCTTCACCCTTTATGAAAGGCATTGTGTGAGAATAACTAGGCCCGGCCCAAAATAATATGTCGCTTGCACTTGTTGGAAATCATATAGCAATCGCAGCCCCCTCGTTTACGGTGTATCGTTTACATTTGAGTCCCTCGAACTCATTCGCCGTAAAATTTCCAAAGAAATCGTTCATCTTCTGCAGTTTCTCTAGTTCTGATCATGGCGTTGAACACCGGAATTAGATCTGTCTCAAGGATCATAGCTTCTTCCGAAGCACCAGTCTCCAGATCTGGTCAGTAAACCCAAAAAAAAAAAATCTGCTGGATTGGTTTGGCATTTCTTTGTTTTTCCCCTTTTGTAATCTAGGGTTCTGTATGGTTGCCCAGAAATCGGATACTCTGTTTCATTGAATATCGTATTGGTTTGGCTAGCTTCTGTTCATAGTATGAATTGGGATTTTGATGTTTCTGTGCGATTCTACCTCGATTGGTTTATGTTTATCATATCAAAGCGTTGAATTTTGGAATTCGGATTTTTTTTTTTTTTTGGAAACATCTCCGCTCGCAAATTTGTTATAGAACATTATCTTCCTCCATGATGTGAAACAATTATTGAAAAGCTTATGAATTGTATGATCAAATCAGAAAATGTCTACTTGGGTGTTTCTATGTTTCACATATGGCATGATGTGAAACAAAAAGTTTTATTGAAAGGCTTATGAATTGTATGATGAAATCAGAAAGTGTCTATTTGGGTGTTACCATGTTTCACATATGCTAAAGGAAACTATGAGAAAGTAAACATCTTTTGCTCCAGAAAATCTATTCACATATTAAGTTTCCATGTTCATGCTTTGGATAGTTTTGGTTAATCAGTAAGATTCCATTTTTCGGCAAGCATTTTTACCAAACACCATACACTATGTGTATTTGTGTCTTAGCAGCAAAGCTTTAATACTAGGATTAGCATGTGTATATGTGTCTTAGCAGCAAAGCTTTAATACTAGGATTAGCTTTGTTTTGATATAGTTTCAGTATGAGCTATAAGATGTATTTGTTATCATCATCAACAGTGAGCAGAAGCTTCCACTCGACTGGAGCAAAGAAGATGAGCGGAGGACATGGCCATGACGAGCCGTACTACCTCCACGCGAAGCACATGTACAATTTGGACCGCATGAAGTACCAAGGTCTCAAGATGTCTCTCGGTGTCTTCACCGCTTTCAGCATCGGTGTTGGAGTTCCCATCTTTGCAGTCGTCTTCCAGCAGAGGAAGACCGCATCTGGTTGAGTCGTCTCTCTCATGGCGCTGTTGTTTCTCTCAGCTTGAATAATTTGTATGACTTCTCAAAACTCTGCTTTCGCAAGAGTGTTTCTCGCTTCTTTTGGATCTTTAGCTACACAAGTCTTATCATTATGGTAAAGTCTGTATTTTTTCTCTTTTGCCCTTTTGTCTTCCTCCTTTGCTGGCTGTTTTATGCTGCAATAATGATATCCGACATGGACGGCCTTATTTTTTATACTTTGATTGGAAATTGGATGTTTTGTTTGAATCTTAGAGATAGATATCTCCCCAAAGCCAAGAAAGATCAAACACATTCACATACCTATTAATCAAAAGCACAATCAAAGGAAAAGATGAAATCGAGAAAAAACACACACAAAAACCCACAAATGATTGTGACAAATCTGTTCAAAAGCTTTAAAAACCACATCTGTTTCATCATATTTGTCATTCGAATGTCTCAGGCATGGGCAGCATTCAACCGCCAAACCATTGTTTTACAATTTGGAGTTGCTAATCGCCAGCGGCATCGTCCTAACCGCAGATCGCGGATCACTTTTTGTCATCACCGCCGTTTTCACTAGCTTGTGTTTGGTTTGGCTCTTGATGTTGCTGGTGAAGCTGATGCTGATGTTGGTCTAGCGTCATGGCCAAACCGTCGCCTCTACTGCCGCCACGCATCGCAGCCGCCATGTTGCTCTCGGCTACTCCTAATCCTAGCTGTTGACCTCCCAACATCATTGACCCCATTGGTGCCGTTACGACCCGACCAGTCCCAACCGGATAGTTCCCCGGGTTGAACGCCCACATTTGGTGACCCGGTTGCTGCTGCATCTGCTCCCTCCCACCAGAGCCACTCATCGGAAGCATCCAGAACGCGCTTCCTCCGTTCGTGGTTCCCGGCGCCACCGCCCACATGGGTTGAGTCACCACATTTGCCGTCCCACGGCCCAGACCCGGACCCGGACCCAATTCTTGATCCTGGAACTGACCCGCTTTCTGAGAACTCCCACTTGGTTCCGACTCCTTGAAGTAATCTTCTCTGTAAGGCTTTGCCAAATTCGACGGGTTTCTCTCCGTCGACATTATCGGCGGGTACATCTGATGGTGAAAGCCGAAAACAGCAGCGTTCTGAGCGGCGGTTGCGGCGCTTAACAGCTTCCTAGAGGGATCTACCGCGGCGGAGGAAGGCGATCCGTTAGTACCGTTGCTTTCATCGTAGAGAGACATTCCGGTGCTGTGAAACGAGAGCGGCGAAGAAGAAGACTTTGACGGCTGCGCGAAGATGGTGGAGCCGCCGCTACCGCGTAAAGAGGCGTTCAGCGTTGAGAAATTCGCCGGGATCGTTCCGGTTCCCGTAGAGGCGATGATAGCTGGCTCGGCTTGCTGGAGCAGCCACTCGATTGTCTCTCCGTCGGATTTATGACCCAACTCTCTCGTGAGCTGGAAAACTCTAGCGGCGCACATCGCCGGCATGCGGATTCGCCGTCCACGGCCGTCGACTTTGGTGTGCCGATCTTTAGACGGCTTCTTCACGGCGGATTTAACTACGGCGAGAGCACCGCCTGAGCTCGTGCTAGTGGAATTCGAAGTCGAGGTCGTCGCTGAACCCACGAAAGGAACCGATCCCGGTGATGGGTTATCGGTAGAATTAAGCTGCAGCCCCGCCTCCGCCGTCAACGCCGTCGCAACAGCATCTCGTTGACGGTCGAGGGAATTCTGATTATTGCGAATTTCCATCTCAAATCCCTTAAAAAGAACTTACTTTTAAGCAAAACCCATGCGAATTCCGACAGCCGACAGAGAATTCTCCAAGAATCAGGGGAAATCTGAAGCAATTCGGGAAATCAATTGCAAGAAAAAAAAAGTAAAAGTAGAAAAAGAAGAAGAGCTAGTGGCAGTGAGAGGAGATCTAAGCAAGGAGCTTTCTACTATAATGGCGTTATGAAGAAGAGAGAGAAGGAGAGAATGATTGAAGGATAAAAACAAGTGGATATGGTGTAATTGCTGGGGATGAAACTATCCATCCAAATCTTATTCAACCTTTATTGACTTATTTGCTTTCTTACACTGTTCTTTCGTTTCTCCTCTTCTTCCTCTCCATTTTGCTCTGTGTTAGGTTAAATCAAAAGCGTGTTTAACACTAACTAATACAAAATAATTACCATCAGTGTTGGGGGTAAAAATTAGGCTCGTAACTCGTAAGAATAAAGTAAAAATCACGAGATTTTTTGAATCACACACCTAATTAACTCTTTGAATTCTTTTAGTGTGTTGTTTGAAAAAGACTACGTGATGTGTACTGTTTTGTTTGTTGTTGTGTAAACGCGAAGGGACGGTTCAGACTTGTAGAGTACAAATCCTAATTACGATAAAATTATTACTAGATATTAAAAATTCCCCTCGGTGAGATTTATGACGATATACACCAGATTAGATAAATTTATCTTAGTGAGAAAAAAGTTCAAGTTATATAATTAAATTCAAATTTGGTGGTTGCTAATACTAATCCACTCAACATTTTTAATTGTTTCTTTTGTCGATAAAGACGTTACTGGTGAGCGGTGATTCATGTTAATCAGTCTCCTCAACAACCTGTTTGCCTTCTTTTTTAATATTCTTCTTCTTATTTCCCCACATGGAAATAAAAGTTAGATTTGTTTTTTTTGGTGTCAACAGTTAGATTTTGATTATTCACCCAAGCCAAAATCACGCAAGATCTTCAAAAAAAAAATATTGACGACATGAGTCATGTCATTATTTATATTTATAAGTTCAAAACAGATTATTTTGATTTATCGTTATTATATGGGTTTCAGCTTGCAAGTCCATGTTAATTGTATGTAGGGATGACACCATAATATATTTATAGTTGGTATTAGCTAAAAATTAACGACATCAGGCAAAAACAAATCTTACCATCTTACAAGTAAAGTGAAAAATAAATTCCAAAAATAAAATTTAAAGAAAAAATAGTTAATGGCCGAAAATCTGGAATAAAACAAGGATATAAAAGCAACTCGTTGACCCCGTCAAGGCTAAAAGTAAACAAAGTGAGATTCAAATTCAATACATAATATTTTCAGAACGATCATGAATTTCAGAGAACATATATTAATGAAATATGCATACGATTGAGAGAACCTCAAATATGATAAACTAGTTACAGACGACGATGCGTTTGACTTAGTAGAAGTACCAAAGTCACTGGAAGTGTGGGGTTATTACATAAGTACTTGATCTTAATCGGACAGTTCGTATACTCGGTTTATTTTTTTTTGTTTCTGTCGGATTGTAAGAGACTTACATTGGTCAATGGTCAATAGTCAATGTCTATTTCTACTCCCTTTCGCTTATTTCCTAGTGGTCCATCCGTAGGAGACTAATGCTACCATATAGCGATCCTTAGACAACCATTCTTGATTTTTCCAAGTAGTAAAAAATTGGGAGATAATGAAAGTTTTTTTTTTGTTTTTCTTAATTGTAATCATCAAAGGTAAATGCTAAAAAAAGGAAAGCATTTAAATCAAGTCCAAGAAGAAGATCTATTAAGAACAGGTTTCATATGTTTCTCTTCTTCCATTGAGATCATTCCCACAAGCGTTGGATCATCCATCATCATTTTGGCCACCAAATAGCCAGCGATCGACCACGTCTGAAATTTCCTGGCCTGTTTTCCGATGAACCTTCCCGACTTCCCGTCATAGTACTCCGGCCATCCGTCCTTCAACAGCCGTGCCTCCGCCAAGTCTATTGCCCGTCGTGCTATTTGTGGCCGTCCGGTCTTTATGCTGGCCGCCGTTAGTAACCATAGAAGCACTACATTTTTACATAACCACATATGAGAGAAACATATTTAATTGAATGATTATACAGAACAAAAAAAAACAAATATAATAATTGTGGCTTTAGAAGAATATAGGGGTGAGTCAAAGGATTCACATACATCTGCTGTAGTTTCATTCATCATCATTCACTTTTAAAAGTTGAATATTACTATTATTCTACTATATTAGCTATTGTTGGGGATTATCTTTTAGGTGGCTAGAAAAAACTCTAATTTTCTAAATGATCTTGGACATTAATTTAGATTTTGGTACAAGGTTCCTCGTAGTTTTCTTAATCAAAAGTATATACTATATCGCAAGGAAGGACAATATTTTCTCAACCATTCATGTTTTGTTTTATCTATATCTTATTATATTTTCATTCGTCTACTTTTATCATGTTAACCATTTAGAATCATTGAAGACTAATGAGAGGAAAAAAAAAGGTTTTCTCCAAACGATAATTATAATTGTCTCTAGTGATCTATGTTTGTCAAATTTAGAGTAGTAATTTATATTTACACTCTCAACTTAATGCCCGTTTAGATCTCATCAAGCTCAACTCAAATTCTTTTCAATTTCTGTCGGCTAACTAATTCATTCAAAAATATCAATGACTTGTGAAAGAAGGTAACTCACCTGGCCAAGAGCCTCCGTTGTGGTAGCTCCAACCTGTGTTCTTAGGATCACAGCCAGTAACGATCCGCCATTCGTGACTCTCCATTGCCGGATAACATATCTTCAACGGCATCTCTCCGACGAGTTCCTCCCACCGAGCCTCGATCAAGTCCATGATTGCCGTAGACTGCTCGGGCGTGGCCAGGGAGGAGAGGACTGTGATACAATTTCCCAACGCAAACCACCTGAAATCCATGCGGGCAGGACTGACGTTTCCAACGAAGTAGCCACCTCGGAGAGGCATGAAGTCAAAGAGCCAATCCGGGATGGAGTCGGGGATGACGTTGAACTTGTTAACGGCGGTGTGCGAGTATTCCTCCGTCTTGTAACGGTAAATGTCATTGAGCTGCTGAAAATCGAGCCAGAAGTAGCTTCTCATGTGGAAGCTCATCGCGTGCAGCCGCTTCCCTATCTTGTCCATGATCTCTTTTCCCTCCGTGTCTTGTTTTAGCATCGAGTGTGCTGATCTAAGAGCCATGAAAAAGAGAGCTTGGATCTCTATCGGGTATCCGTAAACACCCTGCAGATAGATATCAAAACCATTTATTCATATGTGTAAATGAGACATTCCCACAAAGCTCTTTAAGTTCTTGTTACGAATCTCATGTCAGAAAGTGAGATGAGACCTTAGAGACTAGAGTAATATATATAGTTTAAAACGGTCATAGTCAAAAGTGTTGGTTTCTTGTATATGTGGAATTACATAGGCAAGAGGATGATAGAGAGATTACCATTCTCCGATCGACCATGGAGCAACCATCTGCGCAAAGCAAAGTCGGGAAAGTATCAAAACCTTCAGAGAGACACAAAGAGAGTATAAGCCTCATTCCCTTTTGGCACTCTGGTCTCTCAGCTAAAGAATGGTCTCCTGTGGACTTTGTGTAAGCTCGGAGTAGAATGATCCACCAGAAGCCTGAATCAACTGGAGCAACCCTACCGATGGCGCTCTCTCCAAAGTCAGCAATGATCGTATCCGTCTTCTTGATAGGGTTATGGAGAACTTTAAAGCTCGCTGGCATAGCGCCGTCACCAAGCTTGAACCTATCGATCCTTTTTTCTTGTCCCTGGATATGAAGCGTCTTCAGGAGAAAGTTCTTCACAATATCTGGCTCTCCATTCATCAAGAATGCCAGAGCGCTCGGTACAAAATCACGTACGAATACCTTACAAATAGACAAGAAATCATACTGTAATGAGGCAACAACATTTATAAAATATATCATTTTGGATCACAATATTGTAATCACCATTTGTAAATTTGAAAGCCAAACTAGAAATATATAAATCAAAACAAAATAAAAACCATACCTGATCATAGTTCAAGACCTCCTCAGAAGCATGGTCGTAGGCGGCAATGGTTCCTACGGGGTTTCCCCGGAAGAAGACCTGAGACCGGCGTAGAGCCTCCCAAGCTTCTGTGACCATTGGGTGAGGATCAAACGAGTCTTTGATGGAGAAAACCGGAGTGTCCCGACCAGACCTACCGTCCAGTGAGTATGCACTGTCGTAGAGGCTTAACTCGTTGAGAGACTTTTCGTCGTATGAAGTTTTCCGCTCGAGTTTAAGTCTTGGCCTGTCGAGAAGCAGAGCCAGTAGGTCGCTGTCGTCCATTTCGGATATGGAGCACAACGAGTTCACCGCTCGGATTCCTTTTGACTCCTTTTCTTCTCCTTTCGTGGACAGTGAGATCATCGAACTCACCGCTCGTAGTACGACCCGTTTCTTTGGTCGGTCCATGGAATGGAGGAAGACGTAGCTAAGTTGTTCAACAACAAAATTTTATCTCTACACGAAAAAATGAAAAACAACTAAGAAACTCTTAACCGGTTTCGATTCTCCGAATGAAAGAAAAAATGACACTAAGAGAAGGAGACAATATCTATATAGAGAGAGAGGAGAATGAAACGTGTTAACATGAGCGTGGGCCTCTTGCAGATAGAAACAAAGAAGTATTATTTTCAAGATATCTTACCATTTGTAGTTTTTGGCATTTATTTTTTATATTCTTTGTATTAGTTGTGCATGCATATTTGTTACGTTTTGTGATGGTTTATGGATAAACATATTTGAGTAGCTAAAGATCTTATCTAAAATAAATAAAAAAGCTGTTAAGAAGATAATAATAGTAGACACATGCCATTTGAGTGTACAAAATGATTCTATGACATTACACGTTTGTATTCATTTTTCATTTGATACATTTTAAGAAAATGAATTATTAAATTCTAAAATAACAATAACTAAATTAATTTTGCAAGATATCATGGTAAGATTAGTAAAAGAAAAGAAAAAAGTGAAAACTATTCACAAATTTGAATTTTTTTCTTCATGTATAAACACAAACAAAAATGTTCATATATATATATATATTTGTGAATAAGTTTTTTTTGGTAAAAATGTTAAATTTTATACTATTTTCGAATTTATGACAGAATTACAGAGGAAACATAGAAAACAGAAAAACTAAAAACTAAAAAAAAGATCTAATTACTAACGGAAACGAGAGAATACAATAAACAATAAGCTATGCCGTCGTTGTAGCTGATCACGGATTCTCGAAGATGAAACTTATTTGTGAATAAGTTTTCACTTTTTTAAAACAAATTTAAAACAACTAGGTCACGTCATTCAATATACATATATATATATATATTGAAATTCAAACAACTGAAACTTTATTGCATATTCTTTCTGAATATACATAAAGAAAATAGTATTTTCTAAACATAAAATGGGAATAGCTAGCTCAGCAGAACTATATACCTGAGGTGCTAAATCATCCACATAGACGGATAAAAAGAAAAAAAAAAAGAAAATCGTATGTTTTGTTTGGACCAAATCAAGATCTAATGGCTAAACATTTCCCTTTTAAAGATTTAAATTCCGACAAAATACCATATATTATGTAATTTGAAAAGATACAAAGACAGTAATAACCAAGCTGTCGGATGTATACAACTTTAAAACATTTATTTAGGGGACCATATTTTGCCAAGTTTTATAAAGCTCGATCGTAGAACATGACTGTAAAACTCATTGAAACTTTGATGTCATCTTTTTCGGTTCAAAAAAAAAAAAAACCTTAATGTCATCTTTTTGAACTCTACTTCATAGTTTAAATTTTTGCCATTGACACCATTAGTCAAAACTTTATAATCCCCCTTAAAGATATGCCGATATCAATCCCATGAAACGAACACTTTGAACCGCCACTAACAATGCTTGATCTTTATGACCATTTCTAAACCCTTTACTAAGAAATCATATGTTTTGTTGTTGTGTTCTTATTCTTTTTCTCGTGGGTTCTAATTAACCATTTATAAACCTTTTACTAAGGAAGCTGCGGTAAGATCTAAATTATAATTCATGTGTCTGTCCTTTTAAGTCTTAAACACATGATTTGATTGAATTTACAGTACTTTTTGGATGAGATTCTATGACCTCACTTTCCCAAAATGCATGCACAGCTTCAAGCAAGTTTCTCCAGTCCGTAAACAATTTGGCCAAGAACATTACACAAAGTTTATTTGTTTTATAAAAAAGCTCATCAAAATCTTGTGAGGTTTCGGAGTAGATAGGCTTTCTTTATTACATCAACCCCTCCTTGGGGAGATCAAAATCGAAGTGTGGGTCACAAGCAAGGTCACTGATGCTCTTGTCTCATGAAAGTATTTTAATGTGACTCGCGCTCTTCTCTCTATATTACATACCACTTCTCAGGGTAATCCCACATACTTCATCCACAAGACCAATGGTATCATGTGAACAAATCCCACACTAGACACTACCGGTGTGGCTCGTCAAGCTCCGGCGTTTTTCCCGCCTCTTCTGCTAATCTCTTCACACAAACGACACGGCAACGTATCGAGACTCACCGCGCGGGTTTTCCCATAGTTCCCCATTACTCCACACCGCCTCCACGCGTGGTACTCCGAGTAAGCCACGGGATCATCACCGAGCCGCTTCACGTAAGCCGCCAGTTCCTCCACCGAGCCGAATTTGTTACCGTCTATCACCGAATGAGGCGGGACAAAATCTTGCACGTTAGAGGCCCCGAAATAGATGGGAACAGAGCCCGAGTCGAGCGCGTAGTAAAGCTTCTCGGTCACGTATGACTCAGTGGCTGTGTTTTCTATCGCAAGGACGAATTTGTAGTGCGACATAGCGCAGTGGAGGTGGTCGTACCATTTTGGCTCGGCGTTGGACTCGGAGACGCATTCCGGATACATAGAGAGTGCTGAGTTCAAGCCGCCGACATTGTTTAGACACTTTCCAAAGGAGTGGTGCGGGATCAGATCGAGGAGGCTTTTAGCGAGGCTGTCTCTGTGAGCGAGGCATCTAGAAGAAGACCAATACACCAGAACATCATTGTTTTTATGTGCAGAGATGTGATAGTTTCTGTTATTATGAAACAGAGCACCCGCGTAAGTTGTCTGGACATCATCTTTGGCATGGTAGCTGATGAATATATCTTCACGCCCTGAGCGTTTTCTTCCGGCCTCTAGCTCCATATACACACGGAGAGGATCTCCAACACGTCTCTAAGGAAGAGAGAATAAGCAGAGAAACTCAGCATCAATGGTGGGATCCAAGAAATTGAAAGATCACTATAACAAAGCAGGATCACACTTTACATTTGAGGGAAAATAAGACAAAAATGAGATTTTAATTTTCCCTGATCATCCAAAACTATGACCCACTTTCCCAAAATGGATGCACAGCTTCAAGCAAGTTTGGCCAAGAACAAGAACATCATTACACAAAGTTCCTTCTGGTTAAAAATAAGCTCCGAAAATCCTCAAAACCGGATTAGAGTAAGAAGGCAATTGTTTTGCACATTTTCGTACCTTTGAGTGAATCCTAGAACTAAAGACCTTCTCTAGCAGCTGCTTAAGTGAAGTGCTATAGCTCGAATTGATAAACACTACAAACACTCAATGATGAACCAAACAACATTCTGTCAAAAGCTTTATAACCACAGTCAAATCCGTTCAAATGCAGCCCGTGAGACTAATCCACAGCTATTCCAAGAATTGATAAACCTAAACACACTACTCAAGAGCTTGAAATCGCATAAACAAGAGAGTGTGTGTGATCTAATCTTCTCAAAAATGCATGCTTTAACAAAATTCGCATCAAGCAAGTTCTACAGAGAAAAAAAAATTTTGGCTAGTAAAACTACCTGAAACGGAGGTGTTGTCGTCTCGAACAACAAAGCATCAGGTGAATCAGCAAGAACCGGTGATTTAGTCCACAAACAAGTCATCCCACATCGACAAGAGTAGAGATTTTCCAAATTATCCGGAATCCAAGTCCACCCTTTCACCAATACCCTAACGTGCTCCATCCTAAGCTTACCACAACCCGACCCGCCACCGATTGCTTGTAGAGAGCCCGAACTAACGTTGCCGCGGATCGAATCCTTATGATTCTCCCTGAACCGAGCACAACCCACTCGCGAGTCCCATTTTCTAAAAGCCACCAAGACATCGGTGAATGGATCCGATGATACCGCGGCGGCGGAATCAGGTAATTTCGATCCCGGGTCTATCGAATGGGGAATCGAATTGGAGGCAGACGGGAATTCTAGAATGCCAGTGAAAGAGAGGATCAGAAGAGTAAAGAACATCATGAGTAAAACGGCAACGGCGTTGAGGTGCCTCATCGGCATGGTGTGGGATTGAATTCCTCAACCGCCGAGATGAGATCCTCGACGCCGGAGATGGAAAGTCCGGCCAACGGTGGAACGGCTTTTCTTCATTCACTGAAGCGTAAACAGTTTCTCTACTGGGTCCCCCCCCCCGTTACCAAATACAAAAAAAACCTTCAAAAACCGACGTCGTTTCAAAAAGAGTGAAATAAAGTGGGCCATTACTGGGCCTATCTAATAACATTTACTTGAAACCCACTTGTCTACACAACTTTGATGATTCATGTTCCATATCATATACATAATCGAAAACCATAGTTCATGTGTATGAATTAACTTAAGGTGAAACAAACAACAAGAGAGAGGTGTATATATACATAAGCTCATACTTTCTCTACAGAGGAACCGAGTTTGTGTATAAGTGGAGGTAGTGAAATCTCTAAACCTAAACCGAAAGATGTTCATCTCAACCAAAAGACTATAAAGCATTAGTACAAACAACATACACACACGCACACATGCGTCTCGAAGTAGAAACTCAAATGCAAAAGAAAAAAAATCTCATTTGTGTCCTGAACCATACCGGGTGGTTCAATGAACTTTTTCAACAGTCTGGCAGCGAGTTTGCAGAGGCGTAAGGAGAGAAAGTTCCGGCTGATTCACTGTACCGCAGCGGATGGACCGGATAATTCGATGAACCGACTAAACCGGGCGACGCATTGCTCGGGCTAGGCCGGTATGGTGACATGTACCTCGCGTTGAGAGGCGAGATAGTCGGGTAACCGAGCGACTGCGGAGAAGCCATGTGTGAAATGTATGATCTCTGTGACGGTGATGGAGAAGCTCCTTGTTGTCCGAGATCCACGGAGCTTCGGCTTACGCTTATCGGAGGAGATCGCCGGAGAGAGGAAGACCGGAACGATTGTCTGATGTAGGACGAGCTCGCGTGTGCGGGAGAGAAAGAGATTGAAGTTGGTACCGACCCCATGGAAGGACCTATCAACATTGCGGATGATCTGAACGAAGAGAGCGCAGATGAAGAACGGAAAGACGACGAGGCGGAGGACAGCAACGGCGTGCTCTCTGAAGCCGGCGGCTCGCCGTTGCTCGTCCTCGCATCCCGTTTGCACACTGGACAGAAAGTTCTCCACGAGGTCAACCACGAGTCAACGCACACGGCATGAAACTCTGAAAACAAACAGACACACACAAAAAAACGGAATCTTTTACTTGGTTCTAACACAAATGTGCACGAGTTACAAGATTCTGTATACTCACTGTGACGGCAAGGAAGGAGCCTAAGCTTGTCGCCGACGGTGTAGTCTTCGAGGCAGATAGCGCAAGCGAATGCAGTAGTGTTGTCTTCGTGTACGGAAGAGAATATAAGACTCGGCATTGCTTTCACCAAGCGGCGACTCATACCGTGGAACTCACGGACTCTAGAGGACCGAGATGTTCGCCTTCTTATGCGATGCCTGCGGACGAAGAAGCAGGTGGCGAGAACAGCTGACATGGCGAGCAGCGAGATGAACGAAACCGCCATGATCGACCAAGCCGAGTTCTCGAAGCTCGGAAGCAACCAGACTTTCGTGTCGGAGAAACCAGCAGCCTTCCTCAAAGCTTCTCCAGTCTCTTTGGTGACGAAAACCGAATGAATCTTGATACCTCCCGAGTTACCTGCCACTGAAAAATCCCCCCCAAGAAAATCAAGAAATGTTAAATCTGCTTATCAAGAAATCATAGGATCAAGACAGAAACTGAGAAAGAATGTTTTTTTTTTTTACTTGCAATCAAGATTCCACGGTCTTCGTTGTTATGGATAATGGCGGCTTTGAAGCCAGCTTTCTGAGCTTTTCTGACTTTATCTTCAAAACTGCAACCTCCTCTTACGATCAACACGAAAGGGGAAGATTCATTTGAGCTCTGTTTGGGTTTATTCATCAGGTTTTCGCAAGCGTCAAGAGGCTCAGCGACATAAAGGACTCCAATTTCACCAGCACCTTTCACAGACGGAGCTGCAAAATTCAACCCAACAAAAAAAATCTCTTCATTTCCAAACAGATATGAACAAATTTGATCCATTTGAACAAGCACTACCCTCAAATTCTCGCTGCGTTGACTCCAATTACAGATTCAAAAAAAAACCCTTAAATTCGTATCCCCAACGATTATAGAGGAGGTAAGAGATCAAAAATAGGAGAATTTGAGAAAAAAACTAACCGAAATTAGCTTCGATGTCATCAAAAGCGCTAGTGATGTTGTCCCTCATCAGAATCACTTTGCCCGACGCTAAGCAAGAAAGAGTAAAAGCTTGTAATAGTAGGACCAGAGCACGATTCATCATCGTCCCTACCTCCTTCTTCACAAATCGAACAAAAGGAGAAAAAAAAGTTTCAACTTTTTTTTTTTGTTGTTGTTTCTGGAAAAATTTCGCGATAAGCGTTTTTCAGACAATTGACACGTCAGCTTCCATTTAGATCACAAATTCTAAACCATATCAGAAGTTTTAAGGAAAGAAAATTAAACCGAGAGGCTCAAATCGTTGAATAAGCAAATGGGGGAATCGAAATTCTGGATCTTTTTTTCCGGAGGCTATTAGGGTTCTTGAGGGTAGAGAGAGAGAGAGAGAGAGGAAGAAATGAGATTTGAAAGCTAATTGTACTAGAATTGTCTCTTTATGTGTAATATCTGGAATCCTCCGATTCGAGCTTTTGTTAGGTTTATTTGGCAGAATTTTAATTATTTATTCGCATCTATCGGATAAATGATGAAACTTTGCGATAATTAAAAAGGGATATGCTTCTTTTTTTTTTTTTGTAAAAGACAGATTACACGTTGTAGTGGTGAGTCATGAGCTCATGGTTTTGTCGATCCATTGGGTGATTCGTTGGTTTAGCATTACCACTCACACTATTATTCAACCTGCTGCAATTAGTTTAAACGCTCAAAAGTTTATTGATTCTTCACCGAAAACTTGACCAGAAAATTTACCATTATAACTGTTTCAGTTGTGTTATCGATCTATATTATTAAATTCAAATTCGCATATAATGTTTTACTTTACAAAATAATTAACCGATCCTCTTTCTGAAGATATGTCTCCAATAATTATAGGCATTTTTTACAATTCGATAGATAAACAATAAAATTTGAATTATCTACGTTGTAACCAATAATAATAAGTTGGAATAAATTTATGTAGGATAAAAAAATGTGGATTCCTTATCATTCCTTATAACCGATAATAATTTTATGGAATTTCATAGAATTCTTTATTCTATATAATTTTATTCTTAAAATTTAATCCAGTTACAACCCTAGTCTTTTTTTTTTTGCTTTGCATGGGTAATCCCAATCAAACCCAACTAATTCATATTCATATAGTGATATAGACTATGATTTGGGGTTGAATGTTATGGTCAATCCAAATGTTAGATAAAACGAATTTACACCATACCTCTGGTCAATGAGCCCCGCGACTACCACCGTCAGATTAATTACCTGTTTGTGTTATCAAACCTTACAACAAATTTTTTTTTTGTCAACACAACAAAATCATTAAAGTTACACAAATCAAAATTTCCTCAGCGTTATTAATATAATACCTACCGGGTGTTATCTTTGTTTTTTCTCGACTAAAACAGTCAACCCTAGATGTGGAAAGTTGTACTAATAGTATTATTTTTCCGACAAAAGGTAATATATATATATTTTTTTTATAATTTTGAGCTAAATATCCAGATAACTACTCTTATCTGTTCACGACTCTTATAGTCTTCTTATCTGTTCGTAAACTATTGGAGACAACGAGACATGATGGTCCCTAGTTCTATTAGTTTGAGTAAGTTTACTATTCCAAAACTATAATACATATATGATTAGCTGGTTTTGATAGTACTTTATTACGAGTTCATCAAAGTAGAAATAATATTTATTGGTTTGTTCAAACTTTTTAAGATTCGTCACGCTATGTTAATAAAAAAAATAACCGCTACCGTCAATTTCAGTAATACTGGAACTCTTTTTCGATTCGGCCTTTTCTTAGCATCGGCCTTAACTAAGCCCATAAACTACAATTGCATATGACGTATAAGCATATTCAAAACCTCATGGCCCATTTAAACAAACAAACAAAACAATCTCTACATTTTTCTTAATTGGAAGTTGCCGGCTCAAATTATGAACGTAGAGGTTGAGTAACCGTTCAGGCTTTGGCTGGCCTGTATCTTACTTGCCATGTGCTACAATGACTCTTTGTACTTTGATTTTCAGTGAGATCAGATTTGGTTCTCATCCAATGTCTATCGAAAACTTTATCAACATTCTAATTACAAAAAATTTCGAACCGTGCTTGTTTGATATGATCGGCAAAAGTCTTTTCAAGACTGGTTTTTGGTTCGACACACTTGGGGTTGTTACACTCTAAATTAGTATTATGTTGTGACATGTGTTGTTAGCTAAACGTGGGGCTTTATCTTGATCACATTCACATGGTTACTTATCGGATGATCTTTTAATCATTATGGTATTAATTCTTGATGTTTACGTTTGTGACACTTACGGCTCAAAAGAAGAAGGAAAAAAAAACAAAGCATTTAGTAGTACCCATCCATCTTGAATCTCAGTATTATATTCTTTCCATTTCGTACAGTTAGACCTCTACGACAAATTAGTCCACAGTAAAAAATTATATTGCAACTTTTTCATATCGTTTTCTTATAAATCTTTATTATTTAGAAGAGATCAAATGGATGAAACATCTAAATAAATATGAGTGGCTTAGTGCATACAGTATATACAGTATATTGGTTTGTGTTATAGTATCATTATATTATCATCTGAATTCTGAATTCCAATCCGTATGATGCATTTTTTTAGTGTTAAAAATTTATAAAAACATCTAATTGCCTGAAAAGGAAGAAATGTTGTTTACCCACACCAAAGGTTTTTTTACTATCACTATTGAGAGAAGACCACCTCATAAATGTATGCAATTCAAGATTACTAAATACTTAATAGTCACCGGCTTATGTTGAATACTCTAAGTGAAAGAATGACATCAGCTTGTTTGTCGCTCAAGAAATCTTGATAGAAAATTGCATTTTTTTTTTTTGGATTCGATGCCTTCACTAATAAATGGATTCTGATTCGTATGCTTGATCCATATTTCACATTACATATAATTTATACAACATATTGTTTTTCCATGTGCGAAAGAGGACATGATTGTGGACGATGATAATGGTGTCGTTAGTCTCAAGCTACATCTCAATCACTTATAGCGGTCCATCTTGTCTCATCCAATACTCATTTATTATATGTTTAATTATGCACATGCCCACGCACACATTGTATATATATATGTAGATGCTGAATATTTACATTTATAAGTTAAAGTAATCACTGCTTATATGAATGAACAATCTGATCTGACTAACAGACTAAGTTATATAAACCACTTATGTGATAGTTTTCATCAAATTTCAAGGCTGTCGCAAGTTAAATATGCTCAGGATATACACTTTAGCTAGGGGTTGTTGTTTGAACTATTTGGTTTTATAATATTTAGGCGTAAGTCAATAATTTAAAAGTACACACGCGAATATAAAGCAGACAATGATGAAAAGTAACGTTCATATTAAAAAAATGTCTAATAATATTTATTAGAATTTGGCCATCATTAATATCCCACGTATTTTTAGGTTCTTTAGCTCCCCACTAATTCCTCTCGGTGCTCCAACCCCAAACTTAGTTTTAAGTTTTAACGAAAACTGGAAAATGAACTCACTAATTGTTTGACTCATCTACAGTTTATATGATCCTCTTCTTTTTTAAAAAATAAAATGTAGTTACCGACACAAACAAACAAAAAACTTCTTCTGGTGTATAAAAAAAATAATTTCACTTGACCCAATAAAAAACTAGTTCCTTTCGAATATTATATACTTTAATTGTACGATATATATAAATATACGTATTTATCTCCATGCATATTCACATATTTTGTAGTATTCATGGATCGATATGAACATACGAATATGAATAAATACAAAGAGAAGGTAAAATAGGACGATCTTGTGGCAGATATTAGATTAATCTGTACGCTAAACCAAACAACTTAATATAAACAGTTCCTAACCCTAATAAATCTTAAGCATGATCAAGACATGTTAACTACAGCGTGGGACATAAATGTGAATGACTATTCAAATATTACATCATGTGAGACTTGAGTTGCGTAGCATTCAGATGTTGAAACAGTTTTTTGAGTACAAAATTATAAATTGACATTGATGTTTGACTGTTGGCTTCAGTTTTCCACTGCATAGCATATTACGTATTTGTAGTATATATGTGCTATTACCCAGCTGAAACCCAATATTCACACATGGGAACGAGACACGTAAATAAATTGTCAATGTTTAAACATCTTTTCTTCATATATCTAATTCAAACCAAAGAGAAACAAAAGATTGAGTAATTACTTTCAGAAAGAGAAAGCGATTTTTATTATCGTATACTTTGAGAATTTGTCAACCTTCTGTAGTTTGTTGACACCTAAACTACGTTTTAAGGGTTGTTATTCGATCGACAATAGAAATGTGTATCATATTTTTAGTTGATTAATTATTCTTTTGGTACCTAGTTATTTGATAAAAAAATTAAACCATTGTTCAAAATTTCATATAGTTAGTTATAAACATTGAATATGATAATATTTAAAATTTGAATACTATTGGTGTTTTATGAGATTTCTTTTGCAATTCGATAAACTTTTTAAATAAATGGAAATTAAAAATGAATAATTGATTTTGTAATTTGGTGAATCAGATTATTTTTGTTCGAGAGAAGCAATTTGATATCCAAAATATAGGAAAATGGGATCGATTTGTCCCAAAGAAGACGAACAAGTGTCTTTATAAACGAGAAATAAAGATTAAAAAAACAGTTTTTTAAAAAACTCCATCTAAGTAGAAATTTCTGCTTATATAAATTTATTTTAAAACGTATACAATACTTGGGGCTAAGACATGCATGGTTGCTCAACAACTTTGTTTTATTATTGCCTTGTGCGAACAACAATCATGAAAGATCCATTTTTTATCGATCTGTTCAGAAAGAAACAAGAAAACATCTTTAATAAGAAACTTAAAAAAAAAAAAAATTAAAAACTCTTTAGAGAATATACTTCAACTCATCTAGTCCTAGGCATGCCACAATAACAACATTTTCTAAATGGTAAAAAACAACAAAATCAAGTGTCAGTACAAACTCGTCTGTGTTTTGATTCCTATAACAAATTAATCAGTCTTGTTTTGTATGTATTTGCACATATAACTTAGCTTGCTCTCACATGGGATGAGATTGGAAACTAGCTAGAGATCACAGAACCTTCAAACTTGGTTCCACCAAGTTTAAATTATTGCATAAGAATATAATATATAAGTTTATAAGACACTATAAAATTATAATAACCAAATGGTGTAGAGTTTAAGAGTTCATATCATAGAAGTTAAAGGACTACAATTCTACTGCCATCAATAATGTTAGTCTAGGTTTCAGTTCAAGATTATATATAAGTCAATATGCTTATATGGAATTATGGTTACAAGTAAATAAATTCCCGAAATTTTACATTCATGTTACGATCTAAATGGGGAAGAAAAGAAACACAAACCCATAAGCCATAATATGTCACATTCAGAGAAATTTATACAGAAAACATTACAAAAACCGAGAAAAGTATTTGTATTAAAGCACAAAATACGACAATTCAACGGCGACGGCGTGGAAGAAGCAAATGATCGTACGATGCAGCTTTTCCCGGTCTCGGAAGATAAACAATGGACTCTGAAACTGCACAAGTTCTCCGACAAGAACCGTACAGATTCACTAACCCGAACCTGTCGCCGATGCTGGTCTTTGACAACACCTTGCTTGATCCACCGGAATTTCCTCGAAACCTCCGATCAACGTCTTCTTCACCACCGTCTTCATCCTCGTCGTCGTCTTTAGAACATTCCAATAACGCCGCGGCGAAGGGATCTTTCTCGGTGACGGGGAAGCTCAAACTCTTCTTTTTAAGGGAGTTACCAGCGGTAGTGGTTTTCCCGGTGATCGGAAAATGGGTATTCCGGTGAGGAGGGAGAGGCAGTATAACTGAAGACTCCGTATTTCGCCGGTGGTTGAGTCTATGAGAGTAGTCTTTGGGTTTTCCGGGAAGCTGTTCCCAGGAAAATGGAACGCCGAGAAGACGGAGAGGAGTCGCTGGAGAGTTCAGGGGAGAGTCGCCGGGAAACACGGGCGAGCTTGAGGAGCAAGAAGAGAATGATGAGAAGGAAGAAGAAGAAGATAAAGATTTCCGGGATGAAATGTTTGTCTTCGCCGGAAATTTGACCGGATCGGATCGTTTAGATACCATTCGAGTTCTTGAAGAATCCATGAGGGAAGAAGAAGAACAAGAAGAGAGAGACAATGTTGATCCAGAGAGAAACTCTGTTTTTTGGCCTTTAGTTTATTGTCTGATGAGTTTTCCTTATAAACTGTGGAAAAATAAAGGACGGAATTGTCCAATTATTTTATTCAACTAATTGTAATTAGTATAGTGACAATAAAAGGCAAAACATAATTATTACATCTAAGTATTATTGTTTTGTTTCCATTCGATCTGTAAATAAACTCTTTCGTACCGATTTGTTTATACGCTTTTTGCTTGAATGTGGAATAATAATTTAAAAAATAGGTGAGTAAAAGAAAAATGCGCAAAACAGAGAATTTGATTTTGGTAGATATGTTTGTATTAGTGGATACGGAGAAACATCTCGTTTTATTTAAAGAGAGTTGTGAAATTGCAAGTAAAGATGAAACAAGAGTGAGAGTGGTGACCCCATTAGACGTAAGAGATGATAACGACATTGGACATTAGGGCCATGAACCTTTAAGTTTCATAAATAGAATACTTTTCTTTGGGTGTAAAATTCATAAATAGAATACTTTCTCAATGATTTGTGTGTCTATGATTCAATAAAAATAGTAATTGAATAGTTGAATAATGGCTACTTGTTAATAATTCATTACCTAGAACAATGAAAGAAGCAACAGTTAGTTGTACTTGTAAACTTACAAATGGTATTTGATTAGGTGCAAAACAAACATAACAAATATGGTTGGTTTATTCAGTGCGGTTTGTGTTAAACTGTTAATGATATGACTTGAAGATGGATTCTAATTATTGTGGTTTTATCGCATTTTTAAGTATATGTGTGTGTGTGTGTGTGTTTTATTATTATTGCTGAATTACGTATGGGTTTTATTCCCAATACTTTGCTAGTTTAGTGGTTAGTATTCCTCATTTACTCAGGTTCGATTTCAGTATATATGTGCTTGAAACCCATAAAAGGTAAAGTTACAGTTTTAAAAACCAAATTTTATATAGTCACAGGCTCAAAGCTTACAGTCAAATCCAGAAATAAGTATTTAAAAACTCTGTCACTGTCAGAGTGTCAGGTTTTCTAGTTTGGTCAGATCTTATCCTATCAAGTTCGTAAAAACACTACATTTTCATTTTATTGAAGTTTTCTTAACTATTAAATAATGTTCACAAGCCGATTCTAATAATAGAATCGCCTAAAACTATTTATTTATGAGATTTTAACAAAAATACCTTTTTCTTAACAAAGGATTAGGAGCCGAAATTCACAGATCTATATAAAATGTCTATAGAAAAGGTAAAATTTTAATCAAAGGTCCATACAAATGCACCAAGTACATGCAAAGAAAAAGCTTTGTACACTTGTCAAGACTGTCTTATAGAAAGTGTTGTTCATATGTAATAACATAATTATGTGAAAGGAAGAAATATGATTATATTTAAATTTTAGAATTGTAGAACCCATAAAATTTTTGAGCCATCTGCAACAACAACAACATCTCTGGTCTTTATGACTTTGCCCATCACCCATTCGTATGGAGAGCTATGAACTCATGGGCCCTAGTTAGTGGGTCTCGTGAAATTTTAGTTTTCATTATTATCCATTTAGTTTGCAACTTTTTCTCCATTTATGTTCGTAATTGTGATCCGCGAAAACAAAGTTTTGTTTTACTTAATTTTATACATGCACAAACCTAAATAATAACTACGAAATTATTTAACAGAAAGCTTTGCAATATGAATACTCATATATTATTAGTTTAAGATCATATATGAATTTATGTTTTGGGCTGAATCATTTTGGGCTTAGTTAGTCTATTTGGGATTACAGATGGGCTCAAATCTTTATAAGTTTATAGTTTATTATCTTCTTTTTTTCCCGATTATCTTCTTTTCCGATTATTTTCGTAAACTCACTTTTCTCTAGTGTGTTCGTTACACTTTTTTGTGTGTCGAGAGATTCATTGAACTTGTTATACACGTTTGTTGTGGACGTCAATTTTTAATTATAGCCCAGCAAATGAAGTAAAAACAAAATTATTGTCCAACAAATTTTCAAAGAAAGTAAATAACAGGAGTTTTTCAAAATTTAACTTGACAACTACCCTAAACTTAAAACTTAATTGCTATTAACTAATGTGTCTACAATTTTACTATAAACAGAAAAAACAAAATTAATATAAGAAATACGCATTGAAATGTAGTTTGTGAGGAAATTGGGATGGGGGTACACGTCGAGAGACCTTTTTCTTTTCAACGAATATTTAAATTCAGAAATATGGTCTATATTTAGGAAAGAAACTAAAACAGCCTAACAGAGAAACCGTATGATAAAAAGAAGAATCCAAAATTAAATTATATTGCCGTGACGTAATTGTCATATATAATAAAGTGTAAATCAAAAGAAAATGGGAGAAGGGGATGCTCTCTCTAGCTCGTTCGTCATGGCCATAAGTGGATCATGTGGTCCATATTCTCTGTACACTAAAAATTAATAAAAATCCTCCATTGCTCCCTCTCTCTCATCTCATTTTGTTTTTTAAACGGCGCGTTACATCCACGCGCCGTCGTGGAAGGTGGGCGGCTGAAAACCCACCTTCGAAGAAAGCACAGTGACACACACACACACGCAGTGATAAATGACACACGAAATTGGATCTGAGTTTAGAGAAAAAATAAAGGACAGTGTTGAGTGGGTCATCACGTGCGAGCGACACGCGTCGCCGTCATCGGTTTTTAGTGTGGGACCCGTCGTTGAAAGTAGAAACTGTGAAGTTTCTCTCAAACTGATCTAAGCCATTCGTTGTTTGTGTTAATGTGATTGAGTCTCTGACGAAGGACTAAAATGATCCCGAGAAATCTGTTTTTTATGTTGTTCCTACCTATACAATACAATCTTTGACTTTTGATAATGAGTTTTGTTATTAGGACAATCACATTATCACAGTCACGTCACGGTCAACGCTCATCGGGCCTGTCACGGTAAGCCAAACTGAATCGGAGATATTTTTCCATAGGGAAGAAAGAATATGGAGAACGGTCTTTGAAACGGTGTCGTGACGACTCTGAAACGCACCACCGTACATGCCCGTAAAGGCGTAAACGCACGTCTTCTTCACCAGATACATGCATCATGTTCACACGAATAGAACTTACTATATATATACTCAGATATACATAATGTGCAAGAGGCACATACGTTTTAGTTTATTACAAAATTAACAAAAACGAAGCAAAGAAGGATAGGTAACAAGTGTTCCTAAGACACATAACACATGATTTGTCAAATCGAGCCACGCAGAATATTAATACAGCTATATTTATACGTTTTTTTGTGTGTGTGCATCTTTGTTCTTATCTAGTTGTAGTCTTCGTACCCTAATTGAATTGATCCACCGGTTCGAATGAACATTCGGTTCTAAGCCCTCCTTAAAAAAAGTCTTAACGTTTTGACACATCACAGTCTTCGTACCCTAATTGAATTGATCCACCGGTTCGAATGAACATTCGGTTCTAAGCCCTCCATAAAAAAAGTCTTTCGTTTTGACACATCACGACTTTTCAATGTTTAGTTAAGTTTGACTTATAATTTCGTGATTGTTATATTCGAATTTTTTTTCACTTTGAACACATTGATGTAATTTAATAAATTATAGAATTATTCAAATGTGTCTATAGATATATAATAAAATATCAAATGATTTATCCTATAAGGTTTAAATCGATATATAATCTCTGGATTATAAACAGCCTTCCTTAGATTTAACAAAAAAAATCTTCGTTAGAAACATGTAAATGCTGTGGAGAGAAAACTAGTAGTAACATTATAAAACTTCAAATTCCAGCAGCCACGCAAATTATCAACACACAGCAACATTTCTGTTTCTGTGAGAATTACATTTCTGCTTCTTAGATATATTATTGAAACATCTTTAACAGCAAAGCTGTTTAAAATATTATATATTCAGAGAAATCATTTCGTGCCATTAGAGATCGAAAAACTATCACAGCTAAATAATTTGCCATACATATATAGATATGTTTTGAAATTTTTGGAGGAATTTATTGCCTCAACAAATTACAAGAAGAAAAAACAAAAACACACATGCACTAATTCTAGAACAAGAAACATAAAATAACCACATAATCGATCCGCTTCCAATATGTCTTAGGGTCTTTTCCTAATTTTAAAAAGATCAGGTGATTCTAAATTTAAACAATCAGAATGGAAAACACTAATTGAAATTATATAAGCTCTATATATTCTGTAAAGAGAAAGAGGTATATTCGAAAACGAGTCTGATGCTAAGAAAAAAGAAAAAAAGAAAAAAAAAAAATCCGAAAAAGAAGGGCTGAAAAAAGAGAGAATTTAAAGTGGCAAATTTACACTACAAGAAAGAAAGCTTTTTCCCGCGACCGATTCCTTTCAGCAGTCGCCAGCTGGCATTATGCGTTTTGCCACGTGTTATTTGCTCAATGAACATCACTTTGCTGACGTGGCATCCACTTGCTTTCTCCTTGGCTCTTGTTCCTCCTCTCCCTTTAAATACAGCTCTCAGCATCTCAGCCCCCGATCTTCAGCCAGCCTTCTCCTCTCTCTCCTTCTCTCTGTTTTTAACTCCGTTTAAGTTTTCCGTCTTTAAAAATAAAAAAGGAAAGGCAAGGAAGTTAGAAAATAATGTCAGGTTTTGACGGCGTCGAAAATCAAATGAACGGTCCAGATTTAGCAGCTCGTCTCCCTCAAGATCCTCGCTCATTATTATCATCACCTCCTTGTTTCCCAATCACCCTCAAGGTATTACACACAGAAACATCACAACGCCCAGATTTTTGAATTTTTTTAAATAAATTCGATTGCGATTTTTTGAAACAACACTCACTGATTCGTTGTTGACTCATTGACTCTGGGACTTGACTCGTTTCACCATTCTTCTCTTGAATCAGTTCGTCGATGTCTGTTACCGAGTGAAGATCCATGGCAACTCCGGCGACTCCGGGAAGTTCAAGAGATTGTTGGGACTTGAACACAAACCGTCCGATGAGGCTCGATCGACGGAGGAGAGGACAATACTTAGCGGAGTCACCGGAATGGTGTCACCCGGCGAGTTTATGGCCGTTCTCGGACCATCGGGAAGCGGTAAATCGACGCTGCTTAACGCTGTTGCAGGGAGGCTCCATGGAGCAGGCCTCACCGGAAAAATACTCGCCAACGACGCGAAACCGACGAAACAGACGCTGAAACGCACCGGATTCGTGGCGCAGGACGATCTCCTCTACCCACACTTAACCGTCCGCGAAACCCTAGTTTTCGTCGCCTTGCTCCGTCTCCCTCGGAGTCTAACGAGAGACGACAAAATCAAAGCCGCCGAGTCGGTGATCTCGGAGCTGGGCCTCTCGAAATGCGAGAACACGGTCGTCGGAAACACGTTCATCAGAGGGATCTCAGGCGGTGAGAGGAAACGTGTGAGCATCGCTCACGAGTTGCTCATCAACCCGAGCCTTCTCGTCCTCGACGAGCCGACGTCGGGACTTGACGCTACGGCGGCTCTCAGGCTGGTACAGAGCCTCGCCGGGATGGCTCATGTGAAAGGGAAGACGGTGGTGACGTCGATTCACCAGCCGTCGAGCCGTGTGTTCCAGATGTTCGATACTGTGCTTCTTCTGAGCGAAGGAAAGTGTTTGTTCTTCGGAAAAGGAAGAGACGCCATGGCTTACTTCGAGTCCGTCGGATTCTCGCCGGCGTTTCCGATGAATCCGGCTGATTTTCTTCTCGATCTTGCTAACGGTACGTTCTTAAAATTTTAAAATTCAACTTTTAAAATTATTTAACATACTGACTTTCACATACACTAGTGTACTAACACGCATTATTATCGTATTAGTAGCATATTTGATCATTCCGTGATTGAAAGTGAAAAATTCCCGTTTTAATTTGAATGAAAAGTATATTTAAATGAATTGACTGATGATAGGACACAAAAAAATTAAATATAAAATTACCTTTTTGGATGGTAAGTATTTATATACGTATACGTATACAATGAATCTTTGATACCGAAACCATGCATAATAATAATACTCATGTGAGGAGGTAAGATATTTGTATAGAAAAATACTTTGAAAATAACAGCTCGACCCCAAGAAAAGAGAGTAATAAATGCCATATTTATGATCGTTATCGCAGACGTACGTACGATGAGAACTATACAAGTCTAAGCTTATGATATGTCTCTCGTTGACTCTGGTCCTTGTGGTGGCTCTAAACTTAATTGCTTACTTGATTATCGTTTTGGATTTTGGATTTTGGAGTTTAAACAAACGCTAATCTACAACTATTACATTAGTGGTACGTGTCTAGCGTTATATTAGTAATAAATATACTTTTTCTTATGGTATATATGAACTTATCTTTTAGCATCTTTTTCTTCTCACCATTTTTTCCAATAATTGTCTATTCCAAGTTTATACTAATTTTATAAAATAAAGTTGATAATTGAAGGGTGGCTTTTTGATGTTAATAATTATGGGCAATTGGGGATACGTGTTATGTCTTTCTTTCTCTCTTTTCGAGTATGATATTGTATGCCACAGATTTTTGGGTCTCAATTTTGGCATATTATATATCATCTGAATAAATGTTATTCCTTACTTTATATAAAACCTTATCTCATTACACATTTACACTATTAAAACCATGCTTTTTCTTTATTTTTCGGGAGATAAAAATAAACAGAAGAAATGATCTTTATTTTTAAAAACGGGTTAGCAGAGAAATACCACGTGTCTAATGTGTGTTTGAAGATGACGTATGGGTTTCATAAACCTGGCTATTGTGTTTTCTGTTTCCTCTTTATCCAACTTTTTAAAAAATTAGTTCTTCTTTTTTGCACTATCCAAACTTTTTCATTATCTTTTTCTTCTTAATCTATCTTTTTTCTGTTCTTCCTAATAATCTATGTTCTCTTTTTTTAGCCAACTACTAATAAAAAGAGCCTTTTTTTCATCGTTTTAATCAAAGCAGTCTTCTCACTTTTTCTTTCTTTTACTTTTGCGTAGCTTTTGAGCTCCACGCGTCATCTTAAGCGCGTGGTTTTCGATTGTCTACACTTTCGGTATTTCCATGCATCCTTGATTTGGGAAACTTTTACTTTAAAGGGTAACCGCCTAAAGGAACCCAATCACACTCACGCATCTAGCGCGTGGTTTTCACTGTCCATCACTCAATCCTCATCGAAGCAATAAATGCATATTCGTTGGGAATTGGATATTCATAATCTTAACTCACTTTCAATGTTTTTTTGCGTCTTATTGTGATTACAAGAAATCGTCATAGGTATTCGCATTACTCGTGTTAAACAATTACTTATATATAAGTAAATACTTATAGTATAAGCATTTACCACAGAAAAGGAAAAGGAAAAGGAAAATGAAAATGAATAGTAAGGATACTTGTAGTATAAGCATTTACCATAGAAAAGGAAAATGAATAATAGGGAAAATTACAATATTTAACCTAAAGAGACATATTCATAGGTCACGTTAATTTATTCCAATTCGTCCTTGATTTATCCGAAACAAGGAAGTAAGTACCAAATAATGGTACGAGTGCTTTGACATTTTTAGGCATATCAAAATTGTGGACCAAACTTAGGTTCATTTGGTAATTCACTAATATATATAGGTAATTCATTACTCCTTCTGTTTCATAATAAATGTTATTTTGGGAAAATGTACCTGTATTATAACTTGATGTATCTGGATGTATTTTTAAGTTAATACATCCAGTTATAATGCAAATACATTTTTTCCAAAATGACACTTATTATGAAACAGAGGGAGTAATATATATACTGGTGACAATATAATCCATAATCCATAATCTATATATAGCTTAGCTTATCTAGCTAAGGAATCACGTACACATACATAGTACATACGCATGATTTAGGTTTTTTTGGGGACTGTTAATATGGAGTTAATGACTAAGTCTGTTACCCAAGACCAAACAAATCTCACAAGGTTGTATTGGTGGGTCTTCGTCGTTGACTTTTCATTTTTTTGTTAGGTGTTATCAGTTATGACAAACCTTCAGAATCAGACATATGTATGTATGTGTGTATATCTGTACGCACATGGTGTGTATATTCTGGTGACGCCATAGGTATACAGTAAGAAGGCATTAATATTTAAGACAGGGAATAAAAATGGCACATAGAAATAGTTTGTACTGAAAAAAAAAAAAAATTGCGCACGATGGCATAAGTATTAGATCTAATTTATTAATTTGGTGGGTATTGAGTTCTTTGTCTCCACGAACCATATATGCTTCATATTCAATCTTTCTTTGTATTATTATCTTTGAGAAAAAGTCCCATTTTATTGAACCAACCATCCACATGACCATTCGATCTATTCCATGAATTTAGATAACTATATGTATATATATGTATGCATGTATGTGATTTTCCATGGCTGGAAAGTTGATAATCACATGATCTACGAAGCTGAAATACTGTTTGAATAATTATTCGTTAGTAGTAGAAGACTAAAATAATTAATATTTTTTTCATCAGAAAAATGTTAGATATTGCTTTCTACGTCAAAGTACAACAGTAAACTCCACTTGCCCTAACTTATTGATCAATTTGAAAGAAAAGAACAACTGGAATTAAATTTTCTGTTCCAAATTTATTGCTTTCTCAAAAGCTGGCTTATGACATTTGATGATTACACTTGTCGAGAATTTGACTGTGCATTGTTCACTAGTTTATTGACTTTCTCTAACTTTTGTTTCCCAAAAATTCAATTTTAATCCTATTGATAACGAAAAAAAGAAAAGCCTACCACGTGTTAGGGATTAACAACTATTCTGACTCATTTTGCATAAGCTTAACTTAGGAGTACTAGATTATTTGATGCTCAAGATTTTCCATAATTTAAAAATTTTGGAATCAATGAAGAAGCTAAAAATTAAGAACCGTAGTGGTGACCTTATGCTTTCTTGGGTGGACTCTCTCGCCTCTCCACCTTGATTGGTCAGCTTTACTGCAAATCTGATCTCCATTACTTATTAATTAGTCAAAATATTAATTTAAAGATATTTACTTTTGTTAGATTATAAATAAACAAATGGGTCCAACATAGTGTCAAAACCTGTTTAAATATACTTGTTTGGTCGGTCCAAAGAAGACGATTGGTTGATTCGTTCTCACCTCTGTTCGGTTCCAATGCCACTTTGAATTGTCTTTTCCTTTTTATAATTAGGATATTTAATTAATTATTCCATTGGCCAGTTAACTTTCGCCTATTTGGATGATACAACTTGAGTGGTTCGTTTTCATTAATAGTATATGGTTTAATAAGATACTAATGTAAAATTAATTGGTTTATTAATTAATTACCCAGGATCTTTTAGATTATTAGCAATTTATTATCTTAGTAGTGAGTCTTGGATATGTTTTGCACTAGTGGTTAGCAAATACACGAAAATAACTCTGTTTTTTTTAGGTTACTACTTTAACTTACACAAAGTTTATCGATGAATATTATTATACATATCTTCTCTAAGCTGATTGAGATTTCTTAACTTATGCAGGTGTTTGTCAGATTGACGGCGCAACGGAGCGGGAAAAGCCAAACGTGAGACAAACGTTGGCCGTTGCTTACGATACATTGCTAGCCCCAAACGTCAAAACCTGCATCGACGCGTCACCGTCTCCTCGAGATAACGCGCGTTTTGTGAAAACGCGAGAAAACTCCCGCGGAATAACGTCCGGTCTCACAACATGGTTCAGCCAACTCTGCATTCTCCTCCACAGACTTATAAAAGAACGGCGCCACGAATCCTTCGACGCACTTCGCGTTTTCCAAGTCGTTGCGGCTTCACTACTCTCTGGTCTCATGTGGTGGCACTCCGATTATCGAGACGTACACGTAAGTATATATATATATATATATATATATATAAGCATTATTAATCATGCCTTCAACATGAAGTTTTGGCATTTGTCCTAACAATAATGCTGTTACAGGACCGACTAGGACTACTCTTCTTCATATCAATCTTCTGGGGGGTGCTTCCGTCATTTAACGCTGTCTTCACGTTTCCGCAAGAACGCGCGATTTTCTCACGAGAACGCGCGTCTGGTATGTACACACTCTCCTCTTACTTCATGGCTCACGTCCTCGGATCGCTTTCCATGGAACTCGTTCTCCCGGCGGCGTTCTTGACGCTAACTTACTGGATGGTCGGTTTACGCCCGGGGCTAGTCCCGTTTCTCCTCACCCTCTCCGTGCTCTTGCTATACGTTTTAGCCTCTCAAGGAATCGGACTTGCCCTTGGCGCAGCGATCATGGACGCTAAAAAAGCTTCCACGATCGTGACCGTGACAATGCTAGCGTTCGTCTTAACCGGCGGTTACTACGTGAGCAAAGTGCCATCGGGAATGGTGTGGTTGAAATACGTTTCCACGACGTATTATTGTTATCGCCTTTTGATCGCGATCCAGTACGGAAACGGGGAGGAGATAATGGTGATGTTTGGATGCGATCCCAAGAAAACGCAAGTAGTGGCTACGACGGATCGGTGCCGGTCTATGGAGGAGGAACTGGTCGGAGACATTGGGCTATGGACGAGCGTTAGCGTTTTGTTTTTCATGTTTGTTGGTTATAGAGTATTGGCGTACTTGGCTTTGAGGCGTATTAAACTTTAAAAAATTGAGGGGAGAGGGATAAAAAAAAAATGAAATAAATAATGAGTGGGTAAAAATTAATTTCTAGGGTTTAAAATTCGGATTATATAAGCCGTCGCTAGTTGTAATTCTGCGATTTAGCGACGGGTAGGTGGATTTAGTTTGTTCGATTGTTCAGATTTTAACATGTGAAACGAATATGATGACAAGTATTTTTAGTTTATCTATAATAAAAATGTATATTTTTAATCTATTACATGGTTTTCATTCGTTGTGGATCTATATTGGTCTGGGCCGATTGACGAGTTCAATCTTATGTATGTGGCCCATGGACGTCTCGTTCTTGATAGTGAGATTTCTACAAGTGTCCAAAACCAAATCTTGATTGGCATAATAACCAGCTCTAACAACAAAATATTCACAATAAAATATTGAAATACTCATTAAAAAAATTATACAAAAGTTTTGATTAAAAGAAATGTCCAAAAATGCTGATGATTAATTGATTCATGATATTTCAAAGCTAATTTGGGTAATTACAAAAAATCTGTGGGACCATAGGAAAAAAAAAAAAAACAAAGATAACGCATAAATACAGGCCGACATATTCTAGCCGTCAGTTTATGAGTTAATCATTTGAGGCCGTCCGTTTTAAGCCGGTTAAAAAGGTAAAAACTGACATAAATGGGAGAAAATCAGATCACGCGTATTTCACCTTTGTCTTTTGATTGAAAATATAAAATCCCAAATTCAACAAAAAAAGAAAAAATGCAAACATTTGCTCCTGGAAGAAGAGTCTACCTCAACCTCAACCTCAACCTCATCATCGTCGTCTTCATATCGCTTCTCGCTCTGATCGTCATGGCTGAATCTAGCGGTGAAGCAAAGGTTCACATCATCTACACCGAGAAGCCCACCGGTGAGGAGCCTAAAGAGTATCATCTCCGTACCCTCTCCAAAGCTCTCGGCAGGTCTGTTAAACAAAAACAAAATTTTCTCTGAGATCGTTCTTCAATCTCGATCTCCCAAGAGATGAACTTTTGGTGTGGTTTTGTCTTGCCTTTGATGGTATTGGGGTTGTGATCTGCTTTGATTTGGGGCTTGTTTGTTTCTCTGGAATGTGGGATTTTCCAATTGTTAGGTTGAATCGTGTAAAGATGATTGATCGTTCCGTTTGCTGTGGTTTATTTCCTTTGTTTGTGAAGCTTATTTGCAAATGATAATGGATTCTGTTTGTTTCTTTTATGCTAATTACAGTGAGCAAGCTGCAAAAGATGCTCTGGTTTACAGTTACAAGGAAGCTGCTTCTGGGTTTTCAGCTAAGCTCACACCTGCGCAAGTCACCGAGATATCCAGTACGTTTGCTTTCATTGAGACTCCTCGTTTGATCCTGCACTTTCTCGTTTATACATTGAATTGAAAATATGAAAAATGAAATGATAAGTTTGGATTAAGTTCTTTTCTGGTTGTGGAATTTTCATCAAATGCACAGTTGAAGCAATGAAAAATATTAAGACTTGTGGAGATCCAATTGATGCACAAGAATAAAATCTGGTCTAAGTTCTGAATATGTTCAGGAGATACCATTTGCTTTGACTATGATAATTAGAATCATGTAGACATGAAATGTACAGTTTTGAGTATGTAGGCTCGGAAAAGAAGATAAAGGTCTCGACTTTGGCCAATGTTTTTGATTCTTGCTCTGTTTTTCTCATATGGTTTTTGTCGGATTTGGGTGTTGCAGAACAACCAGGGGTGCTTCAAGTTGTGCCGAGCCAGACCTACCAGTTGCACAAACCTCGTGGTGGTGCTTTCAAGTTGACCTAACTTTGACTTTGTGTATTCAGCTTCTGCTCAACTAAATCTGTCGCTCTACAGAGAGTAGTTAGTAGCTTGTTGTTGTAATGTTGTGGCTTTGAACTAGTATGTAACTAAAATAATGTCGTGGGTTTGCTTTGTTTCGAGTTGTTATGTGTTGTTGAGAATTGAGTTTCTTCAGTATTATATATTATCTTATGAAGAAATGTTTCAGCAAATCGCTCGAGTTCTTGATGATATACTTGATGGTCTCCTCTTCACTTGCGAAATAGGGTAACAAAAGAATATATTGCTTCTGAAAGTTCTCCTCAACATCTACTCTCCAATGGAAACACAAAACTTCCAAAATAAAAAACAAAATAAGAAACTACAACAAGTGCCAAGTAAAACGAGTTAACGTTTCTGTTCTGTTGTGTACTCTCTAACAAGTTAAGTGTAATATTCTTCTTGTCCACCGTAAGGCTGTGATATCGAATGGTTAAGCCTCCTTGGTTATTCGTAAATCTTCTTTCTTTTCAATATCGTTGGAAGTATGGAGATAAACCCGATGAGGAAAAGCACCGACAGTGTCTTGAAATCATACAGATCCTTCACCGATTTGAGATCTCCAATAGCAAGACCAGCCTGCAATAACAGAGAACCAAGAGTTTTAAACTCTGCTGAGATGCTGCCAAAAAGAAATGAAACACGCGAAACTTTGGATCATGACATTTGTGGGAATATATAAACATGGAGGACTTACTCTGACTGTTATATAAGCAGCGGGAATGAGACCAACCAAAGTGGCCAAGAAGAAGACATGGAAAGGTACGTCGACAATTGGAGAAGCCAGATTGATGAATAGATTCGGCAGTGTTGGTGTTATCCTCAGAAACAACATATAGTTCAGAAGCTTATCTCTACGCTTACCAATCTGAATATGAAAAACCACAACTAATCAGAATTTTCCATCATAAAGGCTATTGAGCGGAAAAGGGAGAAGATGAAGGTGTTTTTGACTTTTTATACCTCAGCCTGAAAGAATCTTAATTTGTCAGGCCAGAGCCAAGTAATCAGTGGCCGGCCGATCAACTTGGAGAGAAAGAAACAAGAAGTAGCTCCTGCTGTTGCGTTGAAAACAACCAAGAACACACCTTTGATTACACCAAAGAGAGCTCCAGCTAAAAGTGACATGAAGATCGTCCCTGGAATCATGAATGTCTGCATAAAAATGTAGGTCGCACAGTACCCTAATACGAACTGCGCAGGGTACTCATTCGCATAGTTTGCGAGATTGTCTCTGCAACACAACAAGTTTGCAGATTTGTTAATGCCCTTTTCGAGCTTTGACATGGACACTGTTATCAATTCACAGAAGCTCAAAATTGATCAAATTCGATTATCCAAGGACAGAGAATCAAACCACGAGCTCAAAAAGTGACCATTTCGATTATCCAAGGACAAAGATCATAGTCTAACTATCTTAAACAATTTTGATTCTTTATCAGTAAATCCTCCTATTGCGCTACCACACAAGTTGAACCCTGGATTAGAAAGCACGATGTGTGATGGAAAAAGAAGAAAATTTTTACTTGAGAAGGCGGAGATCAGCGATGCTTCTTGGAAGCTTGAGCTTTCCGAATTCAGCAGCAGGCATGGTCATGTAGATGCAGCAGAGCCCGGAGGAGAAGACAAGGAAGACGCCGAGAGACACCGCGAGTTCCCACCGGCTAAGAGGGAATCGATCGAGTTTAGATCGCTTTCCCGATGGAGAGTCGTCATCGTCCGATATCGCTCCAAGCTCTTCGTCTCTGACTAGATTCCGCGTCGGAGCCATCACGAAATGCGACAAATCCACGGAATTTTCACGCCGCGGCTCGATTCGATTTTGCTGGGATCTTTGAATCCGATCTCCAGGATTCGTTGGTTTCTCGGGAAAAAAAACGAATCAGATGGGATTAGATCTGAGTGATTTCGTTGCGAAAGAACAAATTTTTATTTAATGGCATTTCAATTTCTCACTCATGAAGCCTAGAGAATACCAAAAGAAAAATCAATCAGGTTATTTTGTTGTTCTTCAGAAATCAGATTAACGTACAAAGAAGAAGCAAAAAATGCAAAACGAAGACGGAAAGTATTTTTAATGGAAAACGTGTCCTTCGCTTTTTTCCCTCTTTCACTATCGGAACTCGGAGTCGGAGTCGGAGTCAGAGTCCCGACGATGACTCTTTACACCTTCTAATTGGTTCAGAGGTTTCTGACACAGACTTCAAGATCAAACCCTCTGGACATGTGGGAGGGTTCGACCAACCGTTGACCGTCCTTTTATTTATTTATTTATTATTTTATATGGTTCTTAATTTTATAATTTTTCCTAAACTTACTGTTACACTATTTTTTTTTTCCCATCTTCTTCACATGTAAATAACATTTTACACTAACTATAGTCTATATACATGGTGGTATATAATTTACCATTGAGGTTTGAATTTGTTTGAGTCTCTGAAATTACACCATAGATAGATCTGGCGTGCATTGTGGTATAATTATGAGCACAGTTTGTTTTTAATTGATGGGGTAGAATTTATGAGTTACAAAATCAGATAATAGAATAAAATGAATAGAAAAAGCCAAGGGGTAATTAAAAAACAAATTCCACCTTTGTGAAATTTACCAAGAAATTTCTACGTACGTATTAAACACACACTTGTTTTACAAATAGACAGTTATAAAATGTTATTTTCCCAGATGGAACAATTAAATCATAGAATACAAATCAATATAGAAGATTCTCCTTTGAATTTATGAGTCAGGGAAGCATCCAAGAGAATGATGAATATTAGCTTCGACCTCGTTATAGTTTTGATGCATGGAAGGGAAACTCGGCGCCGGATGATACGACTGCGTTTCGAAAGGAGACATTAGAACATTAGGGTTTTGTGGATGTATGGCTTGTGTCTCAAGCAAGCTATCTAGTGTTCTCCAATCCACACAGTTGAAGCTCTTCTCTTCTTCTTGCTCGAAACTCTCGTTCTGATCTTTATTCGTCCCTAAACTCGGCGACAAGCTTGGGCTGTCGAGCTGCGGTAGCTCGATGTTGCCATATTGATGCATCGATGAGGATACGTTATTAGTATTGAAGTTATTATTGCTCATGATCATTTGGTTAAGGTTATGGCTCGATGAAGATGCACCAATATGATGACTCGTGTTCATTGTCGATGAAGATGAGTAGTTGTTACTACTATCGACGTGGTAGTGCTGGTTCTGCCATGGCTCGTACCCTAATGGCCTCTGGTTCGGAATTGGCTTCCTGAATGCTCGACACACCACCCAACCTTCCTCCTATAGGTCACAAACATAGAATGTTACTATAAAGATAACCGGTTATTGATTTAGTGCGGTTAGTTTTGATACATCGATTGTTGAATTATTGTAACATATTATTAATCTTCTTCGATCACAAGATGGTATCAAAGCTACGTTAATATGAATTAGAGTATATCGTACTATTCTATTATTTCTTCGAGCCATAACCTTAACCAAATGCTCATGAGTCTTTAAATGTGTACCTGAACCGGGGCAAGCTCGGAGTTTTGGAGGCGGTACTCATGCATGATCCAGTCAGATTTTCTTCCATTGGGAGCTCGACCCTTGTAGTAGACAAGTGTCTTTCGCATTCCTATGACACTGTTCTTTGAAAGCACCGCCTTGTCTCTACCGGTGGCTTTCCAGAACCCGGCCGCAGTGGCTCTGTTGGTCCTAGTCCCGGTTGGGTACTTCCTATCTTTGTGGCTAAAGAAGTACCACTCGTTTTGCTCTTCGTACCCAAGTTTGCACCTCGCTGCAATGTAACACCAAGTATTAATGTCATAAGTTTCTTACATCACAAAATCTTAGGAAATTAATTTCATAAGAAAAAACAAGACTGAAAAACTATGTACTGAATTGTTATACATGATATGATTACAGTTTCCCACTTTCAACCCAAAAAAAGAAAACAAAAATCAACCGGTTTAATTTCAAAAGAGGTATTATGATTTATGATTGTACTACATTTCTTAAAATTTTCTTTGTGATATTCTTTTCACACTCCCTTTATAAATTCTACAAGTCAAAGAAAGTAGGCTTTCTCATTCACAATTCGCATGCCAAATTCATCGCATATTATTGGTTTTTTAAAATCACATTGTAAATCAAAAAATTTTGCTACTATTCCATGCAAAAGGTTAATTAATGATAATCATTATGAAAAACCCACGTTGATTACCTTGTATATCCCACGGCTCCATTTTGTAGAGATCAATCTCTACAATGACATCTAAAGCACTCTTCATTGAATTGATCTTCCTATCTAAGTAATAGCCCACGAGCTCTTCCTCTGTCGGATGAAATCGAAACCCCGGTGGCATACACGATTGCATTATATTATCCATCCTCGATGATCCTACAATTAAACGTATATAATTCGGAAAACTGTTAGAGAAATGAGTAAGAAACGAGATGGAGAAATGGGAGAGAAGAGAATGAAATGAAGGAAAATGTATTGTATATAAACATAAGCGTGTGTCTTTTTGGAAGCTATTGCGAAAACCTTAGACAAACAAGGCACAACCTTAAAGTTTTGTTTTTGGGACCAAAACCAAAACCTATTACAAGCTTCGTTATATTTAATTATAAAAAAGGGATCGAATGGCTCTTGGGTCCAATGAAATTCCAAAAGCTGTGTTGAGTAATGATAGTGATGTTACACACGGACACACATGATAATATATTATATATCTAAAAATACACACACACACACACATATGAATTCACATGTAGATGGATATTTTGGCCAAAAGCTTAGATCTTTAAGCTTAAGGCTATAGCTATTATATGTTGTTGATGATGGTTATGATGTTTTTCCATGGGACCACCCAACAATGGAGGAGTTCTTTCTATATTACAAAAAAAAAAATTAATAACAAAACATTGATAATGAAAGTTTTGGATTTTTTTGTTCAGAATATATAACATTAGGTTTAAGGGTTTGTTTCGCCATCTACACACCGAACGATGCTTATAAAAAAAAAGATGAAAAAGTTATACAATATGCACTATATATAATATAACATAAGGTGATCTATATATAAGACCAAAAATAAATTCATATGTATATTTAAGATAATCATATATAAAGTATATATATATATGTATATATATATATATATAGCCGAAAAGCTTGACGGGTGGAAGTCACTGAGTTTGATATATTACTTGGAGTGTATTACACACTCTTGTATTGAGTTATATGATATCTTTATACTATCTGTATATTATTAATTGTAATGGTGCAACAGCAATTAATTTCTAAGAAACAATAATTTCTTAGAAAAACACAGAGATTCCGAAACCCCCACCATTCATTTCAATTCCCCGTTTACTCCAAAACTTTAAATAGTGTGGGTCAATGTCCACACACCACACATACACATATTTGTAAATTCAAGATATGAATCTTCATACAGCCTACCCACATACGAAACTATCACATACTATATATATGTATATATATATATATATGATGTAAAAATGCAAAACAGAAACGCCGATGCATCACCATAGTTCATGCATGTATATATATGACATAAATATTTTTGCGTGTGAATAGGAATAATGAGTTGAAACTTACGAGCTAATATAGACTGAACAGAAGGGGTTGTGGGAGATAATATGTTATTTGCAAGCGATTTCCACAAGAACGGTCTAAGAAAAGAGTAGCGAAAGGAAGAAGGAAGGGAGAGTTTGAAATATCCTGTGTGTGGATTGAATGATGAGTGTTAATATAACAAGACAAGAGCTTGGCTTTTTGATTAATTAGATCACATGGACATGGACCATCTAGAAATCTTAGAGTGTATATATAGGTTTATGATGTGAATACGGTTTATTTATATAAATGGAAGTGTGTGTCATGTGGGTGCAAAATGATGATATAAGGAGAGGGAGAAGAAGAAGAAGATGGAGATGGAGCAAGGGTTTGATTGCGCGTGGGATAGACATCTACGCCTTGTTTTTGGACGGCTCTCTCTCTCTCTCTAACCGCAATTTTTTGTTTAAAGTTTTTCCAAGCTTCTCCACTTTACCGGCAGTTACTGCACAAACCCAACCTTTTTATTTTATTTGTCTATTTCTTCTTATTAGTTATTACATCACGCAAATTGATATCCTTTTCTTGTATTATATTTTCAATTTTATCTATTATATATATCAAAACTTTATTTCGTTTTATAAGATGTTTTAGCAATTTTGTTTTTGTTATATACTATTTGAGTCTTTTATGCAACATTTGAGTAGTTTAGTAACTTTACTTATCAAAGTGCAATTGTGAAAAAGATCGAGAAATGCATAAATCAAAACGTAAACACAAAGATGAAATATAGAAATAATTCGTTTAATTCTATATGTAAAACAAATTCCTTGTGTCTTTTTCCTTGAATATCTCACATATATTTATTAACCCATAGATAAGACACGAAAGCATCGAGAAATATATAAAGATAATTATATAGCTCTCAACATCAAAAAGATTTACACGCATGTACATTTGTGGATTACTACGTAAATCTCACTCTATATACTACCGCATCTAATTTTATAGTGAATACAAAATCCAAGTCTAGATCCACTCTAAACCATAATCTCATTTTTTTATACAAAATATATTTCAGATTTATAGTAAAACGAAAGGAACGAACGTTGGCCATTAAACATGACGAGTCGTTGTATAAAAAAAAAAACAAAGAGAGAAGAGTAAAACAGAGGAAGGTGTTCTTAAGTCTTTCTCCAGCAATCCAGCTCCCATTGTCTGGTTGGTGGCGCCGTCCTTAACACGTGTCTACACAGAAAAAAGCCACGTGGAAGGAGACCTGTTTCTATCGCATAACTAATCATTTGTTCCTCATCTGATATTCGCTTATGTGGGTCTCACCAATGCCGTTGGCTGTCGTTTTTTTTTTTTACTTTTTTTACCTCACTCTTTCGGCTTGTGACGTCATGTCAGTAACTCATTGACCATAGTCCAAAGAAGAATCCAAAAACTAAAGAATCATTTTTGAGTTAGTGTCGAATATGACAAGGGAGACACGAAGATCGAGGAGAAATGGATATATACAAAACAAAAAGAAAGATTTTAAGAGTATGAAAATTAGAAAATAATAACGAAATGGGTACCAAAATGGAAAAAAGGAATTGAATAAAAAAAAATGGAAAAAGGAATTGAATAATTAGCTGGACTGAGAAATTAGAACAATGAGCACTCGATTTTGGATTCAGTTTCACATGCATGCCTACTTGTCTACTGCGTGAGGGAGAGAGAGTCTTTAGTTCAAATCCCAAGGATTTACCAACAAACCCTTTCACACCATTCACTTTTTTTGTCAGCATGTAAATTATAGTTTATACAGTATATATGTGCCTCGATCCCTAATTTTCCTTTCCTCTAATCATAATGTCTCTAACTCTCAATATATATATATATATATAGATGTATATAACATGCCCCCTATTTTTTTGGTCCTTAATTACGGATTCTATTTTACATGAAACCGTAAATACAATTGGATAACCAACTTTGTATAATAAGCATGCCCTTTGTTTTTTCCAAAAAAGATTTTAGTAAATAAAATTACTAAGTATATATATTACGTATAAATTGATTTTATTATAGGCATAGGCGCAATAGTGTATTTGAATTGATACATAAGATATATTGCAGTATCTGAAATGTGTTTCGTATTTACAAATATACTTTTTTCAGCTTCCTTCTCTGTCAATGACGATGGATTGAAATATATGTATTGAAATATATGTATGGTCGGAAATGTGTTCTCGTGTGTACTTGTCACTCTTCTAACACTACTCATAATTAGCGTTAACGGTAGTAGCCTAGTTAATCAAATCATTAACGATGTATATTACCATTAAGTTTTTTTTTTCACCGGCAGAGGTCAACGTGCTGATGTAGAAATTAAAATTCTTATAAAGGCTTTAATATATATCCACTAAAAACGATCTGTAGAAGATAGTGACGCCACTGTAAATTTATCGTTAATTACATCCTAAGTATTGGCTGGCCGGTTTAATAACTTACGAAATTTATTAAAAAATTGGAAGTTAATTTTTTTTTTGCGGTATCTAATAAGATTAACAAGCGGAATGCTTAAAGCATGGGAGCAAAAGTAATTGATACATTAGACGCACGATGTTTTGGAGGCTGCCACTTTACCGTCCACGAATTAAAAGGTTGTCAATATCACGCCAATATGTTGAAAATTTGATATATTGGTCCAAAGACTCCATGGTCTAGCCTTTTTATCTGTTGTCGAGTTTGAGGAAAATCATGATATGCTTAGACATATTCATCCCATATAGTCAAAGATTGTAGCAAGAATATCTCAATTTGGTTGAGCGATGAACTTTTTTTTTTTATGGAAAAGATGTTTAATTTTGGTTTGGTATCAAAAGAATTGTGTGGCCTGAGACAGCGTATGAATTTTATTTGATCAACCAAAACTTCCAACAGGCCAATTACTTTTGTAGTCAACACATGACACATTTTTATTTTTATTCCTACTCTTTTATATTTAGTATAATATTAAACAAGCAATTTACATCTTTTGTATCATAAATAAAAATTTCTTAAAATAAAAATTTGTTTTTATTCTGGTCCACGGTGGATATATACTAAATGAAAGAAACAGTTGGTCTGTAATGAGTTATTATCCAACCCCAAAAATTGAAGGATTTAGTTTGCAAGTAAATGAGTCCATTCTGTTTATTTATTTTACCATCTCTGTTTATCGTTATCAATCGAATTGTATACTAATATAAATGGTTAATTTTGAAAATTAAGGAGAAATGGTCGTTTGAATGGGTCCATAATCAAAAATGTAAATCATGAACTTAATCTAATAAAATCATTACAATCTTATGTGATCTACCGACCTTTCACTTTCCTCTTATATTTCTTTTTTTAATTATTATTGTAGTCCATTTCTATTGGACTGCTCATCAAACTCCCAACATATAATATATGCGGGACTATAAAATTACGGCCACACACACATTCTTTCCATTGGTCACTTCAAAGATTCGTCACATAATATTATATTATACATGAAATCAACAAGATATGATGGTAAATGCATCAACTTACCAACTCTTATGTTTGGACATAATGAATTTAATTACACAAAAACAATGAATTATTGAAAACCAAGAAGTATTTGTAATCAAATACCTGATCTAACAATGGGACGTGCCTTGCTAGATATATCAACAATTATTCAGGAATTTTTATTGTGCCCAAGTGCAGCAAATATCAGTGTACATGAATTACATGAAAGGATAACTGAATGTAAAATTTTAAAAAGCCATACGGTTAAGAGATTGATTGAAAGGCAATAAGATATTCCTCGGTAAAAGGATAAGTGAATTAAATAAAAAAAGAAGGTTTCCTGAAAAAGAAAGAAATAGATTTGCTTTGGCTGAAAGAGTTAGCTTAGGATCTTGTCTTAGATTCTATCCTGACTGAACTTTGACAACGACCTGTATCTAGAAACAACCCTCTATACGATTCTTTTATTTACCATTTTTATAATAACGGAAGAAAAAACATATGTAACTACAGTATGTAAGGACGGTTACATAACTTTACCGTTTAACAAAAAAGAAAAGGCTATTTACCACTTTTATAACTTTAGTTGAAATGGCTAAAAGTTACACAAGGTTATTTGTGTAAATGAAAAAAAAATTATTACTTATATAATTATGTTGGGTATATATAATGCATAGGAAAAAAAACTTCTAACATTTTCAAAACATGAACGTTCACTTGAATCTGATATCACCTCACTATATGTGAAATGTAAAAAAGTGAAAAAAACCTTAAATAGACTCATTACTCATATATAATCGAAGTACATGATCATGCATATATAAGTACAGTGATTATATAAAAACATGTTTTGGTTATTTACTATTTAACCAAAACTTAAATAGACTAGTCGCTTGCTTCTACGTATATACGGATATATATTTTGCATGCAACCAAAGTTAGTAAACCATTCACAGCTCTTAAAGATCCGAAAAAGGGTTAATGATAAACAATCCACCTATATGTCATTTTGTTTCTAGATATATTTTCACGCTAAATTTTAGTGGAATAACTTTAAGCATCCGAGTTTTATGTGTTCTATTTGAACCTTTTGAAAAAACAATATCCACTAATTGTAACAGTTTTTGTAATTATAAATCACTGTGTATAAATAGTATTCGCTCGAAATACTTTAAATGTTTTTCTCCAATAATCTCACAGAAATAAATTTGCCTCCTGAAGGACATCATATCCACCAATAAATTATCACCAGCTGATCTTACTGAATCAATAATAATTAAAAACTAGCAAGCCATTATTAGTGATACTCAAAGGCTATATATATACTAATCATCGTCGATTTTTTAATTATCATAGGCATTGATTTCAAATTTGTCTTTATGTGAAAATGTTCAGAAAATATTTCTTTCTTCTTTTTATGTATGAGAGTAACTTTACTTTATGAATAATATGATCCATTATATATATGTATATGTATATATATATATATATATATACACACGGCGAACCCTAATTTATAAAATATTTCAAACTAACATCTACAACCATTAAAATGAACTTGTTGCTAGCCTTACCGCGCGCTAACAAGTCGCCACGATTTTTCACAAACGTTATGTACGTACGATTTGGTCGCACGCGATAATCAACAAACTTTCGAACAACCAAGTTATATTGACATAGAAAAATAAAATGTAAAACCCATATATTAAGATGGCAACATAGAAAGATATACTCATCTTTTAAGAATGATCGAGGTATTCAATTTGGCGTAAAAAATGATTAATGAAAATAATAATTAGCCGCAATTAATGATGAACGGACGGTGGATGAAGATCGACCACTAATTCTCCAAGTGACCCCTACAGGCTACAACCTCCTCTACTTGTCTCCCTATTCCACATCCTATTTGGTAACCATTAAGTCAAGATTTCCCATTAAGGCATTAACCTTTCATTTTTAATACTACTAGTATTGGTAAAATATCTTCCAATATAAACTAATGACGTAGATATTTAGCACATCAAAACATTTTAACATACATAAACAGTTTTCACCTTTGGTGTTTGAAAAGATCAGCAGTGAAGAGAAAGCATGCGGGCATATCTGTATTTTGTTTGGGGCGGTTTAGTGGGACTTGTCATTAAAATTTGGGGTTTCCAATTTTAATTTGGCGAGATTGCGTCTCGATTACAATACTCTGTACCAAATAATAGTTCCACACTATTATAATTATTATTAAAATGACTTTAATTATTTAAATGATTCTCCTTTTGTAAAAATTTCAAACTTTTCTCATTATTTTTTTATCATTTGTTTTTCATATCATGTTATGAGTAAAATCAACGACAACATAAAACCAAATAAGACCTTGCAAACCACCTTTTTCTCTCTTTATCCATTAGTATCATTTCTGCGTGTACCGTACAAGTCTTGGATTAATATATTTTTGTGCTTAAATTTGAGACGAGGTTGATGATACTATGTTTATTTGTTAGATTTAACAGATGTTTTCATATTAGTACAATCGGTGTAACTATATATTTGAAAATATTTTTTATTATCTATTTTATTATTTAGATAAAAGACAATATTATTTTAGGGTTCTTATCAGTTCAACTAAGAGATTCAGAATTTTCATTTGGGATATGCTTTTTAAATTTGTTGAGATCTCAATAAATCTATCAAAACCAAGAAATAGAAAAGATGTTTCTTCCTAAAACCAAAACTCTTTATTAAAAATCAACAACTGAATATAATATTAAATCTAGACGATTTATTTATAATAAATTTAAAAACTTTAGAAATCTTAAAATAATAACAAGAAATTATCTAAATAATAAAATAGATAATAAAAATATTTTAAAATATTTCCAAACACCAACAGTTTTATATGATATTCAGAAGCTAATTGTAACTTTAGCTCTTTAGTTTCGTTTTGTTAAAAATATGACCCTGTCCATATAATAGTACAGTTAAAAACGCTTACAACTTTTTTTACTACACTTACTGTAACGAAATATGCTATAATGTATGGTGGATGATTAGGTTGTGGTTAATATTTAGTTTTGGATACGAGTAACTTAGTTCGTGTTAATCAAAGACTTCCTTTCAAATTGTTTTATAAGATGTTGTCGCTATATATTTTTGTTCTATACTATTACTGTAATATTTTCAATTGTCTGTACAACATCAAAGTTTATATAACTAAACCAGAGAACAATAAACTATACTAGAATGGTTAGAATAAATGAAATATAGCTGTTAAAAATAATAGTAATAAGAGATATAGTGCAAAATGGGATATTTAAAATCATACTATAATTTAGGATCCAAAACAAAAATATTTTGAATTCAATAAATTGATCGGTGAAAATTCAACATTTATCCAATAATTATCCAGAAATCGAATTTAAAATGGGATCAATAAGATGAGGAAACTAAAAAAACTGTAATGATGAGAGAAGCAAAAACTTCTAGAGGTAAGATTGGAACAGAGAGGCTGATGATGGCATGTCGGCCCACACCTCCAAGTTGTCTCTTTGATTCTATTGCTTCCCTAATACTTTTATTCATCTTTTCTTACATTATATTTTTAGTTTTCTTTTTTGTCTTTCTTTTAGGTTCCTTTACAGCTTAATTGTTCAAAATTACAAACTTTTTAAAAACTAATCAGCCTTTTCTTATTTATAAAATATTTATTTGCTTGATGGCTTTAATTGTACAAGGGACAAAATTTTGTTTTATTTTACAAAAATACTTCATAACTAGGTTAAGGCATATTAGCTTATTATATTTGTAGAACTTTCTTTGAATCAACGTAAGACAACACTTTTCTAACTATTTCAGTTTTTTTTGTTTGGTGTAGTGAAGAATTATTGTAGGTACTTAAGCCGCATTGCATTCGATGTATTAGGGGTTTAAGAGAGAGGACAAGGGTTTAGAACTTAAACAATAACAATTAACAAACAGTTTGGATTCAATGGGCTTCATTAACAAATGGGCTTAGGCCTATTATTAAAACCACAAAGTACAATACAAGAAAGGTCACCCTTATTGCAAATACATCTCATTTGCTGAAAATCTGAAACATTGAATCCAACAAAGTGAAAACAAACAAAAACAGAGGAGAAAATCTCTCAGTTTTTTGTTTTTGTTTGTTTCAAGAATATCAAGCAAATGTGGGAAAGTCAATAAAACTGCTTGAGACAATCCATGAGAGCATCGGTGTGTTCAGGCTTTCCAGCAGAAACTCGGACATAACCTTTGAGCTCTGTGCTGTTGTAATGACGAACCATCACACCCATTTTCGCCAAATCCTCTTTCAGCTTCTTTGCGTCCATCCCAGATGTAACCTCACAGAGGATGAAGTTGGAGTGGCTCGGGTAAGGATTCAAGAAAGGGACTTGTTTCAAAAGCTCGAAAAGTCTCTCTCTTTCGCGTACCAACGCGTCTCTCACATCTTCCAAGTATTTCCCGTTCGAAAGCGCTGCTAAAGCAGCTACTTCCCCTGCAACAGAGACGTTATATGGTTGCTTTGCTCTCCACATGTACTCGATTATGCTCAATGGAAACGCTCCGTATCCAACTCGAAGCCCGGCCAAACCTGAAAAAAAAGTCATAAGAACTCTTAGATGCAGAGATTAGATTATATAGTTTATAGTTCACTTGTGAAATAAACCTGATTTTTTACCAGCTCGTTTGCTAAATGTGCGGAGAACGATGAGGTTTTCATACTTCTTCACCCATTTCATCCTTGATTCAACTCCTGAGAATTCGATGTAAGCCTCATCTAGGACAACAAGTATTGGCATCTCTAGAATCTTCAACAGATCGTCCTCGTTGATGATACTGTAACAAGACGAAAACTCAAAGATTAATCATCAAGGACTGAAAATTTTATCTTTTTTTTTGTGTGTTTAGACTTTAGAGTGTTGATTTACCTCCCATCTGGATTGTTAGGAGAAGTTAGGAATATGCATTTGGGTTTTTCTAATTCTACAACTTCAGCGATGCGGTCCACGTTCAAGCTGAAATCAGGGTTCCTTGGAACTGTGAAGCAAACAAAGACCAATCTGTCTAAGACTATACACAGAGAGAGAGAGAGAGAAGAAGAATCGAAGAGAGTGAAGCACAGTGAATCTTTCACCTTTAATGACACCAGCTCCATTCACAGCAGCATCAAACACATACATTGAGAAAGTCGGAGGACAGTCTATGATCTTCTCCCCAGGATCCAGCACACATCTGCAAAACACAGTTCAAGTCAAGAAGTGTTGCTTTGGTGGAAAAAAGAAACTCAATTTTACTATGAAAAAAAAAACAAACAAATCTCCAAGACAGACCTCATGATCAAATCGATTAGTTCGTCAGCGCCACAGCCAACAAGGATGAATTCTGAGTCGAGACCAGAGTCTAGAGCGAGTGCATCACGAAGTCTGCGACTTTGTGGGTCAGGATAGACGTAAGGGAACTTCATGTTGCCTAGTGCTTCAAAAACCTACACAGATCATCTGAAACCTGAAGTCAGGAAGTAGGAACCAATAAAGAATCATCCTTTTCTAAACCATAACATATCTGTAAGTGAGTGAGTGAGTGAGTGAGTGAAAGAAAGATATAACTTGCCTCTGGAGGAGGACCATACGGGTTCTCGTTCGCATCTAACTTAACAATATCCTCAGGCTTTCTTCCTAATTGAGCAGACAACACCTACAAAACACAATCCAATCCAATCTAATCATCTAAACATGTAAATCCTCAAGGCAGTATTATCTCCACAATCCTGAAACTGGGGAAGCTTTTGAAAATCACCTCAAAGGGTAAAATAGGCTGATAAGCAGCCAATTGCCTCAAATGTGGACGGATAAAAGAGTCTCCCATGGATATGTTCTTGGGTTCGTCTACAGCTGCACTTGACGCCTGAACACAATAAACCCTACTGATGTTCTTCTTCAAAGCACGCGACTTTCGTAGAACGGAGAACGATGGAGCGCCCTGAACATCGATCACACCCATCAGTCTGCGCAGATGAATGAGGAATCGGGTTTTCAATCTATCGATACAACAGTGGAAGCATCTGATGCAATTAGCGAAATAATCGAGGTCAAGATGGAATCTGAGGTGTATTACCTGAAAGTTGTCAGAGAGAGGAGCAGAAATGGCGTCAATGAGAGAGAACCCTAAGTAGTCGAGAAAGGGCGTCGCAGGGACTTAAAAGAGACTGAGATCAGACAAAAAGCTACGATTTTTCTATGACCCACTAGCGATTCGCGGACAAAGTTGGGATTTTTTTTTTAATTCCGAAGAGTCAGACTCACAGTCACAGAACAGAGTCCCAAACCAATTTAGGGGAACCCGGAACTGGATCCGTAACCCGGCTTTGAAGATTCGGGTCTGTTTGGGACTTTGAAGTAGGTGAAGGAAGAATCGTGCCGGTCGATTTCTTGACTTGTAGAAAAAGTTGAAAGTCTTGCAAGTTTTTATAGCAAAAGTCTCTCATTTTTTTAAAAAAAATCGAATGTCACCTAATATCTCTTCCAATCTCCCAACATTTTCGGAGAAACCCAAAGAAGTTTTGCTTCTTTAAAATAAGTTTTTTTGTACTCCAATTTTATATGCATATATCTACTAAGCAGTAACAAAATATGATATAATTGTTCGGGGTTTCTTTGCACAACATAAAAAACATAAACAGTTAAAAGATGGAAAAGAAAATTATAGGATCAAATTTATTATTCGGTTTTATAAACCAACAGCGATGGAATCAAAGAATTATTTAAAAGTAATCTTCCAATAATCTCCATTAAAATCTAATTAAACAATTTTCTATAAAAAAAAGATAACATAGTTAAACAATAAACTCCATGATTAAAACGAAAAGGGTCTCTGCAACTGTGACACACACTAGAGAAAATATTGAGGGTTTCAAATAAAACTTCAAAGTTTTCTGGCGGTAAAATGATAAATAAAGTGTTACTTTTCTTTCTTTGTTTTCAAATTTCTGGCCTAATCATTTCACTCTCTCTCGTTTTTCACCCTCTAAATTCATTCGCATTCAAATCAAACCCCAAGCATCAAGCAAAAGAAACAAGACGAGGAACCAAAAAAGACTCCAAAATCCAAATGTGTGTGTTCTTAAAAAATTCTAGGGCCCTAGATTAATTGTTGTGAACCACCCAAACAACAAATATATTTCTCAGAAAAGCCCCGTAACTTATGAATTCTACCAAAAAAACCTCAGTTCACAATTATTACGGTGAGAGATCACCGTGGATGAGTTTTCGCCGGCGATCGCTGAGTCGAACTCCGTAAAACAAGAAGCTTCTTCAAGATCCTCATCAGCACCAACACGTTAGGACTCATCTTCTTCTTAGTTGGCGTCTTCTTCGTCAACTTCATCCCGCACCCCACGGCCACGGCCGAGCTCTCGTCGGTAAACAAAGACGACTTCTTCTCTCCGCCATCAACGGTGGGATCGATCCTAAGACTCTGGCTTCTCGGCGGCAGCTCTTCGTTGAGATCTTCCCACAACATATCCATTTTCTGCTCTGCTTTGTCGCTCCAAAGACTTCTCGTCTCCGCATAAGAGAAACTCCTCGTCTGATCATTACCATCGTGTTTTCCGATGATTAGTCTCCCGAAACCTCTGTCGTGATCGTCCCGGAGTAAATTCTCCGGCGAGTGATTCCACAGTGGAGGTGAATCGATGCCGGAGAATTGGGAAGAATCTTGGGAAGCGAGCCTTGGGAAGCTAAATTCTTCGGAGGGTTCACTATCCAGAGCCATTTTCTGGAATCAAGAAACTATAATTCCAATTAAAATTTAACAAAAAGAAGAAAAAGAAGAAGAAGAAGAAGAAGAGATGACCAATGAGATGAGACACACAGTTTGTGTTTTGTTGGTGATGTTGGATTCGTTACTCTGTTTTTTTCTTTTTCTTTCTCTGATCTTTTTTTTTCTAGTTCAACTGCTACAACAAGTTCTCTTTTTCTTTCTTCTGATAATTTGGGTGTTGCAGAGGAAGATTTTGGTTTATTCGAAAAAGAAAAAAAATCAGTAATTATGGTGATCTTTTTTTTAGATGTGTAGGATATTTTTATTTTGGTAACAGATTTAAATTTTTGCTCTTGTGAGTTCTTTTATAAGTTCTGATATATTTTTGAACGATTTGATTTCTCAATCAGTCAACTTTAATTTTCTTTTTTTTTAGGTAGTTTATAATTTATAGCCTTGTAGGTACCGTATACACGTATTGCTCTCTATTTGTGATGCTAACCGGAGAAACTCGATCAATTTAAGGATCCGTTCTTCTAAGTTAGCTTGTAAAGAGAACAAGAGTTATTACATTTACATAAATGTATCGTATAGTTTACCTAAATTATTTGACCAAAAAACAAAAGTTTAGTGATTTAGCTCTATAGGATATGAAATGTAAAGAGTTATGAGAGGGACAACGCAGTTTCAATTTGACATCTCATCTACCACCGGAGTGATTGATTGAAGAAAGATGAACATAAAACGTTGTCTCTATCTATTTCACCACCTCATCAAAAATACTATTTCTTCAACAATGGACTAATAAAAGTCTAAGACATGCGTCTAAATTTCTCAAAGTCACTATTTCTTTCATTTTCAAAGGGTTTTATTAAAACCACCTAAAGTAGAAAATAAAAAAAATCATCAACCAAAAATCAAAGATGTAGTCAAATTTTGAATTGAAAAACCTTCAGTTTATATGTTAATAAAAAGATCAATTTTAAGCAAAACCCATCTTTGTTTATAAAATCTTAAAAGTTCACACAAGGGTTTATGCGTGGATGTGTGCTAATGCCGTATGTTTGATGAACTCGCAGCATATTTACTGAAAAGAAGATGATCTCTCGTCCTCTTTGCTTCTTTTACCTTCCTCGATCTTCTTGAACCATCTGTATTTGTTAGGACAGAAGAACCATGGTCCACGTTCATAGTAGATCGAGATAAGGGAAAAAGGTCGAGGCTCTCTGGCTTACAGTTATAGCAGTCGACCAGAAAACAAAGCTATAAAGCTTTTAAGGTGACCGGAGAGATTCTTGGCGTCTAAGTGGAATGCCTTCTGACTCAAATCCATCCTCGTTAATGTGCTTGCTTATGCGCAATGGTAATATCACCGATGAACCTGCAATAACATAGCGATAACAATCAGCTGCAAAGTCCCAGTAACACCAGAGGGATACAGACACTTATGGTTAAGACTGATCAACACTACTCTATTAGTCAGATAGCAAACTTTTTTTGTCAGCCATGAATAGCGATGTTTCTGCATTATTCCTCATAGCTGAGAGAGAGAATATAGAATAACTTGAGATTTCTTTTCATATCTGCATATGATTTTTTACTTATCGAGTGTAATAAAACTCAAGTTCTTGCCCATCAGAAAAATGTGTCTTCCAAGATGGAAAAAAAAGACACAGATGCATAAGAAGTGACATAAATGACATAAAGCAACGCACCCTCGACCATGTCCTTCGTTCTATGGAGAAGAAAAGTGCCTGAAAGAATTGTAACAAAGCCACACATTTCGGTGACAATCTGAGTACCATTTTGCCGGTCCCAGTCCTGTTTATAAATACGAAGCACATAAAGCAGTGACTTGATTCATGTACCAAAGCAACAATCCACATACAACGGTATATACATTTTATGGCCGAAGGGTACCTTAAACATGATAACACTGGCCAATATAGTTAGTGATGTGAACATTACGTAGTATATAGGAGATACAATAGCTGTATTGAATGTATCAAGAGCCTGCAAGTGAAAAACCAAAAAAAAAAAAGCTATTAGTTTAGTAATCAAGGAAGACATCTAATAATCTACGTCCAATTCTACAAAATGATTATCCTGAAGAACATTTAACTAATACTAACCTTGTTTAAGTAATTCAACTGAGTTATCACACAGGTAAGTACGACCAAGGTGAATACCCATGTTTGAGGATAAAATAATTGATTCGTTCCTGAAAATGTCAGCTTCAGTGCTATTCCTAGTGCTTTAACGCTCATTACCTGCTCACATGTTTGAACATATCATTTTCATAAAAGTTGATCAGAAGCACAAAATAGGATTTGCAAACTTGACATATCAAAAACTGCATACCGATAGTGATCCCACAAGCGAACATATACCGATATAGACCATTACGTTGGTCTGCCCATATAGAGGCACAAAACGGACAATGAGAAATACAGCAGCCCCAATGATCAGGCTCGCATAGAACATGAATGCTGCAACAAACTAGATAAAGTTAGAGAAATGAATGGACGAGTGAAAAAAAAAGAACCCTAAGAGCATCCCATTCCCATTAAACAACGCACCTGGTTCTGTTGCAAGATTCCAAACTTCAAGCACAGAGTCAATTTCTTGTTCTTGAGGGGCATGTAGGACAATGGTCGTGGAACCCACAACACATAAGGCACAGCCAAGAATTCCAAAGATGTGTAGTTTCTCCCGTAGTATAATATGAGCTAAGACAGCACTGAGATTCAGAGAAAAACAAAAAAAAAAGCATAAGAGAGACAAAACGCATATAGAAAACCTGATAGAAGAGTCAGGCATGAGTATTCTCTTGCCTGATAATGATACTGAGTGCACCTAGAGGAGTTACAAGTATAGCTGGCGCAAATGCATAAGCAGCAAAATTGGCAATCTCACCAAGTAACACTGAAAATAGCAGAGTCCAACGAGAAATTAGCCAACAAAATAGCATATCAATAAGAAGAAGATTGAAAAGGCAACACCATGGAACAAGACTCACTTGTTGTCATGCCGATCCACCAAAGAGGCTCGTAGAGATAAGAATACCCACCAACACCTACGAGTATCAAGAATGAATCATATACACTATGAAAGCAAAACCTAATAAGAACAACATCTACAGGGCAAAAATCTAGTTCTGAAGTTCCCAGATTTTCACAACAGCTAATTGAATAATGAAAAGTACTGATGAGTTCAATAGAGCTAGAGATCTCAGCTGCTCCTATAGAAATCCTCTGCTTGTGTTCAGTTGAAGATAATTTTTCCGACTAAAAACCCACAATTCGAGCACTGAAAATTTTGGAATCTCGAAACCGCATTTCAGAGGAGACGGGAGAAGTGAGGGAGATACCTGCCCTAGTCCCAGTGCTCGCGGCTTTCTTAAGGCCTTTCTTCTTAACGATGAAACTGGCTCCGATGAATAAACTAGAAGAAATCGCCAACACCAAGCCCTTGATGTTATCAGAGGACATCCCTTTATAAGAATCCCGCCATCCTCCACCACCTGATTCCCCCATTATCGATTCGACGCCGCCAAATCGAATCTTCAACTTCAACTTCAACCCAGACGAGAAAACCCTAAATCCGCCAGATCGGAGTTCAGATTTGGGAGATCGAATCAGAGAGTTTAAAGCACGGAAAACGGCTCAACACAACAACTAATTAATGCTTCTACACTAGAAAAACCAGATAACGGAAAAGGAGATGTTGTAAATCGGAGTGTAGAGAGAAGAAGAAGAAGATCTAAGAAGTAGGTGAAGAAGGATTTGAGGCAAGTTTTGGACCGGAAAGGAAAAACGCTTGTAAAGAGAGTAATTGACTGGCCCTACGGTCGGTCACTTTCCGGCGCCACCATTCTTTTCTTTTTTTACTAAGAAAATAGAGTTTTACTAAATAATTGTATTGGTTTTTTTTTTTCTTTTGTAGCATGTATGTATATATATATACGCTTTTAAATGAGGGTTATTGATTTTTATATTTTAATAGATTTGGAAATCCTCTTTAAATTTGATAAATCTATTCATTTTAAATCAGGCAAATAGAATATATGAATTATTGTAAATCAATTAAAAATATTTCAATAGTTTAGCATAAATTGATTAGTTAATTATGCTGGATTTTTATTTTGAGTTTTTATTTTTATCAGATTTTTATTTATGTATGCATTGTTTCAATTTTTATAATGAGGTTAGTTTTGATTATATATATAATGAAGTTGGCCTTATCGTTTGAACCACAAGATGAAAATAATTTTAGCTAATATGATTTGTGACTTTTGAAACCAAATTGCAAATTGTTGTGTTTAAGAAATAAAATGATCTGAAAAAAAAATGTGTAAAATTATTCAAATCAATCAAATAACAAGATTGAATTTTCATATATTAGTTATGAAAACTCTTCTAAATCCATTTAAATTCAATTAAAAATCAAATCTTTATAATACTTGGATTTTGAAATTATATAACCAATAACACTTAATTTTAATATAAATTTTGAAATCATAAAACCAATAATATTAAATTTAAATATATATTTTAAAAATCATAAAATAATAACACTGAATTTAATTTAGATTTCCAAATTCATTAATATACAAGAACCAAAAACATATATTGCTGGTTCAATATTACATGAGACAGTGTAATGTAAATTATTGGTTTTTGTATTCTTCCTATGGTTTTTGGAAGGCAGGAAGAATAAGGTTTTCAGTTGAACATTTTGTTTTTTTCTCATCATTAGTCTGTCTCTCTCACTCATTGCATTGTGGACAGATCTAAGAAAATCACTCTGTACTTAGCTTACTAAACCGAACTTAACCAACTTATAAGTGGGCTTAAATTACTAATGGCCCAAATGGCCCTTTTAGTTTTTACCACCTTCTTTGACTTTTCTTCTTCTCCTCCTTCCACCAAACTTCTTCCCATTTATAAGGCTTTTTATTCTTATAATTCAAACTAATTAATTTAAATAATTTTTCTTACTGATTAAGGTTTTTTTTGCCCACAAAAATTATTACCTAAATAATTTCGGTCGTCCTAAAAAATATTCAACCTTTTTTATTCTTTGTATAAAAGATCTACCATTAATTAAATTATTATCAGGATTCATGTTTTTATTGTGAGGATTTTTTTCTGTATTTGAATATTACTTTCACCAAAGTAAACAGTAAAAAAAATGTAGTCACACACAGTATTAACGGCCATGCAAGAAAAAAAAAAGTAAAATCTATTTCAAGTTGATATCAGTAACAGCAACAACAAACTAAAAGAAGGGTGAAATACAGACGACCCAAGGTTATTTGATTTTATCACTTTTAACCATTCTTTTTTTTTTGGGTTTTGCACAATAATACTGTATTCGATGGGTTTCATAAGAAAAATAAAACATAAAGTAAGCTAATGGAATCCCATGGCAGGCTTCATGGGAGCTGCGTCCGGTGGCGGTGAAGGCAAAACGGTTAACGCTAATACTCCACTGATCGCCGCCGCGATTGCTCCGAGAATAAATGCCGGTAGGTTTCCACCACCGAAGAGGGCATCGAAAGGTCCTCCTCCAAGTGATACTATCATTTGCGGTATCACAATTGCCAAATTTAAAACTCCTAAAGAAAGTCCTGTAAAAAAAAACAAAAGAAGCACGTTTTAATATAAAATTAAAATGTTTTACGTTACAAATGAAACTGTTTATTGTTTTTAAACATTTATGGTAAATTGCATAGGGTGGATGATATGAAACCACCCTCTATGGATAAGATATGACCGGATAACATAAAAGTCTAAATTAATTATGATTAAGCTAATAAATTTCACCCCATTAAATGCTATAGATAAACTTGTAGATATTGTCCACATAAGATTTTGAATAAAGTTTTCAACGGAATAGATTTACTTCCTTACTGTCTTGGCAACCAAAGAAAAGTTACTCTTAATTTTAGTGAGTAAAATTGGAAACAGATCTCTCATTTAATTTATTCAAATCTAATGTTTGAAACTTAGTAAATGCTAATTTAATGGTCCTACATAGTCAGGCGATTTGATATCTGAGTGAATTAATATGAACAACACCAAAAAAATTACCTTGGCCGGCGCCGGATGCGCTTGAAAATATGGAGGCTAATGCAAACGGAATACTGAAAGTAATCTGTACAACAAAATGAATTGGTTAGATAACAAAATTAGGAAAAAAAATGTTAAAAATTCATACAAAATAAAAATGACAAAAAAAATGAAAACACTTACAGCTAATGGAATACCAAGAACAGCAAAGAGACTCAACGCTCCAGCTCTGATACCAGGAGACGGTCCGGCTAACTCACCGGCGACTTTCCGGTAATCCGCCGCTAATTTTGTAACGAGAACCGTCATGGCCAAACCAGCGGCGAGGATGAAATTAACAATTCCCCAAAGCCGTTTAGCTCCTCCCAATTTCTTGCTAATCCACTCAACACCAAGCGACATGAAACCAAGAACAATCGAATTAAACATGAGTCCCAACGCACCGGAGTGTACTCCTTGGTTGTACAGTTGCTTCGACCTGTCGTTTCCTTCTGACGATCCACCGTACACTTCACGACCCATCCAGTCGGTATCGAACAGGAGAAACGGGAACCATGCGATCCAGTTCAGCGCCGTGACGAGCAACAACATCCACATGGGACGTTTCATGACTTTGAAGGCTCCGAAGATTTCTCCGAAGAAAGGAACCGAGGGAGTGTCGTCGTCGGATACCGGCGGCCGAGTCCATTGTTTGTCTTTGACGTACCAGAGAGAAGTGACGGTGACGAGGAGGAGGAGAGTGATGGACAGGAAGAAACAGGTCTTGAGATTCGCGCAGTAGAGATCGCAGGCATTCGTCATCGTGAATGGGAAAATTTTGTGGAGGTTGGTGTAAGATCCAGCCGCGTATCCCAAAACGTTTCCAACCGCCATGAAGAAGGAGAAAAACGCGTTTGCGACTCGCGTTCTTTTAGCGTCTCCGGCGGCTAGATCGGCTAGGAAGGCCCGGCATGGTCCTTGGAGAGTGTTGTTGGCGACGTCGAGGATCCAGAACCCGAGGGCGAAGATTCCGATGGCTCGGTACTTGATCTTGTCATCGAGTTTGTCTCCCATTTTAAAACCGATATCCGCCGCGTATCCGATCAAGAACACGGCGACGGCGACAAGGGCGGCTCCGGAGGCGATGAAAGGACGGCGGCGACCGAATCTGGAGGTGCATCTGTCACTGTAGTAACCGACGATTGGTTGAACAATCATGCCGGAGACTGGACCACAGAGCCAGATGAGTGAGGACCATTTGTGAGGGATCCCGAGAAGCTGAACGTAAGGAGTCAGGAGAGAGAGCTGTAGGGCCCACCCGAACTGTACGCCGGCGGCGATTGAAGCGACGGAGATTATTTTTCGTAGCGGAGACGGCTGATCGAAATCTTCCGGCGACTGTGTCTCTAGAGCCGCCGCATCTTTTGGTGGTTTATCTGTTTCGAAAGCTCCCATTATTGGAAGAAAAAAAACACACGAATAGACAAAATGTAAATTTTAGAAGGGAAAAAAAAAGAAAAGAAAATTTGTTTGTTTTCCTTTTTCTTTTTTTTTTGGTTTTTCTGTCTTTCTCTTTGTTTTTTTTTTTTTTTTTTCTGGATTGTGAAGGATGTGTTTTGTGATGTAGGAGATGAGAGAATGGTGTTGTATTTATAGTGAAATGGGAAGAAGGATTGATTTTTTTTTTTTTAAACAAATTTTAACTTGGAGATGATTTTTTTTCGGATAAGAGAACGAGTAAGAAAGTTAATTCTGGTGAGTGTATGGCAAGGTGGGGCCACGTGTCACTTAGCATATTAATTATTGTTTTCTGTTTTTACGGGATTTAATTGGTTTCGCCTTCTTCTTGCAGGCTGCAGCAAGTGACTTGGACGTGATTCAAGTTCTCTGACAGTTTTAGATTTCTGTAATTTTTTTTTTTTTAACTCAGCAAATAGTTTTTTTTTTTTTTTTTTTATAAAAAGGGCTTTTTTTTTTATCGCACCCAACTCAGCAAATAGTTCCGACTTTCAATAATATCAATACGTTTTATTTGACTTAGAAAAATGTTTTTATGATATTCCGATTGGGTACAATATTTTAAACGCTAAAGTTTTAAATCATGTAAAATAAAAGTATGTAGTTAAGAGTTCGTCTAAAAAGATTTGGTTAGTGAAGACTAAAGATGAATTTGGTTAAAATTAAGTAATTTTGAATGACAACTTACTAACTTAGTTAATTCAAAAACATTTGAAATAAGAAATAGATTAAATTAAAGAAAATAGATATTGACCATAGAAAAGGTAAGAAAATAAAACTATAATAAAATGTAACATAAAAATAGATACTAAATCCAAGTCACAAACATCTTACACACACACACACATATATATACAATTTTATGAGTGCAAACATCCTAGTTCTATATATACTGAACTATAAAAAAATGAGTAAAAATGTTTTGTTTAACGAGATAAACGTCATGAATGCCAACTTTACAGTTGAATTCAGGAGTTTAATTTGAAACCTGAGTTTAGTTTGAATTGTGTAAGTTTAGCTTGAAATCAGGAGTTTAAGGCACATAATGCTACACGGTTCAAGGAGGTAACAATTTTTTGTTTATCGCCAAAATAGATTCACATCATCTAATATCAATCCTTGAATTATGTAACGTAAAAATGGTTGTGGATCAAGTCTTAACATATCCGGTTGACTCAAATCATATATAGATCAAGCATTCACCGAATATATCTCAGATCACACCCTTGGATCAGGCCATTCTTGTTCCAACATGTTTATACTTGGGATTATCTCACTAAGATTCAACCTGCCTAACAGTTTCCAAAATTGATACACTCGGTCTTATTCGGATAGCTCCAAAGATGGTATGTTATCCTTGGCTCTCAAGACATTAGACCCAACCGATGAAGCCTTAGTCTCTGTTTTGTAGACATTTTTAAGATAGTCTCATTTTCCATTTATATTGGACTGGTTGTTATCCCACGATTTGGGTTTACTTTTCAAAATTTGACTTTTCTATAGAACCTATATAACTCTATAAGAAAAAAAATTCCACTAATTTTCAACTGCACATATACGACTCGAACAAAAAGAGAAAACTTGAAACATTAATTTGTTGAACTCTTGGATTCTAGTTGTCTGGAAACTAACTAGTTTCAAATATATTCCCCGAAAGACTGGATCTTGATCACATGTTTGTCAAACTCTTTAACTACGCTGTCTTTTCTACCCCTCATGTCTACATTCCACCCGTTTATCTGATTAGTAATATCCATAATTAACATTTTGTTGTGAACCGAAAACGTAGAAACTGCCAATCAAAATTAAGCTGAAAAATATGGATTTGCAGTCTTTTTAAGTTGTCAATTAATTGTTGATTGTAAAAAAAAGCGCATATGAATCATCTCTAAGTATAGGTTTATATTTTAAATTAGATTAAACCAAAGTGGTTAAGCTAACCGTGTTTGATATATATAATTAAAGTTTATGCTATGTTACAGCTATGTTGATATATACTTTTTTTTTTTTTTTGAACTTTATATGTTGATATATACTTGATAGGTATATTGGATAGAGAAAATAAAAGTAACAAAATTAGGCAGATGAGAGGGGATATAACGTCCGATCCAAGGAAGTGGCACTCGTGTAATATCAAATATTCCATTTTTAGTGAAAAGAGCAAACCATAATATGATAATATTTACATTAGACACAAAAGGGAAAGCTTTTCCGTCACATAAAAAGCAAAAGAACAAAGCACCGAATTTTTTAAGGGCGACTTTCTTTAATTTATTTTAGTTTGGTTTATTTGGACTTCGTCTTGTTGTCTGTCATTCGTATGCAGAATGACTTGGATATAGTATATTTTGAAGACTGTCTTGATATGCATGATAAATATTAGAAATCACAGTACACGAAGAAAAGCCAAAACAAAGTATTCACTCAGGTCGTAACATACGTTTGTTCTCTAGCGGACGAATACCTCATCCTACTTCCTACATTCAAGAAACTAGGTTTCTCCAAAATACAAATTCAACCATTTTAAAGATCCAAAATCCTACCCAAACATTTACCATTTTCTATATCAGCAATATTTCACTTAAAGGTTAATTAGGTAAACTACTTAGAGAAAAAATATGTAAATATCCTCAAGTGGATTGGTAAGAGTAAAAAGCAGTTTTAACCTTCAATGGATTGCGCAAGGGTTTCTTAGAACTACTGTATATTATGATTAGCGCTCTTATGTTCATCTCGATTTATACGGTGTGATTTTGTTAAATTACATGCATAATTAAAAACAATTTAGATAATATTACCACGTTCCTAAATAAAGATATTATTAAACGAAGGGAAAAGGACATAACGTTCAAAACCTGTTAAAATCTGAACACCCTGTTTTGTACTGTCTTGCCATTTGGTCTTTTTCCTTTCAAAATCACATTTCGCCATTTATTTTACCTCTTGGAAAATATTGAATAGAAATAATGATACATATACCATGTAGTATATATCTAATTTAAATTGTAGTCATGCAACATTGTTTAGCCAGGTATATAGCATTGCCAATTCTTATGTTATATGCCCCTACAGAAAACGTTCAAAACATGTAGGCATAACTCTATATCGCTAGGAAGTGTTTTTTATTTTTTTTTAATAATTATTCATGACTCATGAGTAACAAACAAATTACATCCACTAAATGAAATAAAATCTAGTAAATGTCTCCCGCAAAACAAAGTGGACACTGGATCAATGCAATTCTGTTCATATTGTTTCAAACTTTCATGGACATGACATTAGTATATGTAACATGAATGTTGAATAACCACTTTTCATTTCAAAAGTTTTTTTAAGATAATGTGTTATTCAAAATAAAATAAAATAAAAAAGTCTTTTTAAAAGAAGGGGGAGAATGCAAATAATATTTTACCCCTTAATTATAGGGTCGGGGATCGGGACCCCAAAGAAGCTTATAGTTTGTTAGCGTCAAAAAGATTGTGGTTCGCTCCATCATTATGCACTCGTAGTTGAATATGACTAGGCAATGAGTGTTTATGCTTAATTTTCTTTATAAAATCCAACTGTTAATTACATTATTCTATGAGAAGGGTCAACATATTAATCACGGGGAGATCCAGTATTAATAATTCAGAACATTATAAAATTGCAACATTATTAAAATGTAAAAGCGGCCGGGTAGTATAATAATAATGTACAAGGGAAAACAGAACGAAGAGAATGCTGACGAACACTAATATTCTTAGAGAGGGAATAGAAAAATGATAGAAAAAAGAAGAAAGGATGTCTTCAAGCCTCAACAACTAAATATTAAGTTGAACAACTAAAATAATATTCCGGAATTCAAATATTTAACGTTTTAATAGTTCATTTAACCTTTGTCAAACAACCGTTAGCAAATTCGTCAGGTTCATGTTAATGATCCCTAAAAAAAAAATGATCCAATCTCGTCGATATTGTTAGGTTTTAGACCAAAAAATCAACTTTCAAAAACGATATAAGTAACAAAATAATATATGATACACAAATCCATATTCTCAATTATAGGTTACATTAATTATCCCCGACTTTTTAGTTTTTTAGTACTATAAGATCATAATATTTCAAAACTGTCATTGTCGCACACAACTATTGAATACATCACTCTGCACTACCGTAAAATCTCGTAGAATAAGTCTAATCAATAATTATGTTTTGCTTATATTCACATAAATTGTTTAATGCTCAAATATTTTTTAGCATTTTGAAGAAAACTAAAAATCCTTCTTTAAATCCAATTCAGCTGGAATCAGTGAACCAGTATTAATCCTCGGAAAAAGACGGTAATGAAACGGTAGAAGAATGCTGTCTACTCATAAATGGAATTTACTAAAACCAGCACCTAGCTACTAATGAAGAGTACCATTATAATAGTTTTCTTATCCTGATGAACACTGCAAAAGCCAACCAGAAATAGTCATGAAATAATAATAAAAAGTGGCATGTCATGGCGTGGCGTAATCAGAATCTAGGGATTGGACATCATTGTTAGTTTAGAGGGAGGAAAAAAGAGAGCATAATTGTCAAAAAGGTAATTAGGAATGTTGTTGACGCGTTGACCTCCGTAATTACACTCCAGTCTCCAGCTACAATGTTCAATTTATCATATGTATATGCTGAATCACTGATGTAATACTCTTTCTGTTGAAAATAATGATTTGCTTTACTTAAATTAAATTACTATTTTTAATCAATTTATTATTTTTATAAAAGTTTATATACAAGTTTATACTTATGTTAGAGAAAATACCCAAAATACCACTAAAATAAGTTTTTGATTCAAAAATACCACCGCTAGTTTATTTTTTTTCAAAAAGATTACTAAATAAAAAAAATTCTCCAAAAATACACAAACAAAGATTTAGAAATGGTATCAAAGTAAAATGATTTCTCAAACTGCATGCTAGTAAAATTTAGGTTTGAATGGTTATTGCAGACAAAACCATTCGAAATTCTTCTATTACGATAATACAATTATAAGAAAGAAAAAAAGGAAAAACAATTGTGTATGGCGGCAAATTATAAACAAAGATTATTTTCATAAACTGTTATCCGTCTTTTATAATAATAAAGCAGCTTAGTCTCTTAACAAAAATAT